GGGGATAAGGGGGATGGTGAGGCAGGCAGGGACCTCCCTGACAGCTCCATGGCACCTAAGGAGAGCCAGGCCACTGGGGACAGCAACAGGGGGTCAGCTGCAGTCCAGGGACCACCAAGCCTGACCATAGAGACTAGCCAGCTTTGCGGTCAAGACAGAGGATCCGTCAGCCAGGGAAGCACAGGATCAGTGAGGTACAAGGCCAGGCATGGGCACACCCAGAGCATGGCTAAGGCAAGGGTCTGAACTTAAATTTGGCTCCCGATCCAAGGAAAAGAGATCCCCAATAAGCTTTCCTGCAGCCCTTTTCTCATCACCAATATCCACACTGAGAGCTGGAGTATCCAGAGCTTCCATGAGCACAGGCAGTCAAATGGCCATGGCAGGGGTGACACAGTATCTCACCTGATTTCTAAGGGCTGCCTTTGAAAAGCACTGTGAGAAATTACAGCTGTTGCCAGTTATTTGAATGTTGATGTTAAAATAGTGGCCACTCCACCATAGCCACAAGATGTTTTCTGGTCTCTTCTGACCTGCTAGGAGACATAGATTGTACAGACAGATAATAAGCCAGAAGTGTACCATAAGGAAAAATTTTTCTCTTATGAGGATAGAAAGCATGGTGTAAGAGTAAATTCTTCAACCTTTAGCATCATGTGCTGGTGAAAAGAGCATGGTGTTCAGAATCAGCTTGTCCTGCATTTATAGCTTGGTCTGAGATATGATACATGGAGATTACAATGGACATTGCTTTTCCCCCCACCCAGAATTCCAGCTGCTGTTTGTTCAGTTACAATGCTGGGCAGGACAGCACACAGACAACAAACCTGCCACTGCCCCCAGGAGTTTGGTTTGTTTTCCAGTCACACAAGACAGTCCAAGATTAAGGGTTTAGAATTTGAAGATGGAAGATGCAGGAAAGATGAGTGAAAAAAGGGAAGAGGCAGCAGAAGAGAAATAACCACAGAAAAATATGTGCAAATCATTAATAAACTTTAATAAAAAGGATAAAAAATAAAGTAGAATAGGAGGCAAGGGAGGGAAAGCTCAGGAATATCATGAAGCAGCAAAAACAGAGGCAGTAAGACAGAAGAGAGAGAGAACCTTGCAGGAGCAGAAATTCCTTGTTAGGAGAGCTGGAATCTAAGAATACTTAACTCATCCTTTAGGGGAAAAAAACTTGTGAGGGGAAAGTCCAAATTAACTGTTTGCAGTCAAAACCAAATATTGCATAGTACAAATTCCTGCCTTTTGTATTCCAGATTTTTTTTTGCCTCCTGTCCTCCAAGTGTTATCAGAAGCCCCTCAAGTACCAAATGCTGCCCTGCAGCCCATTCTGCCTGCCCTGTGCCCTGACCTCTTCCTCTGTGTGCTCTTGCCATTGTGCCTTGGCCTTGTCTTCAAGCCTTCTGCCTTCTCACAAAGCTATTCTTATGCTTACTGCCTCATTTTTTCCTGCTGCCTCACCAGATGCCTCCCATTTGCCTTCCAAAGCCTTGTAAAGATAAGAGCAGTTCTACTGCGCATAAGGGCTCAACATGAAACATTTATCATTTCCATGCTGGCCTTTCACTGCCAACTCAGTGGGGCAGAAATTGTCTCCCAGCACTTGTGCCTCCATATAGTGTAGGACCCTGACACTTCTGAGAAGACCCCACTGGTGCTACTCTGTAAATCTGTTTTACAGATAATATGCTGGTTTGTTCTCAGGAATTCACTGTGCTAGCTTGGATACACTCCTGTATGAATCCTTTGTGCTCAGGAGAACTGCTACTCTCTGCCCAGTGCCAGGAGAGTTGGCAGGAGAGCTTTGTTTTTCCTGTCTCACTGAGGACAAATGGGAACCAGAGAACAACCTGCAGTGACAGATGACACTGCTGCTATCCCCAAAAGATTCACAGGATCAAATTCCATTCTAAATGCTGAGTGGGACGCCATACATCTGGAAACCAGAACAATCTGGTACGTGCTACCATGTTCATCTAATCCCTTCTTCTACAAGTAGAGCTGTATAGTGAGAGGTCTGAGAGGTTTTATTGCTGCTTTTCTGGTCAGGTTTTGCAGCAACAAAAACCTCACTCCAACAAAACAAAAGCTTCTTTACCTCAAAAATATATAGGACAAACTTGACAGTGACCTCCTTAACCTCCTATGGAAATTGTCTTGGCTCTCACTTTTCCCTCAGGTGTCTGTTTTCGAGTGATCTAGTCTCCAGCAGACAGCACGAGGTGGAATGGAAGGCGTGTTTCAAAGACTTTTGTAATCAGAGCCATCTGATTTGCTAAATTGCATCAAAGGTCAGAGACTGGCAGTAGCACAGTGTGGAGCAAATGATCCCTTTAAAATCTTCATCGGACATGGGTCATGTCAGGAGGCAGCAGGGCTTTGCTCATGGGAACAGCTGCCTCGGAGCAGTGCACACAACTGTGTTTAAATCTTTCGGATATTTGTTGCATTGGGGCATCACTGCTGCTTCCAGAGGCCTCTTGGGCAGCCCGTGGGCAGCAGCTGCAGGCACAGCCTGGCTGTCCTGGCCCTCGGGCTTCCACCTGCCGAATCCAGGCCTGAGAAGAGGCTGTAGCCAGCGGGGGTCGGGCTCTTCTCCCAGCGTCGGGACGACGGGACACGTCCTAAAGCTGCGCCAGGGGAGGGTTAGGCTGGACCCTAGGCAGGCCAGGAGTGGCTCTCCAAATCAGTAAATTCCATGATTCTGTGAAATTAGGGGGAATTCCTTCACAGAAAGGGTGATTAGACATTGGAATGGGCGGCCCAAGGAGATGATGGAGTCACCCTCTCTGGATGTGTTTAAGGAAAGACTGGGTATGGTTGGACTCAATGATCTCTGCGGTCTTTTCCAGCCTAAGCGATTCTGTGATTCTGTGAAACCGGAGCTGTGCAGGGTCACCCCGGCCACAGCCACGGCCGTGTCCGTGCTCCTGGCGCAGACCCAGGCCCGCGTGAGGGGCCGGGCGCAGCCGGCGGGCGGGCCGGGGGCGGCGGGGGAGGCTCGGCCCCGCGCTGCAGCCTTGGCCGGGGAGGCGCCGCTCTCGCACCGCTGAGGCGCTGCCGCCGCCGGGCCCAGGGAAGGAGGTAAGGGCCGCCTGCCCGGGGCAGGGGCAGGGGCCGGGGCCGGGGGGCCGCGCTCGCAAGCGTCTCCTTCTTTTGCCCCTTCCGCTCTCTCTGCTCTCCCTTCTCCTTCAGCCGCGGCTGCTGGGCGGGAAGGACCGCAGCGGGGCTGGGAATGTCAGGGAGCGGGGCTGGCCCATCACGGAGCGGGGCTGGGCACGGCTGGCGTTCCGCAGTGGCTGCCGCTGGACGCCGCAGCTTTGATTAGCACGGAATAAACGCTGTCTGTGGTAATTCGTGATACGCAAACTGCAGCAGAGACGTCTTTTCTTTAAATTGCTGCTGTCCGTGTTCAGTTTGCTGTTCAGGCAGGGAGCCGAGACTAGATTGTCACGGACGATTTAAAAAAATAAAACCAAACAACAAAACAACAGCGCACCTGCTTTATGGCGAGCTTAACACCCAGAACCGTACGGTCCTGCCCACATCCGTGGGGTTGGGAAGGCACGCGAGGCAAGTGCACTTGGAGTCGTGCATTCCTTTTGACGTACGTCGGATCCCCTGGGGCAGCTGGCATGCCTTCGCTTTCTTCCGGGTTTCCTTTTCTTCCCCTTTTCTTCCCCTTTTCTTCTGGCAGCCTGGAAAATTTCCATCTTTCCAGCAGCGGGCAGTCTGTAAAACTACTGTTTTAATCACCTTATCCCGCTTTAAGTGCTGTGTTTCCCTGCCTGTCTGTAGGAGCTGTTTCCCTCCAGGAAAACGTGTACAGATGAACAGGATCAGATGGAGCACCGCAAAGCAGATTTCTGTCTAGAGCTGTCCATCTTGGACTTTGTCTCTAACACCGGTGCCCCCCTTTTCTTTACCTCAGTCTTGTTTTGTCCAGATGGGTCTGCCCAGTGTTTGCAGGCATATCAGCTGGGAAAGCACAGACTGTTGTGTGTCCAGAGCTGTTTACATAACAAACTAAAGAGCAGGTTCCTACTTCTGACTTGCAGAGACATTTGGAAGGCAAAATTATCTCACTATTTTTACTTGCCTGGTGAGAGTTGAATTTGATAGGGAACAAATGCATTAATTAGCTTGTGAGTTTGGACTGATCCTCTGATTCATGCTGTGGATACTGGGTAGTCTAAATATAGTGAGAATTTCATGTTCTCTTCTCAAGCTGACAGAAGTGAAAGCCAGTGTGGGTTTTGCTAATTGACAGGCTTTTAGTTAGGTCCTGCTGTGTTTCACAGAAGGAAGTTAACCTGCTGCTGTTATGAGTCAAGGATAACATGAAAGAAAAAGCAGCTCCAGAAAGTAAACTAGGTTTTAAATACCTGTAAGGATGCTAAAATAAGGGTGTATCACCCTGCAGTAAAATGGAAAATCTAAAGATTTCAAGTAGTTTCATATTCAGCTGGTGCAACAACAGTGATTTCCAGAACATTCAGCCTTTTATCAAGTCAACAGTTAACTTCCAAGTGCTAAGTAAAGAAACCTTTCCTCTTTTCATGCAACCTAATAATTGCATGAAAGGTAAACCCACAGCATCTGAAGCAACATACATTGAGCTGGGAACAACATGTTTATTGAAGGCCTTCTGAAAGCTCTGTTGCTGCCATTTTCTACTAAAGCAACCCATTACTAATTTACCTTCGATTGCATGTTTTTTATGAGTACACAGATTTTTATCTAGCAACTTTAAAACATAGTTTTAACAAATATTTCAGATGCAGAGATGCAGTTGTGATTGGCTTGGACAGAGGACAACAGTGAGGCACTCCAGCCCAGAATTAAAGTGTCTCTGGGGTACAAGTGTTGCTCTTTGCTGCTCAATTACATCAGATTACCCTGCTGTCTTTTTTTTTCTTTTTTTTTCTTTTTTTTTCTTTTTTTTTCTTTTTTTTTCTTTTTTTCATTCACCGTAAGTCTGGGTATATTTAGACCTTTTGTTGTCATATAATACTTCTCACTCATAATTTTACTCTTAGCAAACTTTGAGTAATTAAGTTAGAAATTCCTCACTGGGCTTATATCTTTAGTGTGGTTATTTACAGTGATCTGTGTGGTCCGGTTCGAATTAGTCCATTGCAACAACATGTAATTATTACAAACTGCGTCCTTGGACTTGGTTGAAGTTGGGTGTTACTCTATAAAAGATCAAATAATCCAATCTTTCTACACTTTTCAGCATGCTAGGTGAGTCATCATTAGCGAATTTTCATCTATGCTGATCCAAGTGGTGTGTTTGAATTTATCTGGACTGGAAAAGAGATCTGAGAAGCCAGTAGAAGACCTTGTCTGCCTGTGTTAGCCCATTTCAGGGTTAGGTGGCAGAGAACTTCAAGCCAGACAAAAGAGCAAATAACTGCATGGGGTTTTTTGAGGGAGAAGTTTGTGTGTACAGCTGTGGATGTCCATGGATACACTCTTAGTAGTCATTATTAGAATTTTAAAAAAAATCACAATTAACTTAACAGCTCTGTGTTAAAAGGTATTGTTCAAGACCTCCATAAATGTGACAGCAACAAATATCACATGCAGATAAAAGTTTTAAAATCTAAGCATGTATATTTTTCCTCCCCTCTGGGAGTCACAGTGCAGATATCTCAGCTGGTGTTTGCATAGCATGCATGATAAGCTCATTTTCTCAACCTTATCTCATATTTTCACATATTCATATTTTAGTATTATCATCACTCCCATTTGCTCCATCTCAACCCCTTCAGCCTTTGAAAACTCGGGATGTCATTCTGCAAGGCGCCAGCAGAAGTGCCTCCCTGGCTCTGTGTATGTGGGCTGCTGCTGGGTGTGGGATAGTTTCCCGGTGAGTCACGCAGATCCCGCTGCAGTCGCTTCCAGGGAGGGCTGTGCTCCGCATGATTAGCGGCTCTCAGGGTGACATTGTTTCCTGAATGATGCAACTGAAAATTCCCTTTCCTGTGCTTCTTGTTTCCTGATCGATTTTCCCTCATTCTCTAAGACATTCCAGCAGCTGCACATCTTTTGTTCCTGGTCTCTTTTCCCCTACGAATCTCTGCGAAGACAAGTTATGTCCACAGCTACACTAATTAATTTGGTACGGAATGGAGGGTTCCAAGTAAGAAGGAGAGCCGCGCTCACGTCCCGCTTCCTGCAGGACGAGAAGCGCCCCGCAGCCGCCTGCTCCATCTCCACCTGCGAGCGCCGCGCCTCCCGCTTCGACCCCGACGGGAGCGGGCGTCCGACCACATGGGACACCTTCGGCATCTGGGACAATCGCATCGATGAACCCATTCTCCTCCCACCCAGCATAAAGTACGGGAAGCCGATCCCAAAGGTGAGCCTGAGCAACGTGGGCTGCGCCAGCCACATCGGGAAGCGAAAGGAAAATGAGGACCGGTTCGATTACGCTCAGCTGACAGAGGATATCCTGTACTTCGCAGTGTACGATGGGCACGGCGGGGCAGCAGCTGCAGACTTCTGTCATAAGTACATGGAAAAATATATTAAGTAAGTGCTCATCAAGGCAATGTGTGTCAAATAAGTTGCAGCCGGGATTCCTTCTTTAGGGAATCAATGGGTTGTACATGGTACCTAATCCTCCCAGGTTATGTAGCTGCCTGTCCTTATGGGACAGCAGGAGCACTGGGTGGAACAGACATGCTATGAATTACTTAATGCATCGGTGCCTGCCCCACTGGGCAAGCCCAAAACCCCGGGAGACGAGAGCACAATTGTGCCCACTGTCTAGGAAAGGTCTTGGAACACAGGGAGAGTATGGACTAGCTATTTTCACACAGGCTCTCTGTAATTGCTGACCTATGGTTTGCTTACTGTCTTCTGTATCTATCATATCCCTGGATGCTGGGTATATATATATAAAAACTTAGATATTTGCAAAATTACATTATTATGCTTTCAGTGCACACAGTTAGTAAAATCACATTACCTTTCCACTCAGGTCCAGCATCATTCAGTGGGTGCAGGGAGGAGATAAGACTGCGAAACAGATTGATCAGGATGTATATTGCTTGGAAAGAAGTTTAATTTCTTTGTTTACTTGCTTGCTTCCAGGGAATTTCTTGCTGAGGAGGAGAATTTGGAAAATGTTTTGAGCAAAGCTTTTCTAGAAATAGACAAAGCGTATGAAAGGCATGCTAATCTCTCTGCTGATGGTAGGTAAAAAAAAATATTCATATAGGTGTGGAGAATAAAGTTTGTTTATTTGCTCAGTAGTTTTGCAGTAAAATGTCCAGAAAACTGCTTGAAAACAGTTTTACTTAACACAGGATTTTGCTCTGGTCACTTGCTGCAAATAATACAATTATGCTTTACCTCCTAAAAATGAAATAACTACTGTAAGTCTCAGTCAAATTTACTGGAGGAGTTATGAATCTGAATGTTAGCATAATCATCAATGAATTTATCTTTATGTGGTTCTAAAAAGGATTATGTTTGTCAAGGTAGCAAAGAGTGATTTAGATTTGCAAGGGCCATAATTTTACTGGTAAGAAATGTGGAGAGGGGTGTTTTTGATTCACTTTTTTTTTTATTTTAGGGGTGTGGGGGTGGGTGCTTTTATATGTTCGCTTGTTTTAAAGCTGTTAATCCTGTGGATTGAAAGCACCAGTGTCAAAGTTCCCCTTCCTAACTTGGCTGCTGCACCTGAGGAGGAACATAAGCCAAAATTAATGCAATCAATATTGCTTCTGTACAAACAGAATCACAGGAGTAGCTGAGTGGGAAAGGGAAAAAAGCAGTGAAGAGGAAAACAAGTTTGGCCGTGGTAAGGCTGTGGTAAAGCTGGTACCAGCTCTTATAGATTCCCATTTAATCTTGGCTGTTAATTAAGCTCTTGTATATGTGTCTAGAGACTAAGTACATCTGAAGTTCCAGTTGCAGCAAGCAGAGCTTATAGAGAGTAACTTAGGAAGGGAGATAGAAGTGCCTGTCCCAGTTCTGTCACAGGAGCTTTCTGAGCCATGAGATACAATTTTGAAAGTCAGTTTAGCCAGTTTTAAAAGAAAGCCCCAAACAAACCCAATTAAAAAAAAAAAAAAAAACCAAAAAAAAACCAAAAAAAAAAAAAAACAAAAAAAACCCAAAAAACAAAAAAGCACCTACCCAGGACAGAAAAAGAAAAACAAAAACCTCTCCCTCCCCCTGCTGGTGCAGGCACAGGCAAAATAACTGAGGTTGTACCAGAAGAACAGAAACTGTAAAAGTCTTCTCTCCAAGAAAGACTGGAAACCAAGAAACCCTGTATGGACTGAAGTGATACTGTATTCTCAAGCTGCTTTTCTGAGGCGCTGGTTGAGTACAATCAAGTAATGGAGTAGCTTTCTGCACTTTAATTGCTAGATGAATCTAGGTAGACTCAAATGCAGGTCAGGTAGCCTGACTGCTGCAGCACTGCTTCTTACTTCAGCCTGCACCAAGGGTCAGGAAAAAGTCTTAAGTCCTGAGATACAGCCCTTAAAAAAGGAGGATTGAATCTATAAAGGTAATTTTCCCATTGCATTTCATGTTGTAAAAAAGACCAGAGTTACTTTTGACCTATGAGCTGAGTTTTAGCTGACCTCTTGAGAGACATCAGCAGAGCAGATGTGCTTTTTACCCAGAGCCTCTTTGGAAACAAGTTTGTGTGCTTCCCCGGATCAGACCACTTCATTTTTCCCAGAGCCTCTTTGCAAATGTATTTTCTTACCAACCCAAATCTAAGACAGCATTTGAGTACAAGTTTGTGTGCTTCCCCGGATCAGACCACTTCATTTTCATATCTAATTGTCCCTTTCCCTGCCCCTTTGTGAGTAAGACAGCTCTTGGTTTGGCTCATTGTTGTGCCCTCTGTGTCAGAGCAGCTTCTTGAGGAGAAGGATTGAGAACTGTACTGGATGTATTATTCTGTTTTTTTCTGAAAACTATTTCCAATCATAAAGCTTTGTAGGTGAGACTTACAGAATTGGATAACAACAACATTTGGCAAACTGTGCAGCAAGCAGAGCATTTTGGAACTGCTTATAGGATTTTTTTCATTCCATTTAACTAACTGGTGCTGCTTAATGCCAGAAAAGAAAACGTATGCAATGGTTACCAGGATACTGCACAAGCCCCCTTCATTAAAAAAGCAAAACAGAGGGCAAAAGACTTGCCAAACATCCACAGGGGCCATGCTCTGGCAGGCACTCAGTGTTTCTCAGGTAGGCTGGACACTTGCAAGCTCTTGCAGGAACTTGGGGGATCTAAGAGAGCCCATTGTTCTTGGCTGAAAATCAAGCTCTAAGGCAAAGAATGGAGTAACAGGGTGCAAAGTCAAGTTTGGATTTCTGAACAGATTAAACTTCTTGCGTATCTGTTGTTAAAATAACTCAATACTTTATTGACTGCTTTTTGTGGATATTTTTGTTGTCACTGATGTTTTGAAAGTTACATAAAATTTCAGTGCTTGGCATGTATCTTTGTTAGAAGCCAGCAAAATTTCTGATTGAGTGTGGCTATTCTGGATGTGACAGTCAAGACAGTTGCTAGAGTATCTTGAAGTTGGTGGTTGATTGTTTAACTTGGTGTATCTGGGTTACACTGGATGCTCCCCAAGTCTGACCTCCTTTTGAAACCTGGCCATAGCTGATGTAGTGCAAAATAATAGCTTTGGCTTGTTCAAGCAGATGACCCTTCCAGGGCTCACTCTCTTCACTGTGTCTGCACAAAAACAGTGCACATTCAGGATGTCCAGGTCTTGACTAACACACAGCCAGCTTTAAAACTTGTACCGGGGTGTTTGAAGGAAACTAAACCCTGGGACAAATCCCTGTAGCCAAAATGTCACATTTGAGGCATTGTTTATAGTACTATTTAAGGAGTAAAATCTTACATAAGGCACAAATTTAACAGGACTAGAGGCGTGCCTTGTTGGGAGACCCCAACTATGTCTTCAAGGGTATGTCCCTCTGTAGGTCACTTAACAATGATACAGTATTTGAAAGTAGAGATGGAAAATACATAGCATGGTAGTTCCTGTGAGCTTTCCATAACAAAAATGGTTTCTGTGTGTGTTCCAGGTACTGCTGCTGCGTCTGGCATGCAGTTCACCAGTGCTATTGCCAGCGGTATTGGCCTGCTGGGGCCTGGTCCAGTAACCCCTCTGACAGTGACCTATACCTGTTGTTCCACACAAAAGCATAAAAAACTTGCTGTAGGCAGGTCTGGGATAATCTGTGCTCTGCCTGAATGCTGTGTAATCATTAACAGCTTAGAGCTGTGTCTGAGCCCTGAAGCTTGATGTTTGATACCTCTTCAAAAATGTGTTTTCATTCACATCCATGCATTTAAATACAGGCCAGTCACTTTCAAATCACTGCTAAAGTTAGGTATAGAACATAAGGGAAGCTTACATCCAACAAATGACATTATCCATGGCCCTCAGAGACAAGCAGAACTTTCTGCTATTTTTTACCAGCCATAAGAACGAAAATGTAAAGGCTGAAAAGCTCAGCAGGGATAGAAATAAGAAATTAAATTCTGTGCTTGAGGAAATTTGAGCATTTCCCTGAAGAAATGTGAGACAACCCCTTTCTTGGCCTCCTGGAGTCCTACCTGTTACTGCTTCTGTTCACTGTGAGCCAGAAGAAACAAGAGGGAGTTTGTCCATCAACCTCCACATTCAGTGCATCCAACTCTAATCACATTGGTCACTCACATCTGGAATAGCCATCTTATTAAAACATAGCCAGGTATTAACTTGTCTACCCATGTTTGAAAGGCTTCTTACTCTTGAATCTTATTATGCTGAAAAACAACAGAAGTTATTTTAAAGTAATTATATTTTTAAAGTAATGTTTGTTTTGTTGGTTTTTTTTTAAGTTACCATTCAAAAAATTATTTTCATTTCTTTAAATATGTTAACCTGCAACACTGAGAGAAAGGGAGAGCTGCAGAAATTGTACTTGAGCATTTAATAAATTTATCAGCATTGTAAAGGCAGCCTTTTTATTCAAAGGCTCTGATTATTACCTAATCAATTTAAAATACACTAATTACAATATTAAAGGGATGTTTGTTTTGCCTATTTTTCCATTAGTCAGAACAATTCATAAACTTCTATTCAGTGCCTTTAAGATGGCCCCATTTCATTTGGCACTGGTTTGAACCACCCGTATTGGTGCAATTACCTTGAGGGAGCAGATGTTCTTCAGTGGCCACTCTTGTCATATATGAGACAGCTGATCCTCTAGCACTCATAAAATTCTTAATTTGATCTGTTGGTTGATTACTTATCTCCATAGGGGAAACTAAATTTAGAATTTATTTGGTCTGAATTTAAACTGGTTTTGTCACACAGTTTCAGCGAGAAGGCGAGAACAGTGGCAATTCTCCAGAAATACCAAGGCTGATTTACCAAGGCCAAAGATGCAGGTGCTTCCTACATGACCTGCACAGGGCAGTGCAGGCAGACCTGAGTGACTGACTCCATCTCTTTTCTGCAGCCCTTATTCTTGCATCTCCAGTGTTGCAGGTTTATTTTGTTTGAACAAAGTCCCTGGGTGAATTTCCTATTTGCCTCTGTGTGCGTGTTATTTGTGGCAGACACTGTACCTGGTCAGCAGCTCTAGAACTGGAGGCCCTGGACACTTTAAGCTGGGCTTCAGTGGAAAGAGAGATCTGCTTAATTTTGTCCCAGGTGAAGGAGTCCAGCGGTTCCTAGCCTGGACTACTGGAAGGTTTCCACATCCTCTTTGTCACATTAGTTGAGATGACTTGCAGTAGAAGTTGTCCAGTGAGTGTTAAGAACCTATTGAAACATCTTAGTTTTATAGTGATATTGTTAGGAAAACAAACTCTTTAATTGTTAAAAGCAATACATGTGCTGATGCAACATATTTTGTGTTAAACTAGTAGCAGTTGTAGAAAAGCTTTAGAAATGGTATCCCATCATCATTACTGTGGTTTTGAGCTGTGCTAGAAATCACATAATGCTGCATCTGGCTTAATGCATGTGGCTTCATGCATGTTCTTGCATCCCTACCCAGAGCATGAACTGGATACAAGGAAGAGATTGTGAGCAGCAAGTATTTTTTCCTAGGAGTGCAATTTCATAAACTAATAAACACATAACGTTCAAGTCACTATGTTCATTACCACAATTCTGGACAATGTCTTGTTCTTTAGTACCATCCCTTGATTTTGTGATAGCAACTCTTTTCTTTGGGAGTTTGCACTGAAAAGATGCAGATTCACCTGAATTCCAAATATTTCCAATCTTCTGTGAATTGAAAATTATGATTTAACTTTTTATATGTTTCTCAGCATAGTTCTAAAACCACAGAATGAAATGGGAAAGTAGCAGCAGTTCTGCATTAATTTTAATGTCTAAATAAAAGGTTTCTTCTGTAAAATAAAAAGGTAGTTTAACATAGGTTGCTCTATTTCATTTGTTCTAACTGTTTGCTAAAACAGGTATTTTACTGGTTCTACTAAAATTTCTAATTGCACTGGTACTTTTTAATATGTTATTTTCATAATGTGCCTCAAAGTGACCCTGCGCTGGGCTAGTCCTTGCTTCATTTGAGAAACAGGATGTCGGTGCCCACCAGTGCCACCAGTGAGAAGCTGCCACATCCAGTTTCCCGTGTCCCAGCCTGCGTGGCCCTGGCACAGCCCAAGGTGTGACCATGGCCACTGATGGTCACCCCTGAGCTGCTGGTTCAGTGTTCAGCTAAACCCAGTCCTCACTGCAGTAATAATACCTGTTTTAAATAATAACACCTGCTTAATTAACACCTGTTTGTGAGGATTTGTGTTTGGGTTTTTTCATTCATGGGCTCTATGCTTTCACTGCACAACAAGGCTCAATGCATCTTCCAGGGCTTGGTGACTTCAGTTTACTCCCAGCCCCGTTTGACTTATATGGTGCCGAAACCTCACAGGGTTGGGGAAGGAGGCTGTAGAGATTTCACAGCTCTTGCATTTCTGTTGCTACCTGTTGGCATCTGGTCAGATTTGGGGCTGCTTGGCATTCCTTGGGGTCAAACACAAAGTCCTGTCTCAAATCTGTCCCATGTTCCCCGGGATCAGGGCTGCAGAACCAGAGGTAGGAGCACATGTAGTTGTAGCTGATCTCTGCAGAAGCAGTGGTGGAAAGACAGTGACATGTTAACTGTTAGTACATGAAAACAAGAATATAACTGGGGAGTCACATTTGTAGAGAAGCCCAAAACTCATCTCAAATTGGCTTGCTTTGAAAAACCAGAACAACTGGAAAAGGCCAGAATGCAGGTGACCCACAGAGGGCCTTTCAAGGGAAACTGCATTGGCTGCAGATGCAAGTGTGTTCCAGACAGTAGCTGGTCCTGTCCAGACATTTTGGTGTAACAGCTCAAGTTAGCAGGACCTTTCCAGGCCTCTCTTGCTGGGTTACCTCTGCAGAATCTGAAGGAAGATAACAGCTGTAAAGTGGGACTTGCCCCTTCAAAAAGCAAAGAAAATGAAGAAAGCTGAGCATTTCTTCACTGCAGATGATACAAGAGATCTTTTTCCTGAAATAGGCACTTGCATTTCTCTTTTTCAAGAGGGTGTTGTTTTTTTTTTTTTTTTTTCAAGGGGTTTTTTTTTTTTTTTTTTTTTTTTTTTTTTTTTGGAGGGGGGGTTGTTTGTTTGTTGTGTTTTGTTTGTTGTTGTTGTTGTTGTTTTTGGTTTTTTTGGTTTTTTTTTGTTTTTTTTTTTTTTTGGGAGGGGGGGGTGTGTTTGTTTCTTTGTTTGTTTGTTTTTGGTTTTTTGGTTTTTTTTTTTTGTTTTTTTGTTTTTGTTTTTGTTTTTTGGGGTTTTTTTGTTTTTATTTTTTTGGGTTTTTTTCCCCTCCAGACCATTGTAGCAATTGAAATGAGAAGCCCTTAAATCTGCTTGTGTGAGTGAATCTGGCAGGTCCCTGAATGCAGTCAGCCAGCTCAGCTCACCCCCTTGCCCTGCAGAGAAGGAGGGCAGCACCAGGGCTCTCTTTTGCCCTCTGGGCCCTCACAGTGAGCCCCTGCCAGGTGATCCCAGCAGTGCCCTGGGGAGGCTTCCCAGACAGCCATGGCCACCTGCATCTGTTTTCAGGCACAAGGCAAGGCTGAATCTCAGAATCCAGCTTCACCTTCACACTGGGACCTCCAGCAAGTTGACAGGGAGCACCTTTCCTGGAAAAAGCCAGGAAGCCTGTTGGCTGAATCCTCCTCTGGGGGAAGCAGAGGGGGAGTGTAACAGCTCTGACAGCAACAGAAGGATGCCACAGACTGATCTACTGGTTTCTCCCTGGTGGAATTACAATAACTGTAATTATAATTTATAAATTAATATATAATTTCCCGCTTCACCACCTAACAGAAAGAAAGAGCCATCACCTTTATGGTGACCTACTTGTGCAGTCACTGTGCCCAGGGATAAGAACAATAAGGCTGTAACTTGAGGCAAGCTCATGGGACTGAAAAACTCTGCTAGAAACTGAAAGGAAGTTACTGTGCCTTGTACTGCTTTTATCCCACTTGCCCTGTTTGCATGGAGCCATGTTGTTGCACAGAAACACTTAATCCTTCCCACCCTGCCTTCTCTTCCTCCAGGCCTAGTCCTACATGCATGCATGTTTGCACTTTTTTTTTTTTTTTTTTTATGCATAAATTTAGTTTAAACTTAAAAGCAGTTACTTGCCGATTAGGCAGAGCGCAAGTTGTCTTTATTTTGCCAATTGAAACTGTTGCTGTTATAAAGGGCTCCACTCTTTGAGGCAGTGCTAAAGCTTCTCTCTGATGACATTTGTAGCAACTCTGCTGAGCTCTGGGACCACTGCAACAGTGGCTCTACTCCGGGATGGAATTGAGCTGGTTGTGGCAAGTGTGGGAGACAGTCGCGCTCTGCTGTGCCGGAAAGGAAAGCCCGTGAAACTCACCATTGACCATACTCCAGAGAGAAAGGAGGAGAAGGAAAGGTACCTGCTGGCTGGCTGATGATGTGGCTTCCCAGAGCACAGCCTCAGTCAGGATGGACTCCTGCTCTGCTGCTGGGTTGGGCCATGGAGAAAGAAGAGTTGAACATAGAGCCCTTAGACCGCTCTGAGCTGGCAGTAAGCTCCAGTTAATGCACTGGGTCCTGTTTGGTGGACCAGAGATGTGGAAAGAACTCCATGAGCATAAGATCTCAGCAGTAAGACCAGCATCACAGATTCAGAACAGAGCTATGACCACATGGCTCAGACTTGTCCAAAAGTGGGAAGTTAGAATCAACTTAGAACCTGAGGAAATGCACTGTGATTCCCAGGTCAGGACTCAGCCCACCAAGGCACATCCCTTCCACAGAGCCCTTCAAACAGCTAAAGCCAACCCTCAGCCTCCCAGCTTAGGCTCTCCATACATCATTCCTCATTCTAGCTACTGACAGAAATAGAGAAATAGAGGATAGAGATAGGGGTAATGGTGTGAAACAGTAACTAATTTCCTTTTTTTTTTTTTTTTTTTTTTTTTTTTTTTTTTTTTTTTTTTTTTGGTACCTCTGGACAGGATTAAGAAGTGTGGTGGCTTCATTTCCTGGAACAGTTTGGGACAACCTCATGTGAATGCTAGACTTGCAATGACACGGAGCATAGGAGATTTGGATCTTAAAAACAGTGGTGTGATAGCCCAGCCAGAAACAAAAAGGGTTCAGGTAAAAGAAGGTCTGGTTTACAGGGACAGCAGCACTTGGACTAAGGGCTTCATAGGTATTTGATGCAGTAGTGGTACCCACACAACAGAAGCTCAGGTGAAACCTGATGGCCATGCATTGGTTTTTACTGAAATAACCACAGAACAACTCTCATTAAGTTGTTTCAGATTAATACTAAAAGGACAGAAAGGAATCTGGTACTAAAGTCAACCAGATCAACTTCTAAATCTCACTTCTCACAGCAAAATATATGATGAGGGAAGAAAGATAACACATGATATGTATTACAGATGTTAGTATTGTTTGGGTCCTGTGGTCAAATGAATAATTTTGAGGTTAATGCTGATATAAAACCATCACTGAGAACTGGGTGGGATATGGATGGGCTGCCATCAAAAAAGTAGGATGTATAGAGATTTGCACAGTTGAGATGAAGAGGGGGAGGAGGAAAGGACAGCTGCATGTGTCTTACCATAGTTCTGTAGTCATCTAGAAAACAAATTAAACACCCAGAAGGTATTCAACCTCCACTTTGGCAGGAAGGTCTCCTGCCACTTCATATTATGTTTGTTACTTTTCCCCAGTGCACCTCCCAGGGCCCCAAGAACTTACATTGTTTTTGTCCCAATAAAGTGCCACCCACTAGGGGTTTAGGGAGACAACTGCAGCACTAGCATGTCTTCCTTGAAATCCTCAGCTTCAGGAGAGCACACGGCACCCCAAGAAAATAAAAAAGTGCTCTGCAAGAGTGTAAAACCATGGGGGCTGTTCCCTTGCCTTGCAGCACTCACCAGGGTGATGCATCCCATGTGCCTCTGTTGCAGCTGCACCACGCAGACGACAGCTTCCTGGTGCTGACCACCGACGGTATCAACTTCATCGTGAACAGCCAGGAGATCTGCGACTTCATCAGCCAGTGCCACGACCCTGCTGAGGCCGCCCATGTGGTTACTGAGCAGGTGATGCCAGCACTGCTCTGGGCACCAGGGGCTCCTGGTTGGGCTGGTTTGGCTTAAAAAAGCAAGGTTTTTGTTTACACAATAGCACACATTCAACTGAATTGAACAGTGCAGGCTGGGACATTGACCAATCCTGCTGGCCAGCCTTTTCCTTATCCTGGGTCTCGCCACATCCTTGACAGGCGTCACGTCAATTAGCTTGTTTAGCTCACTGTCCACTGAACGTCATGGGATCGTAATTGCAGCTTCTGCCTGTGCTGAAAATGTCATTGTCATAGACAGAAATGGCCAGTTTCTGACCTTGGTTCTGGATGGTGGCATATCCTATGGGAAGCTCTGGAGCATATCAGAATGGACTATCAGGGCTGGGAAAGGGCAAGGGAGTCTCAGGCCTCAGGATTGGGAAGGGGCAAGGAAGTCTCCGGCCTCAGGATGTGCCATCCCAGGTGAAGCCAGACACTTGTTTTCCTTTCCAAGCAAGATACTGATGCTGACACTTTGTTTCTTCTCTCAGGCAGTGCAGTTCGGCTCTGAAGACAACAGCACAGTTGTCATAGTGCCATTTGGAGCTTGGGGCAAGTACAAGAATGGGGAGATCACCTTCTCCTTCAGCCGCAGCTTCGCTTCCAGCGGGAGGTGGGCGTGAAGACAACGACACAGCGATCCTTTCCTGCCATCACCTGGACACAGCGTGCTACAGAACACCTCCATCTGTTCCTAGGCTGACTCAGTGTCTAGTCCATCTCTTCTGTTCCCAGTGTTAGAAGATGCCGCCGCTCCCTTGGTGTGTAGTGCCCGTGTTGCTTCCTGCTGACCGTGTCTCGCTGCCTGCGTTATTCCCAGCAGCATCGGGGCAGTGCCCTGGGTTTGTCGCCCCAGCAGCTCCGCACATCACTTTGTTCACACAGACGAGGTTCTGGGCTTTCACCTGAGGCTGGAGAGGGTGCACAGTCATTTCATGCCTACTTGTATTCCTCAGGACCCTCAGCTCCCTGGCAGTTGTGAGTCCCTGAGCCACATGCTGACTTCCTTGTCCGATAAAACACAGGGGAACAAACGCACAATGTTCTTAGGTAGACAGAAAGAGGGTTTGTTGTCTTCTTCTGCTGCAGCCACCTGAAACTCCCCTGTGCTCCAGGAGAAGTGGGTGAAAAATAAAGAAGTTTCAGAATGTTTAGGTTCTGATGCCAGTGGCATTTGATGTAGCTTCTCAAGTTCCTGAGACAGTGCTGCTTTGTGCTCTCACTGCCATCATCTGTGATCCTCTAGCTCCAAGGAGACAGACCAGGCTGGAGCCATGTGCTGTTGGACAGATGGGAACCTTTCTCCATTGGGTCCAAAGCCTGTGCAGTCTCTGTGGACCATGCAGCAGCCCCTTGCACTGTCTTCTCTTTGCTGTCAGTGCCTGACAGAAGCACAGAGGAGGGAAAAAGATGCACAGTTTTGATATCCAGAGACTCTCATCAACTTGAATATCTTTTTTTTTTTTTTAAATAAAGAAAATAAGCTAATTTCAAAGAGTTTACTCTTGAAGATCTGATGCGTAAGACAGTTTATTTCTTCATACATACCTGAGGATTTTCCTGCCTTCTGCTGAAGGTGTCTCAGTTAGTTGTGATCTCTCATGTCTCTTCATGGTACACAAGGAAGTATAAAATGCCACAAACAAGCTAGAGAAAGGAGAGAGCATTATAACAATGTAAGGTAATTTTTGTAAGTTTTGGGTATTGTTTCTAGTAGATGTCAGATATTCAGATACCAGAAAGGAATTTTATACTTAAAGAAAGTGTTTCCAGTTCCCTTTTTGGAGGGGAATCTGTATCCAGTGAGGCATGGGGGGACCCGAGCTCTGATCCAGCTCATATCACTGCTGTGATATGGACTGCAGGTGACATATTGGCACAGATGAAGATCTGTCCCAGTGTGCCTCATTCAGACCTCTTCTTTCCTCCATTCCATGTTAGCTGTCAGCTCCTGTGGCAGTGAAATATGGGCAGAGAAGAATTGGTCTTTTCTCAGACTTGCCACAGTATTTTTCCTTCTATGGATGCTTCCAGTAGCACAATTGTAAAAACAAAACGAAATGAAAGAGAAGTTGCCTGATACTAAATCATCTTGTAAAAAAAGAAAAAAAAAATTCTGAGGTGCCTGGACTGATTCTGATTTTTCAGTGTGAAATACATCTCTTCATTTCCTTTAATCCAGGACTGATTCTGATTTTCCAGTGTGAAATACATCTCTTCATTTCCTTTAATCCAGGGTTACCCCTTAGGCAGTCAGTCCATTAGTGTTTCCTTGTCTGTGGTGGAAGGCCCAGCAGCAGCCAGCAGAGCACCGTGTTGTGCTGACAGCGTTAAGTGCTGAGTGGGCAGAGTGCCCTGATTTTGTCTGTCCCATCACTTGGTGTGCCACGGTGTGCACAATGTACTTACTTGGGTTGTAACAGTGCTGTTTGTAAATCTCTGCTGTACTGGATGCTGGTGCCCAGGCCTGTGTAGTGAGCACACCACTGGTTAACAATCCTAATTCTCTCTCCTCAGATTTTCCTCAGAGGTGGGGTTCAGTGTTCACCTGAGGTCAGGAAGGTTGCTGTTGGGGGTTTTTATTTCTCCTAACAGCATAACTGTCTTCTCAGGGGAAGGATCTACCCATAATTTCTTTGAAATTTTACCAAGGAAGGGATAAGACAAAGCTCTGTGAAACAGAGGATGATTAGATTCAGGTGTATTGGTGGTTGTTATTGCTGCTTCTCTACTACTGAAGAAACTCTTGGATTGGGAAGGACTCCCGGGCACCATCTCACCTCCAGCCCTTTCTATTGCACCCATTGTTTTCTTTGAACAGTTTCTTTTCCACTCCTGGGGCAATTCCTGTAGTTGCTGCTGTTGTTTGAGTCCTGCCTCAAGCCCAGCCCTCTCAGAGCGCTGAACTGAGGCTGGGTAGGCACAGGCCAGGCCAGGTATGGGGCAGAAGTTGCTGGTTTTCACTGGGGTGGGCAAGGCACCCCTCCATCAGGTGACACACCGGTTTGCCAGGGTTGGTGCCCATTCAAGGGTAAAGTCCCAGGCTCTGGGTGGTGATACCTGTGCTAGGAACCTGCCCAAATCCTTCCACACACCCTGCCAGCCAGGGAACAGCCACCTCAGGGTGCATTTCAGTATTGCTTCACCCAGAAATCTCCTCTTATACCGTGATCACAGCAGATTCCACCAACCCCATTATGTGCCAACAGTGTTAGTAGCATTAGCAGCTCATGTAAACGTGAATGAGGACCCCTGGACCCTGCACAATCATCCACACCGATCCAGAGTGGGGAGAGGGAGATGTATTCCCTCATCCTCTTGTGGAGACAAGACAGCTCCCGCAGCTCAGCGAGGCTATCCATGCCAGGACACAGCCCAGAGCCATTGTTTGTACTAGCGCATTCCCAGCTTCAGCCTTATAAAGGATGAGCAGTGCAGCCAGCAATCTCCCTGACTCCCACAGGCTGCCGCTGCTGTAGCAATGACACACTGGATACAAAGCGGCCATTGCCACGTCCCATGCTGGGCGCCAAAAAGGACCATGGGAGATGAACCTAGCCTGAACATCAGCTGCCCACCAAGCTGCACGTATCATTCCCCTCCACAGCAGAGTGAGGGCAGGGGGCAGAAAATAAAATGAAAAAAACCCCCAAACCTGGTCAAGATAAAGATAATTAATAGTGTTACCAGCCCCTTTTCAGGTGCCAATACAGCACTGTGAGGATGCTGTGGGCAATGAACTCCATACCAGCCAGGCCTAATAAACACTTCAGGTTTTCCATCTGGTCACGAGGCCTCCTGCAGCCCACGGCAGCTCTGCAAGCAACCAGCTCCACTGTGCCCCACCAGGGACTGGCAAGTTCCTCCCGCACAGCAGAGCTCCTTCAGCTTGAGGACAAAGAGCAAATTGTTCTAAAATGACAGCTGCCTGCCAGAGAGGTTTATTATTCCAGGACAGTGAAGGATCTCACACTTCGAATGAAACAAAATGGAATGTTTGCTCTCTAGCTCACTGTCTTTCTGTGCATCTGAGGTTACAGCAAAAAGAGTAATTTTTGTTTATCACAGGCTGAAACAAACATTAGGGGTGACCTGCTGAGCAAACTGTAAAAAATGTTTGCTTTCTTCTACCTTTTGGGGGATGGATTCTGAAATCCATTGGATTGGTAAGAATATTTTCCTGCCTGAACATGCCCCCTGGAGCAGTGGAATCTCTCTCTGTACAGGCACTGCAGGTGGGTGGGCTGTGGGTGCAGAAAGACAAAAATGCTGTCCAGCTAAGTATTCATTTTTACTGTGAGGATATGGCAGGCATGGGGGTGGTCTTATGTTGCTGGAGGATTTACTAGGAGAGGCGTTGAGATTGCAGATGGATTTCCAACTTAGGTCTCTCCCTACCACTTGCAAAGATGGGGGTTTCATGCTTTATAGAGGGAACTCCCAAAAAAAGTAATTTGCAGCCTGCATTTAGGAGAGCTGGTCTCTGTGGATGATGAACATAGCACAAGAGAGTGAAACGGGACAGAGATCCAGTAATCAATTTAATACAGGCATTCATTACATTTAGTCCCTTTGTGCTGAAATGCTCAGGGCTGGAGAATAATCCTGGAGCAGCTGAAAATGGGGGTGTGGAGAGAAATCAGCAATATCACCATTTTTTATATATTTGGAAATTGAAAGGAGCTTAGACACACCACAGGATTTCAGCTGAGTTCCCAGTGGTCAGGGTTCCATGACCCACATTTTCTGTCTCAGCTGGTGGATGTGCTGTGGTCAAAGACATTGGGATTTTTAGCTAAGGGAATAATTTCTCTTAAAAACCTTCAGCTGGGCACTGCCAGGTCATTGCTCACTCACCCAGGAGGTAAAATGTACAGTACAACCCCACTCTGGGCATTCCTTGGTTCCAAACTGCTGTTCTGAATGCAGAGATACCCATCAGGTGCCCTCTTGACCCGGGATATGAAGTGCTTGAGCAGTGGTGCCTGCCATAACTTTCTTACAGACTTAAGTGCAATTGTGTACATTTACTACATGCTTTGCCTTAGGACTGTGTCTAATTTCTGTGGTTTGATATTTATCTTTGGTGTAATCAGTGTTCAAATTTCATCTACTATGAAATTTTATAGAGGTGCCCATCTTGCTTTTTTTTTTTTTTTAATGTTTTTTTCATCTTCATCAACTCAAAGCTACAGTAGAGCAGCTAAGTCCGTCCTGGAATGCTTTTAAGAGCTTTCAATAAAGGATTGGCTTCTAGGAACTGTGTCACTACAAATGGATTTTTCTTCTTCCACCGCATTGCCAACTACCAGAAAAGCTGCAGCTTCTCAAGCTGTCACAGCTGTCCTGTTAGCCCTGGGCCTCGGTGCTTGCCATAAACAGCTTCTGATAACCAAGGCTTTGGCTACAAAGACGCTCTCCCAGAGATAAGCAGTGCAAAGCACCTCCTGTCTCTGGGCTGTGCTGCACCAGGGTGTCACGTTCTAACTTGCTATTTCTGTCTCCCTGGGTGGCTGTCACGGTGAGCAATGCCAGCCTGTGACACAGGGCAAAGAAACAAATTCGGCCTCTGCAGGAAAATGTAGTTTTGCTGCTGCATGAATTCAACCTGCTCCATTACACTTGAAGAAACTATAAGGAAAAAGTAAGAGCTGAGGGTTTTAACTCAGATGCAGAAGTAACCCTGAGATCACTGGTATTTTTAGTTAATACAGCTTTTCACAGCTGGGCTCAAACCTATTTTACTTTCTCTCCCTTGAAGGCAGCAGCCTTGAATTCAATGAGGTCTTAGTTTCCTACAGCTGAGCTCCAGCATTTCTTTTCAGGAGCAGAGTCCTTTTTTGCTCTCCTTTGTTGCCAATCCACATCTCAGCTCAGTTTGGAGCTGATGAGCTCTTGGATATATGCCCATATCCCATGGTGGTCCTGTAATCACTGCTCACATGGGTAAATTTGGAGAGCTTGGGTGGTGTGTTGGAAAACCTGCTGGCCAGCTCTGCCCTTTCACAGGACTTGGGAAATGGCTCCCAGGCTTCTCTGCAGTTGGAGCATTCATCCTCTAATGAGCATCCCTGTGAGCTGCTGCTTTGTGAGAACAGGGCAGCAAAGCACCAGCAGCACCACAGTGGTTCCTTCCCCAGCTTCAAGATGGTCTGGGCAGAGCAGCCAAGCTTTAAGGAGAGCATAAAGCTCTCAGAACCTGGGCCTGGGAAGAGCTGGGAACTCTTCCGGAGCTCGTGTGAGCACCACCCCACGCACTCACCTGCACAGGATTTTCATCACTGCTGTTGGGCAGAGCCTTTTTACACCTGCCCCCAGCTCAGTGCTGGCAGTGGAAACACTCCCACCCAGACACTGTCTCTGCCCCTGCACCAGGGGCTCTGGTGCCCTCTGGTGCAGGCAGGATTGCATTTAGGTTCATCCATGACCAAGTTTTGGTGCCATTCCTTACAAATTGGCCTTTTTTGGGGGGCCGGGCCCACATTCAACGCAGTGCCACACAACTCTTCCCCAGGAAGACAGGGCAGGATTTGACTCCCAGCGCATCAGCCCTGTTCCTGGGCTTGCTTACCCCATCCTCCTGCCTACGTGGTGTGGTACAGTAACCTCACTACTGAATCAGATCTGTATCCTCACATGGAGATGTGTCCCACTGCCTTAAAAACACTAATGCACTTTATAGAGAACACCAAGCCTGGAAAGCAGCTCAGCCTCACTTTTCTGAACTGAGTTACTGCATCTGTCATGAAAGACAATTCGGTCACAGCAAATTGGCCACAACTTTGGTTTTACCTGCTAAATGGAATTCCTGGTCCCGGGCAGTGCTTCCACCTGGCAGGAACGGTGGTGGAGCCAGAGCTAAAGGCTGGGGCACTTGCAAGGAGCTGTGTCACTCAACAAGTGCCTCATTTCACTGCAAAACTGGCTGCTGGCCCAGCTGATGCCTGTTGGGATTTTACCAAGGGCCGGGACTGCACTTTCGCAGTCAAAAGGTCCATCACGATTGTGGGCTCCACCACTTCCCAGTGCTTGTTCCTGGCACCTCCGCTCTCCATCATGCCTGGAAAATGAGCTTGAAATATTGCATACAGTAACTGACCCAGCTGCACAGAGCAGCCTGGAGCTGCTGTTAGTAGGAAATCTCTCCCCAAAAAGAGTGGGAGGCAATGCTAGACCCCACAGCCCAGAGCTGGTATGGTTACCTGGCTGAGTGCTTCAGTAACATCCATCCATGACCTGCCCCCTGGCAGCAGGACACTCAGGCTGCAGCTGTCAAGTGTCTGCAGCTGCTGAGCAAAGTAACTCCCCCAAAACTGTTGAAGAGAAAGTTTTTTTTAGTGTGTTGAAAGATTTAAAATGTGGAAATGGCCGAGTGTGAAATACCTGAACCTTTGAAAAGTGGACATTACCATCCTATATAACCAAGACATGCCTAAGCAAGGCCATGGAAATGGCTTCTCTAACTCCCTCCTTTTCCACTGCCCTTGTCCAGCATGACTTAATTATTTTTTGTCTGCTTTCACTGTATTGGCAGAGCCTGTTCTTCTACGCACTGTCACATTCTGCTGTTGCAGCGTGGCAGGGTGCCAGGAATGCTGCAGCCTTCTTTGAGGCATCTCCTTCAGAAGTAAGGCCACGGGAACAGCCATTTCCAGTCCATGCACACGCCACAGATGGCTCAGCAGAGGAAAGCCAGGAAGGGTCTTTGCATGATACATTCCAGCCAGGGGTGTATCACACCCACCACACCAGAGGGACCAAAGACAGCACCGTGTGCTCTGCACAACTTAAGCGTGGGGTCAGTGACCAATGACCTGGGGGCACAGGGGCGGGCAAAGGGCAGCAACCTGTAGGGGGATGAGGGATGAGTAACTGGGGTGGGCGGTGTCAGCTGGCCAGTGGGGGAGGCAATCTGATGTGGATTGGCAGCAGTGCTGCCGAGCACCATGGGTTAAGTCTTCTCTATCAGCCTGGGTGGGGAAAGCTCTGTGATATCAGAGGATTCCACATTCTGCTGAATTCACACTCTACAACTTAAAGCAAAAAAGAACAAACTAAGGCACGTGATTTCATGCTGCACCATCATGAATGGGCATACTCACATTCAGAAAGCAAAACTGTGACAAGTAATAGAACCTTACTCCTCATGGTCACACAGAAAAATGTTACTCATTAGTTACCACTCCTGAGTTAAAAACGTTTATTCAACTGCAAATGACGTGTCTTTCCAACAAATGCAAACCATCTTTTTGGTGGTAAATAGCAGGTATTTATTTGAAATGAAAAAAAAAATACTTCAGTACCTGAACTATTGCATTTAATCATGTATTGTTGTAATCGTGTTACTCTACCTTTTTGCATTGGAGACAAATATACAATGAACATTCAGATATCACAGATTGCACACTAGATAGTAAATCGTCAGGCCTTTTACGTAACCACCAAAAAACAGATATTGGATTCTGCAATATAGTACAAAATTCCACACTCCAGTCTCAGCCAGTTATCTTCAATTTACTCCTGATGCTGTACAAATAAATGGCCATTTACCTAGGGCTTACAAGTTAATAACAGAACAAAAAAAATATACATTGCACTGACACAAAAAGTCAGCTGTGTTAATAGTCATGCAACAAGTAACCAAACTTGCTGAAATTAAAAATACTTTCTAAAAACAGTTTTAACTGCATAAGTATTTTATACACAGTTCATTTACCGAAACAAAAGGAGTCTTTAAATGATCCAAAGCAAATATAAGTTTCTACCAATTTTATACATAAGAAAGTGCAAAATAACTTACCTAAAGTGTTTTGCTATTGAACTGATGAATGTTGGCTGGAGGCAGCCAACCCCTCTCAAAAGCATGACATTACAGTTGCACACTACAAACGAATGTTAGGAGTACATGGATAAGTTTACTACAAAGAACAAGGCAGGAGAAGACATGTGAGGTACTTGCAGAGAATACAGTCCACTAATGTTAGTGTAAATGAGTATATTTTTGCTCAACAGATTTTTTACATGGAAAACAAAGCAAGTATTTGCATTAGAAGCTCGAATGAAATGGAAAAAAACCCCACTCCCACATGAACACCACAGTTGCCCACAGCACCAGCTGCCAAAGGGAATATGAGCAGGTGTGTTTGTCCCCCTCCGCCTCCAACAAGCAAAACCATGTTTTTTTGGGAACAGAACTAAGTCAGAGGGCTGTGGTGGTCTGCTTGCAAAATGTAAACTGGGCTTAGCCTGCACACTGCAGAATTTGTAAGGAATAAGGATTTCTTTAGTGCGCTGCCAGTGCCGCAGGCACGAACAACACCCGTACAACGCATGTGGCGACAGCCCCACCCTCAGGACCCCACAGCAGGACTCTGTCCTGGCTGCAGTGCTGGACCACATCAGTGCTGTTGTCATAGCCTTGCTTTTATTAGGGTTTAACAATGTGGCTGTACAAGCTGCAGTCCACAGAGAAGAAGGCTTCCTTAAATTTGGGGATGATTTGGAAATCTGGAGGCAAGGGGAGAAAAACTGTGGACTCAAAGGCATTTAAGAGTTGTCAAAACAGCCTTTTCTTCAAACAGAAAATGTTAAGGCCACTAGCCTGTCTTCTGAACTATGCTGGTTTTGCATCATTTTGGGAAGGGTGAAGGCAACGTTAGAGAGAACAGCTGAACACAGAAATTCCAGTGCTCTGCACATGCTTACCCAGAACCTCTTCCTGTTTTAGGGTCAAATCTTCCAGGTAGCCAGTAGTCAGTGTGGCTACTTGACCATCACTCTTTGGATCCAAAATTTGGGTCAGCTAAGCTCAACAAACCTGCATTTACTCAACAGTGTGCAAGGGCTATAGAGAAGCCTTTCTGCTCATTTGGGGACCTAGTATACATACCTAAACAGGAATATATCTCATTTTACAGACCAGCACATACATAATAAACAAACAAGTATCAAAATACATATTTAACCTTCAGTGCATAAACATGTGATACCAGGGTAAATAGTAAGTGGTCAGAATTAACAAACTATTCACTGCTAAAAGCTCAAATCAAGAGAAGGCAGGGGTGCCCCCACAGTGCCAGGGACCCTCTGGAAGGAGCTCAGCCCAATAGAGAGGGCCTGGAATTTTTGATGGTGCAATTCCAACAACAATGCTGGTTTTAAGGATTTGCTGTCCCAGGGCCAGAGCCTGCCCAAGTCATTCCAAGTGAAGGATAATCTCATCCCTTTGAGTGACAACATTCACTCAAGTACTGCGAGAGCCACCTGTCTTCTGTTGGCCTGGGTCATATCCTTACCTCTGTTTAAAAGAATCCATTGTGAATATACCTAGCTCTAGATCAGTTTGTCACCCTTTTACAAAATATATACACATATGTCAAAAAACAAAAACAAACCGACCACCAGCCTGCCTGCTGCCCTCCCTCTACCCCTTTGCCCAAACAAAAACCCATTGGCAAGACCTCATGCAGAAATTAAGTCCATGGGCCTATCCCAATGCACGTGCTCCAATCCCAGCAGATATCAGTGTCTCTACTTCATCCCACATGTAGTGCAAAATAAATGACAGAGTAGTAAAAAAATACTGCAATTAAATTAATATTGAAACTTAAAAACCATAATGGAAATCTACTGCTGTCCTCAAGCTGATGGTGTGTGCTGAAAGACAAAGAGAGCTCCAAGGAGCATTTCTGACATGACCAAGATCACCCTGCTTTAGAGCAATGCCTGTTGTTACAAAAAGGTTTTTTGCAGAGAAGCTATGGGACAACAGCAGTTCAATTTTATGCACAAGGAATTAATTCTGTACCTATATGCAAAAGCCAATTGCTATTGACTAAAGAAGGTAAAAGCTGGTTCTTGCACCGCATGAATCAGCTGCTAATGAACATTAAGTAATTAACAAAACTGTAGCTCTGACATATGTATAAAAGAGGCCTTATTAAATATGAACAACACTGAGGTGGTAAATATTTTGGTATAAAACGCAACACAAGTGTACAATTTAGTTCCTGGTTATCTTACAGCTAGAATAAAATACTCCAAGTTCCTATTCTCAAAAATGTTTTCTTTTGAAAAAATCTGTGTAATTCTATGAATAGCCTCACTTAAATTAAGATACTGTGGGCAACTGAAAGAACAAACATGCACAGACTGGATTTTTAACAGAAAAACACATAATGCCTTTGAGTTTTCTGTTTTTCTTTTTTTGTTTTTTTTTTTTTTTTTTTTTTTTTGTTTGTTTTTTAACATTCATATTTAAATTGATAGATGAGATAAAGATGCCACACAAAGTACAGTGGTTAATCTGAAGTCCCATGTAACAGGCAGTTAAGTTCATATTTAGATAAAAAGGCCGTTATACCTATTTACAATATACACAGTTGCTTGCGAAGAAGGCAGATTTACAACTATCTTCTAAAAAGCCTTGCCCTCCCTCCCCCCAGTTAAGATGACTAACTCTACAAAAACAAGACAAGAAGGGATGTTTAGGATAAGTGAGGATTTTTGCAACAACCACCCCAGCGTGGGCTCAGGGGCTGCCAGTTCTGTTGGATTTATGGTTATTAACCATGTCTTCCTGGGCCTTGCTCTTCTCCTTACGCTGTTCGCCTCGTCTGCCTTCTGTCAACACAAACCAATGCAATGATCCCTTTTTACTCTTAGTGCTTAGAATGCAGTATAAACATAAGTGTAAACAGACAATATTCCAATTCCTTCCGATGCTCTCACTGGTTCCTGGAGTGACAGCGGGGCTGGATGAGGTTTGCCAGGCCCCCATCAATTTCTAGGCCCCTCCTCTGAGCCCCGCTCGTGCTGCAGATTGTAGAAGCAGTTCTGGCACACCCTGACCGGAGATGAAATCTTCAGCCGTTTGATTTCTGACTGAAACCGGCTGCACCTGTGGAGAATAAACAACCATCACTGAATGCAGGTCCTCCCCATTTCTACCCATTTTCTGACGAGTTGTGGGAATTATCACCACGACTTCAAACACCAGAAAACTGTCCTAACTCACCTTGACAGGGAGATGCAATGCAGTGTGGCAGAAGCAGAATTTAACTCAAATGGTCACCACAGAGTCAATGCAATGAGACTGTGTGACAGATAGCTCAACAACAGCTGTTGTCACCAGTTTAGACTCAGATCAAACTAGAAATATCATCTCTGACCCAGTGGATCAGAGATGAGACTTGCACTTCAGTTTGTGGGTAAGGAGAGCTCACAAACATCCTCTGTGTCATGAGTTTTGTCTAAGGCTACCTGCTAGTGGTCCCTAAATCAGCATCCTCACAGTCCTGCACACAGTTTAGGCAGCCTCAGTGTTTGACAACAGTTCTGTGGTATTTCACAGCTTTACCCCACCTAAAATCCTGTATGGAAAAAAGCCCAGGGGAGGCTGTTGGCTGCTTACTTCTGGCAGAACAGCTGTCCGCAGTTCCTGCAGTGGTGCCGCCTCTCGGTGAGTGAGAAGCGCACGGTGCAGCCCGAGCAGCTATCGCCGCCCTCGTCCTTCACCCAGTGGTCGGCCGCGGACCGGCCCGGCTGATCGCTCACCGACCAGCTGAACACCCTGCCCCGGCCGTCCCCGATCAGGATCCTGCTGTGATCCCTGCAAGGAAAAGCAAAAGCATTCCTGCAACAACTCTGGCACGGTAACGCACAAGCATCGATGCCTGATTTTACATGGCAGAGCATAAAATGATCAAGCACTGGTGTGGTGACTAACGCCCCGACTGCCCTGCTCTAACTGAGAAAGGGGGCTGTGACACTCTGTGTAACACAGTGCAGCTGAACAGGTCTCCCTCTCTTTAGTGCTTTTATCTCAGTCCTTGAAGAAGGCTACCCCGAACAGAAGCACCACAGAACAGAGTTATAAACAGTGGCACTTCTTCCTGCTGACAACAGCCAAAAATGTTTAAAGTCGTCATGTGCGAGCTACTCACTTGGAGATGCCGAGCGCAGTGATTTCTGCTGGGTGTGCGTTGTCCTTGCGATCAAACGCCGTGTGCATAGTTAGTTTGCTTCTGAACACCAGCTGACGCTCCCATCTGTATCCTACAAAGGAGTGGGAAGTTGGAGGGGATATGAGCAAATTTGCTTTTCTCATTTTTGTTCTCTCCTCCCCCAACATACTTGTAACTGCAACTTTGCAACAAGAGCACAATCTCCCTCAGAGATTAAAGTTTTTCTCTTTTTCTATAACATTTCACTTAGGAATAAAACAGGGCTGTGCACAGTTTCTTTTACCTGGTTTGAGCTTGCTGTAGTGCCGTGCTTCGGCATAGCTGGGGTGGGGGTGGTTAACCTGAGCATGGGGATGCATTTTTGCTTGACCCTCCGAATAATTCACAAAGATAAATCCATCTTTCTCATCCAAGCTGAGCTGGTCTGACCAACGCCTGGAGTCATCAGAGCCACTGTCTGCTGACCATGCTGCTGCTGCTCTGGCTGACGATGACCGAGGCCTGTGGCTGGTGCTGCTTGGCTGGCTCTGGCTCTCCTGCACTTTTGTGTCCTGGCCTATGCAAGCATCGTCTGCCTCAGAGTCACTGCTGTCCTCTTCATGGGCTTCCTGCCCTGGATTGGCACAACAGGGGACAAGGCACTGTTAGTGAACCTGGTTATGGCCTGAGCTTTTCCTTATTCTGCTGCTGCGCTGCCTGCAACCCAACGGGCACCAGCTGCTGACAGAGGGACACTGCATGCAGGCATCTCAGAGCCTTTTCAGAGATTCAGCTCCTGCCACAAATCACACCATTCCTATCTTTTGCACTTTTCTCTGTTTTGCCAGAGAATGACACGCTGAAGCTATTTCCTACAGCAGTCTCTCTGATGAAGGCTATGATAGACAGAAGGAGTAAGAACTCCAGAAACACTCAAGCTGGCAAATCCTTTCAGCAAAACTTACACAAGTAAGCACAGTCAGCTATGCAGAAACTCTGACTGAAAAACATGATGCAGACTTGTTAATAACAAGACTTGTTAACACAAAAGAGGAATTAACAAAGACATTTATACTCCAAGTGACACTGAAAATAACCAAAAGTTGTATTTATATAATAACTTATGAGTATCACGAGATTCAGATCCTAATCCAGATCACATCTTCAATATGAAGAGTGCAGGAGGAAGACGAGATGGCTAAAAGAAACAGTCATAATGCATAGAGCAAAAGCTTCCAAGAACAGAAAGGGATATCATTGCTTGTCTTGTTTAAGCTGTTCAATCAGTAGATTTAACTCAGCTGTTGTGCTATAATTCCACTTCATACTAAAAAATATCTAGCTTTTGGACAATCCATTGAGCATGCCAACAGCCGAAACAAACCCAGAGAGAAGTTCCACCTTCACAGAACAAAAAGCTACGACGGGCAACATTTTTCTTGCTCATAGCAACAAGAAACTACCTTAAGTAAGGTAGTGAACACAGAACTCGGATACTCTGTTCATTGTGCCCACTGGATGTCCACTGCCTTTTGAGATAAAATCTCCATCACCTCATTCTGCACTGTATAACCACAGGACTTGACCTACCTATAGCAAAGATCTGATACAAAGGGAAATACCAAACACTTGTCAGGAGACATACCTATCTGTGCGTCCTGACAGTCCTCTTGCATTTCCAGCATCTCCACAGGCTCTGGAGCTGGTGTTTCTGGTACTTGTAAAAACTCCATCCGCCAGAACTGCAGGGACAGGGGATAAGCAGAGTGGCACTTACTGAACTCTTGGCTTTTTCCTGAGCTACTTGAAGAGTTAAAATTGCTTAGTAGAACTGTGTATTCGCACTGGTAGCATGAAAGGCAGGTCACATCTCCATACTAAGCTCTGTTTTTGAGGACTAGAAACTGTAAGAGGACATCTGTGTTCGTGCCTGAATCCACTCTACACAGCTGTCCAACCAGCAGACTCTGCATCCAAAAGTACTGAAAATTTGATTAGACTTGTAGCGATCTGAGATGACACTAAGTTTCTCTTTTCTTTCTAGCCAAGCCAAATGAGTTGTCTCAAGGTGTGTGAAATTAAAATGGTGAACCAAAACGGTAGTCTTCATACCTATGAAAGCTAGTGACCAAAACAGAGCAGGAAAGAAAATGTATGCTCTGCTGACTATTGCTGGTTACCATATCCCAATGTGGACATCAAAAAAGGAGGAGCTGTTCAGGTGAAATTCCCAGGTAAAGCAGGACTGCTTTTGGTCCTGGTCAGGACACTGTGTTGTCCTGGACAGGTATGACTTTTCTAAATACTACCACCACCAAGGCATAAGCTTTATTTTCCAGGCAGTGATTCCTGGTACTTACCCGGACAACTCCGTCCGAGTGCCCCGTTACGATGACATTCTGGGTGTCCCACTCATTCATTTCTGACACAAAACAACACATAATTTGCTGGCTTCGGCCAGTGAAGGTGTTTACACTTGCAGTAGGGCTGCCATTAATGCTCCACACGTGGATGTAAGTGCCAGCACATGATACAATGTCTCCCTGCAAAGAAAAATAACACCTCCAGATTTCAATACAAAGGTGCAGGCATTCTTCAGCAAAAATATAAGTCAAGTTCATTTATAAGTCAAGTTGCAAGGCTGGCACTTTTCAGGAAGTTCTATTCAAGGGGCATCTGGCCAGCTGAAGAAACCTTTAGGATTAAACCATTTTTTTTTGTTTTAAATTCTACCTAGAAAACCACACTTAGTAGCAACCTATTTGTTCTATTTACAGCACAGAATGAGTTGACCAATTCCTCCACTATTCATAACATAACAATCCAACAGCCTATTTTTAGTACTTTCAGTTTCCAAAGACTGCCCATGCTGACATTGCTCTTTTTCACAAATATGTACCACCTTAAATTTCATTTGCTTCCTCATTGGGAACAGTCCAAACTAGCGCAGAGGAAAACAGGAGCTGCAGTCTAAAGCACTGCAGCACTACAGCCAGACCAACAGCTAATAAACTATACTTGCAACACCCTGCTTGCATTACAGCCCTCTCTTGTCTTGATTTTAACCACTGCATCTGCTCCAGCTGCAACAGGGTCCATCCAGCCTTGATGGCCATGCATGGGAGCTGGAAAAATGGTGACTTGTAACTCACAGGACCACCGGGTATGTCTGTTTCCACTACAACTGGCACTGCATTGTCACCCCAGTTTCCTTTAAGTTCAGCATAAGACAAGAGAAGCCAACCAAGGTCACGTATCAAAAGCTCTTCTTAGCTCCTGTGGCAGATCTGGCAGCTCACTTGGAATGTCACATTAATTACACTGCTTCTGGCATTGTTAATAAATAACCTCTTCTGAGCTCAAGCCACTCGGCGTGGAATGCACCTATGTAGGGTTCTACACAAATGACACAAATTATTCCTAAACCAGTTGTTAATCAGTTTTCAGATGAGTTATACAAGTTCTGCCAAATTAACAGGAGAGCCTAGTGGTTTTTTTCCTTTGGTTTAATGATTTCCAGCTCTTGCTACTGTTCCCACTGCAGCCTGGTGGATGGAGTTTGGCTCTCACCGTTAATTCATTTATACAGAGTGCTGAAATTGGAGCCCTGTGCCCTCGGAGCTGTGTCAGGAAGGAAAGCTTATTCAGATCCCAGATGATGCAGGTGCGATCCCGGGATCCACTCACAATTATGTGATACGCTAGTGATGCCGTTAAGCATGTGACAGTGTCAGTGTGACCGAGCAGTGCCTGCAAAACAAGTCAGGAGCAAAAGTGGGAATCAGCAAAGAGCACAAAAATTCCACATCAAATCCTCTTACCGGAAAGATTCAGATAACGTAACCAGAATATTCCATCAGAAGATGCAGCCACCTTATAAGTCTTCAGTTGATAACTATTTCCATAACTGAAAATGGTAAAAGTAACATTTTTTCCCATTTAAAAAGAGCTCTGACAAAACAAAATTTCAAGGGTCTAATGTTACAGATCCTTCCACTGAAGAAAACCCCATTCTGCATCAGCAGCCTGTTTATAAGGTCAGAAAGTGTTCCAGGCTGCACCTGAAATTACATCCTGACTCCTACAGTAACTGCTGATGACTAAGAGAAGACAAAAGAGACAAGAAAGAGTTGCAGCCAAAAAAAAGCAAAGTCAGTTGGAAGGAGGAGAAAAGTATGAACATCTACTCATATTAGGCCCTACTTTTACATTTAGGCTTCATCTAACTATTGGAAAAAGAGTCTGAAATACAGTCAGATTACTGCACCTTACTCAGTTAAAATGAAAGTTGCTGAATACAGTAAATGTATTCAAATATACTGCCCCAAAATTTAAGATACGGTGTTCTATCATGTACAGTTTTAAAGTAAAACACTTCAGAAAAGCAGCTTTGGACAGTTGATTACTGCACAAGGAAAGTTACTGAATAATTCTCTAAATTTCTTTTCATAAATTTGAGGGAAAGACTTCTTCTAAAAAACAGTCCTTCTATTGAGATGCTAATGAAACAGTAACACAACCTATAACAATGATACACAGCTGCTAGAATATCTTGACTTAGTTGTGGTTGGGTTTTTTTGGTTACATTTGTTAGGTTTGTTTTTTCTTTAGTAAACACACAAAACTTACTCTGCACTTAGCTGCAGCTGACTTTAAAGCATGGGTGCTTGTTTTAGATTAAAAAGTGCTATAATTAAAGTAATTTTTTTTTAAAAAGAGGAAAATTAACCTTTAAGGCAGCCTCCTTTTATGTCCTTCCTGACACAGTTTTTAGATGGAGGTATTACACATCTGCTACAAATGATCATTTGTACATTTGTACAAAGCAGCTCATTTCACAAAACTCACTTAATTTTGTTAACATCGCAATCAAATTCCCTTTGTCTCCAGAAAGCTCCTGGTGATCCACTGTTCTTAAAAACAATGCAATTTTAAAGATGCATTTTGCCCATTTTCAATGCAGATCACTATCACAACTACTCCATTCTCCAGAGATCTGCTGGATTCATGGTTTCAAAGGTGGGCAACACCCATTACACAATTACTTTGATCTTATAACATTCCTTTACAGCTTTATTGTATTTTACCTGTTTCAGTGTGAGGGCTTTAGCTTTTTCTTTGGAGACACCCATTTCCCACACACACACTGCTGTGCTTGTTCCTCCAGTGATAACTAATTTGGGGTTGGGGCAAATGGCACACAGGATCTGACCCCATTCTGACAAGCATTCATAAACAATCACAGCCTAAAATACAGAAAACAAAGAATTACTTGCAGAACTAGCACTTTGTAGGATAAAAAATAAAAACATGGCTGCCACTTTGCACTCATTAGGTCACTAAGACCTGGTAAAAAACTATTATGAGTTAATGTTATTCTGCCAGCATCCTGGTGAAGACCCTCAAGAGGGAGCAAAAAAAAAAAATAAAATCTGATGCAGCAGAAGATTATTTCATTCACTTGTGAAATAAATGTCCATTGTTATGTTTTTTTCACTACTGAGTACTGATTGCTGGCACAAATTTCAGATTACAAACCTTGTCTGACTCATAGGTACCCAGTCGGCAGCTGAGGTCTGCATAGCCCCAAGCAAATGTTTTATTCCACGTGGGCGGGATGAGAACCTTGTTCTGCTCTACTGCCAGAATGCCTTTATCAGTACACACGATCTGCCCCACAGGCTCCTTGAGCTCTGAAAGAGAAGATGGGGTTATGTTTTATTGCTGGGAGAGACAAATACTATCTGATCCTTTTAAGTACCTGCTGCTCTTCCAAAGCAAGGTCTCTGTACTGGCTATTTATACATTCTTTGCATCGGCTGCAGTGATGGCAACTTTTGCTCCATTCCTAACAAATGCAGAGCCAAATATAGATTAGAGCTTTCTAATTTCCTGACTTAAGAGTCTTCTCTCTAAGCCCTGCTATGCCCCATTTAATAGAATGTCCTTCTCTCCTTACAGCAGGGAGCCACAGACTGCTTTACAGAAATCCCTGTATAGCATTTACCGGCCTTGCAGACAATTAAGTTTTGTTCACTGTCAGATTTTGTCCAAATAAAAAAACACTTTCTTTTGTCTCAGTGCAGCTACCAACACCATACTTTCCTGCCAACATTCCTTAGTATTTCTCAGCACTTTGATAAATAATCCTTTTGCTGTGAAAATCACAAAAACAGAGGCTATCACAGGCCCAGAAACAACGTATTCTGAATGTTGTTTTTTAAAATTCAAATTCATAAAGAGGTGCTTGGGCTGCATTTTATCCCTTTATTTTAAAAAATGTCATATTAAACTGGTGTATCTAGTGTTTCCCAGGTTCCTTTGAAGTAGCTAAGAACATAATCATACAGCATTAGGATATTTTGAATTTGTCTCTCACAAAACTATGGGCAGTAAGGATATTGGAAGGAAGAAAAAGATGGAAAAGTATGAACTTGCTGAAACTCTGAATGCCTGGGCAACGAAACAGCAATAACTACTGTGAGTTTAAAGCTTACCTTTCACTGGGGCAAGAGATGGCCGCAGGTTGTCCAAATGATGGAAAAAAATCTTGTCACCTGTGGAACCAGGGGGCACAGAGGTTCCCACAGCCTCTCCATTCAGACGGCTTCTAACACGCTTTGGTGGGTGGGGTTTTTTGAAGAGCTGAAATTCATAAAGAAACTAATGATCATCAAAAATTACAGGTTTACAAGGGCACTAGCTTCAAAAGATCATAAATGCACCCAATATGTCTTCTAAAAATTCTGCAGGTAAGCAAATGCTGTACTGCTCTCAGTATTCACTAACAACTCATGGTGAACAGTTCAAAAACCTTCAACAAACAATATGAAAACCAACAAGGAGCAAAGTTGCTCTGCTCCCTCAGGCCGTGGCATCTCAGTACCCTCATGAGAGCCCTCTTCCAAACACACCACCAGCTCTGCAATGTTCTGCATCATAACTTTTTAAAATATAAATCCAAACTGCCAGGCACATTACTAGTGGAAGAGATGGGACAAAGAAGATGCATGTTACATTGTGCAGGAAAGGAGTGCAAAAATCCACAGCAGCCAGGTCACTGAGAGAGCCTGCCCTGGATCCCCCATGGAAAATAACAGAGGGAAACAGCAAAACTCCACAGTTACATAAAAATGTGCTCCAAGAGCACTCACCATCAACAAGACCTTAAGGAAGTTTTGACTTTCCCCAGTTTACTGCAGTCTATTTCCTCCAGCAAAGCATCATGCAATTCCTGGTAGATTTCATCACAACTTTGTACCTAACAGGCATCTGAGGATGCAGGCAGAGCTCTGGACTCAGCTGCAGTGCTCTTCTATTGCCCTGCCCTCTGCCCCAGTCCTTGTCTGTCCATCTGGCTTTAGCTGGGCCACGTCTGATTATCATCACACAGAGGGATTGGTATTACATAAGAGGAGAAAACCATACAGCCACTACATAATTACATTATTGAGAGAGAGCAAGGAAGGGAAAGGATTAAAACCACAGCAGAAGACAGATGAGCAGTTCTTAGCCTTCCTTCCAAGCAATGAGAGACAGACAGCTCTAAGTGGGTTGCCACAGGAAATATCTTGTTTATCCTGAAACATTATGTGCTGAGAGTTGAGTTTAGAGTTTACAACACATGGCTTGAGTTTCCAGCCAATTGCTGAAGGCATCTGTGGCTTCCACCAGATCTAGGATTGGAAATATTTGCCAAAGACATTTAAGATTTTCACTGGATAGCAGAAAGACTCCAAAGAAATGCCCAATAAAAAACCCAAATCAAAACAACCAACACTGAGATCCGCCCCCCAAACCTGGACCTCCAGATCTCATATTACATTGAATTATTTAATGTAGTCTCTTGAAGAGCACACAAACTTTAAAGCTGCAATAAAAACTGGTCTTTACAGCTTCTTAACTATGGCTGTCCTACAAGAGTGAATCACCCATGAGAGTAGGGGAAAAAAAGAAGCAGAAGTTATTATAGAAATTATTACAGGGTAACTTCAAATACCTTAGCACTAGGCATTACTTTGAAGCTGCACTTTCATTCCTCCCCTATGACTTTGTGGCAGGAACATACTTCCTTTTTTTTTTTTGCTGATTTTTAGAGTTGAGCCTTCATTATGCCTTTATTTTAAGGATGTAAAGGTGAAAAAAGACATTTCTAATCTCACAAGTAAAGTCCAAAGTCAATCTTTGTGTAATTTATGATGAAAACATAAATGATTTCGTATCACTGGAAGAATATTTATGAATAAACACTCCCAAGAAGTTTCACCTTCCTGTTTTATATTAACACATTTCAATTTGAGTGTTAACTGGAAAAGAAGAATTCTACAAAGGGTATACCTGCTTTGGTATCTGTCCAAAGTTATTAATGAATCCTATGGTAGCTGTCTCTTTTAAAGGATCATTGATGTTATATATGTCCACTTGTCCCTCATAGAAGAGATGGTGAAAGACATTTACAGCTTCTACTGCAGCAGGACCTTGCTGTTTATAGCCAAAGATCAAATCAATCCACTCATGCAGGTGAGCACTCACAAAGTCACATTCCAGAGCCTGAAATTCAGAAGGCATGCATTAAAATGAGACAAATTGCTCATTGGTTGAGTTTACTACACTTGCTACAAGGAGAAATGCAGAACATGACTTGACATATTTTTGTTACATTTTGACAAAGCTTTTAATTGAAGCAAGTCTTGCCTCAAAGTACTCTGTAGCCAAAAAGGAAGGAGAGGAAACACTGGTTCTACAGACCTTGGCAACAATCAGACACCAACCCTGAGCTCACAGACTGGCCTGTGACTCCACAAATTTAGCTTAGATTAATGTGCAGTGCTAAGTCCCAAAAGACATTGTACTGTCACCATTAAAATTTAAATTACCTCCCGATGGACTCTGATAAACTCACGAGGATCTCCTTTTGCCCATGGAGGGAGTATTACATCACCAAGTTTAGTGCCATTTTGTTTACAACCTAATAAAAAGAAAAAGAAGGAAAAAATTTGGACAGAAGCATTGAAAATGAACTGCAACAGCAAAGGTGAAAAAAAGTGAAAAAAAAAAAAAAGGAATCAAATTCTAATATCATGTATGGTTAAAGGAAGCTATTTCAGTCTTTTGTTTAAAATACCACTGTGGTTTTAAATGTCAGGCAATAAAACATGAAAAATTCTGCCCCGGTTGTTCATGTAAGATGGCTTTCAGGAGAAAGAATCCAAACACTCCTCACTAAGGCTTCTGAAGAGGAAAACAGCATTTTATCATAGAATGAAATGTCATTTTACTCCTGAGAATAGCCTATACTCCTGTGATGTGCAGCCAAATACTCATTTCCTAACATGCAGAGCTAACTGGTATCCCCCACAAGCTCCATGCCCAAGGATACTGCCAATTCCCCTGATATGCCCATGGCCTGGGCACAATACATTCAACTCTGTCCTGGACAGCCCCCTTCTCACTCTGGACATCAAATAGTGGCATGTTGTGATCAACAAAAATATATCTGGTAAAACTCCTCAGTTATATTCTTGTTCTGTCACTTGTTGTCAAGAGACAATTCCACACTTCCCATTAACTCAGAGGAACACCTCCAAATTTCCAACTTTATAGGGGCACACAAAAAATAAGTGCAATGCTCCAACAGAAACATTACTTGCATCAACAAACTTCAAATCTTCCTTTCTTTTCACCTGGCAGGATGGGAAGCAGGATTGCTACAAATTACCACAGTCAAAAGTACCTCAGTGTTTGGCAATTGTTCCTAAAAGAGCCTTTTCTACTGTTGGTCCAAATGCTCAGTGAAGAATTTCCAGTGGTTACAGTCCAAAATTATCAGATACAAAGATAAGTGGACAAGAGCTCAACATTTTTTCAGTAATACCCATATTCTTTAGTGTAAAATACAGATGGAAGAGCTTTTGCAGTGTTCTTTGGGTTTTGCTTTTCTTTTTTTGTAAGGTTGTGCTTCCAATCTGTTACAATATTTAGAATAAAGGACTGCAGGCTGTTAAAACCTATAATTTCATTAATCGTTATTATTGGTAATAGATTCACAGCACAGAGCTCAGAATATAAGAGCTTAATACCAGTGTTAAGAATGACATATAGTAAGTAACATGCATCTCCAACAAACAGGTCTCCTACACGACTCCTGATGAATAATCACTGTCACAAATGCTGTGACGATTCAAAAACCTTTAGGAATATTTTTAAATTAAGTTCTAAAAATGAAGATTTGTCAAACAGATTTTTGAGAAGCTTAAAAAAATTAACAACAAAGATGGCGAACACTATCATGGAATAGGTTACATGGAGAAAAATGCAAAGCAGAGAAACTCTAAGTAAAATGTGTTTATCTGTACATTTTGAACTGGTAAAAAACCCAAAACTGAACACAAAAATACACCCTCCAAACAAAAGTATTTTCAGGGACTAGTTCTGCAATTCTCAGAAGACACTTTGTACTAAACTGCTTACAATGAACACTCTCGGCTTGAGAAAATACCTGAAGTCTGTGTGGCTCTGTTCTCCCACCCACAGCACTGCTATCAAGCTGTTTTTGCCTACCTAAGTCAAAATTGTTGGAATTGAGCAGGAACTCGGGGAGGTAGAAGAACTCTGGGATGAGCTCCTTCACGTCTGCCATGTTGTGCTTGGAGGCGGAGTACCAGGCCTCGCGCACGCTGTGGAACATGCGGTCAGCCAGGTCGAAGTGACCGCCCTGCCAGGCAGAGAGAGGAGCACGTCAGTGTCACAGCACTCCCCAGCATGGCAGGCTTTGCCAGGAAGGTAAATCAGAACATCCTCTGCCAAATGAAGACACTAGTACATAGCATATTTCTTTCTTTAATGCAGCCAGTCCAATCAGCTGCATTACTTTCAGGTACATGATAACAGAAAATATAGATGCAGATAAAGAGAACTTTAGGAAAAGATTCATCTGTCTGATTTCATATCTCTTTCAGAGATATTCTCTTTCGTATTCTCTTTCAGAAAAACAGCAAAATATTTTTCACAATAAAACTCGTTTTGGTTTTTGTCTGCTGCTACTTTGTTTTGCGTACATCTAGAAAAATGTTCAAACTACAAGGGAAAAAAAAAAGGTGAATTCCATCACATCTTTTTAAAAGACATACCAAAAACCTGCCAGGCAATAAGGACTCTGCTAAAAGATGTTTTTTCTATGATATTTGATGAAAACAAAGCTGGCTGATCTTATTTCCTATTGATGTTTGAAATACACAGCAGACAAAAAACTTGAAGTGAGGTGATGTAATTTTTACCTGTAACCGTAAGAAAATCTGAGTAAAAGGCTCCATCCGGACAAGATAGGAAGCCACGATCATGGCTGAGGAATAGTGAGTCCCATAGTGATAAGCTGGGGTTTCCCCTGCAGATTAAAAATCATATACATAGGAGAAATAAGGTAGTTAGGTGACAGAATCATTACTAATGGAAAAAAAAAATTAACACTGCATTTTAATTACTCTGTGGCCTTGGACACATTCAGAACTGGAATTTGTGATTTTCATTCTCAGATGTCTGAAAGCTTTATGTTTTGTCCCTTGAGTTTGGGCTGCAGTGAAGTAGCCTTAATTCAATAGGGCTCTGCAAAGCAGTACTGAATGGTTACTCATTTTTTATTTTAACTAATTGAAATGTTGCAGTGCAACTACAGTGATTTCTGCTGAAGACACATTTTTAAAAAGATCCTTTTTTAATTTTTGGTCTTATTTTTTACTATGGATTTAAAATCTTGGGCAGAAATACTTAACAGAACTGTTGCCTACAGATTTTGTACAGCTTTTACTTTCTTAATTTCATGGCAAAATGTCTGCACAAGCACATTTAGAAAATAGTGATTTGTTTCTAAAAATGAAATGTCTTTGCCACCTACTTCTGTTTGACACAGAACAGCACTGCAGTAGTTAAACAGGCCTCTATCTTCAATGAAAGCACACAAGAAAACTTGTCTTGCCAAACAAAGAAGTTTTATTTTCAATATATAAGGAAGCTCTAAAATCATGACTAGGTAACTTAATTGCATGTCATTCTGAGGCCTTTTTAGCCAAGAAGCTGCTGTTTCCTTAGCCAAAAAAAACACACTTTAAGATTAGATATGTAAAAGTTAGAGTACTGCTAATGCAGAAGCATTTGCATTCTTTGTACTACTAATTTTCATGCAGCAGCAATCAAACTGTGTTAGTGTACACAGCTGTTTGTGTGCTTCACGTGCTGCCCATTCCAGTCTTTATAAAATACAAAAGTCATCTAAATGTGCAACTGTTCTGTTTTTGTTTTTACATATAAACAAAGATGTAATTTAGATTTTAAACAAACAACACAGAAAGAAAGCCAATGTCCAATTATTCTAATTTAGACTTGGTTGGACAGTCAGCAAAAAAACCATGGTAGAGTTCTGCACATCCAAATCCAAATCTCTTCACCCACATTATAAAAAAATCCATGAGTCCCTCCTATGACGCAGGTGCAGGTTCCTCTGCTCTCTCTGCAGGATGGATTATTACTCACCATTGGGATCTTCCCAATCCTTGTATCGCTTCTTGTACTGGGCTAACCTGTCCTCTGTCTGAGCTCCCATGGGCTTGGCCAGGTTTCTGAATGTTTTGGGATTTGTAAGATCCAGTTCCTTTAAAAATAAATCAGACAATTATTTTATAAAACCAAACCACATCCTTTGAAAACTGCTGATTACCACAGTTAACACCACCTTCCTCCTAAGGCTGTTATCCCTGCTTTCTACACACACAGGAAGTGCAATGTTGGATATGCTTAAAACAGTCCTTCAGTCTGATCCAAGACAGCCAGCATGCTTTTCTGAAATCACATCTGGGCTCTGCACAACTTTTGCCCTGCTCCCTTTATCCTATCCCCAGTTTCCCCTAATTTTTTCACAAATACTCAACAAGTCCCCTAACAATATTTTATGTAATGGTCTAGTTGGTGGCAATGGCTGTCCACAGAAGCATTAATAGGATGTTTCACCTTTTTCAAAAGCATATTCTTTCACCGTGGGGTCAGATTTCATAGTAGCCCGTACCATAGTCTTCTGGACAAGGATGCTTTCTCTGTGAGCTTAGCATACTTTAGGATACACAGTTTAAAGCTAATGCAGACTTTTACAGGAACTGCTGCAAGGTAAAGGGGCAAATGTCTCTCTCTGGATCCCAGCCCTCACCTGTGCACAGACCAACAACATCTGTAAAATCAGCCCAGCCAAGATTCTCTAATACCCTCCCTGTTGAGAAGTGGGAGAAACAAAATAGAAACCTTCAACTTATACAAGATTACAATCAAGGCCAACAAGATGTTTTATTTACCTCTGAGTCATAGTCTGCGAGGATCCAGGGGAAGACAGGGTACTGCATGAGGTCGTTATAGGATCTGCCAGCCAGAGTGTTCAAGTGCATCAGGTACTGGAAGTTACTGATTTCTCCTCTCTTAAGGAAGACAGATAACAGCACAGTAAAGTTTTCACTTTACAACAATCAAATGTCAACCTGCCAGACTGTCAATGTGCAGCCCTCTCCAAACATAAAAACTTACTTCAATATTGCAATGCTCACTCTACCTTTATTACAGCTCTCCCCCTGCAATTCAACAGTAGAACCACTTCCTATTTGATGATGATACCATGAAATACTAAAAATTAAATGCTGAGATACACTTTCTACAACAGTATGTTCCACCTGTTAGAACTAAGAGGATGCAACTTATGTGTATTAATTATTTATGTATCACTACAAAATGTGGAATTTAATACAAAAAATATCCCAGCACTTTCATACTTACTTCCCATCTTTGAGTAACAGATTTTTCTCCCACTAAAGTGCTAAGCAAGCCAGACCTAGCGGGAAGAAGAAAGTGAATTTCTTGACTTTGCAGTAAGAACTGGGTTACATCTTCACAAGACAACCCAAAACTTCAAGATTAAAAATTGTAAATTGCAACCATTAGAAGAACATCTCTCTTTTCCTTTTTGCAGTACCTTTTTTTAGAATTCTAAACACACACTGTAAAAATTATGCATGTTAATTACGCAATTCAGTGCAAGTGGTGGCTGATGAGTGAAATATTTTTAACAACTTGGATAAATCTGATGGCTTCAGCACTCCAATACCTTTCAGAATGTATCAGTATACTGATAACGTTAATTCTGATATTCTCCAAATAATCATGATAGCAATGCAAACATAATTTATTGGAAACTGATGAGCCACAGAGGTTGTGAGGAACAGAACCACCTACCCTTGCTCTACGCTGGTGTTTGGTCTTTGTCCAGACACCGACTCCGAGCTGTCGGTCAGAGAGGGCACCACAGCCAAAAACCTGCAGCAGCAGTTAAAAGATTCTGATTAGCGTTTCTGCCCTCGGGATGTCATCTCCTGAATAGCAGCATGCATTCAGTACAGTTACACACTTCCTTTTGAGCACCTCCACAACATCTCCAACAAAATTGCAGGAGCTTCTTCAAGCTCCTGCAATGTAAGTGCCTTCTAGCAGCTCTTTCCTGCAGCAGTAAGGTGCTAGCAGGCACCAAAAAAGCCTCCACATAGGTATTGGCAAACATTCATGTTAAATACTCTAATTTATTTTAACATTACCTTTGATAAACTTTGTTTCTAACCCCTTTCTGGAAAGCTAGAAGATAGTTCCGTCCATCTCCTGAGAAAACTTCAATTGCAATTGGCTGAAAACAAAGAGAAAAAACCCATGTCAACGATAACTTATTATCTTGTCACCTCTGAAGGGCAGGCACAGACCAGTTTAGTCATGCTACATGTGGCACTAAATTATGGTGAAGCAGACTTGGAAGCTTAGTGCAACCAAATGTTTTATTTTTGGACCACTGACATTGACTAACACGCCCAAAAAAACTAGATCTGGGTAAGTTCCAACAAGGATGCCCAACCTAAATGCTTCAATTTCAACACAGTCAATAGCTTTTCTTTCCAAATATTCTTCAGTTATGTATTGATTTTCATTTCTAAAAATTACATCATCAAAACACTCCAAATATGCCTCCCCCTATCCAAATATGGTGTCCAAGTTACCTGCAAAAGGTATCTCCTTTTATGCACCTCCTTGATATCTTCATATGCAAAAATGCTGCAAGTTCTTTTGAGCTGACTTGGACCTTGCCTTGCTCCCCTAGGTATGATTGGCTCATGCATCCTGTAAAGGAACATAAACAGGCACGACATAAGTGATTAAAAAGAAATTTTCTTCTTGGAAAAGAATTATCCAATTAATTTCATATGAGAGTCCAGTTACAGAAACAGCTGATAGCATGTTTTCACAATATATCATACTACAAATTGCTCAGTACCTGAGGTCTTCCTGCATTGTACATTATCTTAGAACTGACTCCTCAAAAACCTCATTGAATACTTCTTGTTCAGCCTCTAAGGATCAAGGAAACTCCCTACAAATGTACTCACTTTGGAGGCAGCGTCTCGATGTCCCGTATCTCCCTGGTGGCTGTCATGGTAAACCCATCGATGACATAGAAGTGCTCTTTTCCAAAAAGCAGCAGCCCCTCACTGGTGTCAAGACCCTGAACCCGAGCACAGCGGTACATGTGCTGGATCTATGAGGAAAAGCAGATGCTTAGGGAAAGCAGGTTAAGGAGCACAGGCTCAGACCCCTGCTCTGGTACACAAGTCCCAGACACTGCTGTATCACTTGCACATACAGCAAAAATCCTGTCAGTCTCTCTCCCCTTTAATCAGGTCTAATCCCAGTGACTAGTAACTGGGGAGGAGGTTGGATAAAGTCTCATTGGTATGATATAAATGTATCTATTTACCAGTTTTATCCACTTGCATGACACTGCCTGAACATATTTTAGAACCTGCAGCCTACTCAACCATGATCACAATGCTATTTAATGGTATACTTCAGGTGGACAAAGCCTGAAACACCAAATATACAGCATGGTAAATCACCAATGATCTCGGGGATAAAATACTACTTATCAAGGCTTCCCATTCTAATGAAGGCAACAATTAATTAGGAACAGCGTGCCAAATTCAGTGCCTATATTTTCAATGTTTATTTTCTATTCTGATCTTTAAGTTGGCAGGACAATAAACCAAGCGTGGGATAGCTCATAGCCTTCATTTCAGGACAGGTGAATTTTCCCTTGCAGGCAGAAGGGGAAAAAAAAAAAGAAAATGTTTCCAGTACAGCATTTTTAGGGTCAGGCACACAAAGTACACATTTTAAGGAAGAAGCTGATGAAATATACAGACCAAGGAAGATATATATGATATTTAGTCATGTTTGGGACACATAATGAAGAAATTCCAATACATTAAGTTCTAAGAGTGTTTGAAACAGTACCTTCTCTCCTTCTTCAAGAAGTCGAAGCAAAGTTGTATTGTCAGTCTTCTCGTCTTCATCAATTGAACTCCCCTCAATAATTTGATCCTGTGACTGGTCCTGGCTCTCATCATCTCCTCCATCAGGAGCAGAGCGAGATCGTTTCAGGGGAGGCTTCACCAGGCCTGGAAAAGAACAGAGACAGATAAATGTCACAAAGAGACATAAAAAATTAACGTCAGAAAACCTACAATCTTTCAAATTACTGACCCAATGCTAAGAGAGAAAAACAAGAGTGCTGCAGGACTTACGCTTGCCTTAATGCAAATGCATGAGAGGATGACAAACCATACCATCTAACCTTTGACTCTTGCAATAGTGTCCTCCCCATGCTCTGGCTCCTGCTGAGCTGTTTCACCAACGGTGTTCTCTTCTATGGCGTCCTGGAAGACCGCGGGGTTTCCAGAAGCCAGGCGCATGTAGTACTCCTTGCTGTCATAGCTGATGGCTCTCCGGTAGCGAGCAGGTTTCTTGGGAATAATGGAAGAAATCGCTTGATCAGTCAACTCCTCACTCAGTGCCTCAGTGAAGGTCTTTCAGGAACAGAGTGTGCAGCACAGTGCATGTCCATTGAGTGTTTTGTGCGTGCTCATATACCAACACAGACAGGAACAGAGACTCTTCAGAAGATCTGATCTGTTGGCTAATTTGCAAGGAGCTATAGAGCCAACTCAAGCAAACACGGGGTTGCAGAAAAGCCTGCAGATGAAACTAGAACATGAGGAGTAGGTGTAGCCAGTATGTTATGAACTGTCATAAAAGGCTGGGATTCTTGTGCTTAACATTGATTGCTCAGAAGGCCATTTTATCATCTTTTTACTCCCTTCCAACATATGCAGTTTATTTGTTAGCTAGCTGACTTCTTTGTCAGGCAGTATTTGAATAAAAAAATTGCCTTAAGAAGATACAGTGATGTGGAAGCTGGTATAAACTAAAAGCACCCAGGGATTTGCTTTAAGTCTCAAAAATTCTTCATTAATTTAGTTGCTTCTTTTTTTAGTAAAGTTTCTGATGGCTTATAGGGAGTAGACTGGCATGAGAATATGCATGTACCTGTAGTAAATATGTGAGCATTGTTTGTACCTTTGTGTGGTGTTTTTGGTCTTTTTTTTTGTGAGGGGTTTTTTGCTTTGTTGAGCGTTTGTTGTTTTGGTTTGGGGTTTTTTTTCTGTGTGTCATGTTTCCTTCCTCTTTGTCTGTCCTAACGCCCATCACAGGATAATTCTTATGTTCCTCACTTAATTAAGGAAGCAATATTCAGAACAGAAATCAAACTAGCATTATTACAAGTTGATGCTCTGGATGATAAAGATACTAAGTTCAGCAACACAGAAATTTATTATTCAGGTCAAATTGACTGCTCCCACAAATCAAAAATTTAAGGCACTGTAATTTAATTTGCTCAGTCATGTTTAACCAAGTTTTCACTCCTTATCAGCACGAAACTGCCACTTAAATGATGCTTGAAACATTTGTGGAAACAACTTGTGTATAACCTACGAAGAGAAATCCTTTATAGCACTGGTAAGGTGAAGAAACGAAGGAAAACAGTAACAATTTATATTAGATATTCTGTATAATAGAATTACTTGCATTTATATGAATTAGACAGTTGTAGAAGGTAATTCAAAATGAGTGAATGCACATTACACGCTGTACTTAGTGATGGGCAAGACTGCAACTCGAATTAACAGAGAAAGACATAATACTGAAATGCTTGCAGAGAAGCCACTTCCAAGCATGTCTGTTCTTTTCAAGAAGGGATTCATATTTTTTAAGCAAATGTGTTCATTTTATTAATAGCAAAACAGAGAAGAGTAAACTAAGACAAAATTAATATGGGCTTTAACAAAAGTCAGCCTTTTAAAGCCCATTATGGACAAAAAGGAGAAAAAACGCTCCTGAGATCCTGTCTTAGAAGGAAACACTTTCCCAGTAAGTGCTTCCAAGTGATGTGTTGCCCATTACTAAATGTGTTCCACTGACCAACAGTTCAGGTCCCAAAGCCACAACACTCCACACAGTGAGAACAGTGGTAGCACAGCCCAACACAGCCTGTTAGTGTGCAGCAAAGAAGGGAAGGTCTACAGAAAGTTTTATTAGGTGAAGGTTGAAGACAGCACAGTAACATCTTCTAATGTGATTACTGAAAAAAACCCTTAGGTCTGGAATTGTTTACTGAAAGAGCAAGTTGAAAGCCAAACGTAGAAGCCTTGTTAAGACTGCCTAACATGCAGGAGAAGTTGTATTTATTTTACATTCTTTCGGTCAGTGTACTTGTTTCTTTACCTTTTGAGGAATGGTATCATCAGATGTCTCAGGAAGTCTGTTTGAGAAGTCAGACTGGAAACAGGGCATCAATTACATAAGCATCAATTACATCAGAGAAAGAACACTTTTGAGAAGAATGTATGATGGCATGTTCTCTACTTCATGTGAATTAGACTGTCACTACAGCTACTGTGTGTCAGACCACAAGCAGGCAAAAATATCTAGTAGTTTCAAATTGATTGACTTCAATTGACTGCTTTTTTAAAGTACTCTGACACTCAGACATAATTTGAGGGGAAAAAATCCTGCATGCTTACACACATGCTTAAAAAGACATAATAAAGACTGCTTCCTTTCTTATAAGCAGTGTTCCAAAATTAACAGTAACTAACTGCAAAGCTTTCAAAGGCCACAAATATTTCTGCTACACAGCCCACCTTCATCTTCACAGACTGATGAAAGTACATTTCACAAGTGCACCCAAACCAAGGCCTGTAGACCTTTTTTCCTTTTTTTTTTTTTTTTTTCCCAGATCACTGTTTTTTTCCACATTATGTAGATTAAGGACAAGAATCTAGACTGAACCTCACACAGTAATGGAACTTTCAGTCTCTGGAGGCTTGTGAAGATGCCAGTGCTGTTTGTTGGCAGGATCACTCAGCACACCTCACATTATATTGCAATATATCCAAATTTGCTTGGTTTTGAGCCAAGTGACTCTGTCCCTTCCCTAAATATATCATGAGGAACAACTGAACTTTACCAACCATTTAGGACAGACACAAGAATATCAGGTCATACCAACAGAGTAAAATATCTTTCTTAAGAAAAACCTATCCAAAAAAAAACCAAAAGAAAAAAATAAAAAAGCATTTTGCAACAGGGTGTGTAATCACCCATCCTAAACTCCTGAATACTTACCAGCAAGTTTGTTTCCTGCTCAGCCTCAGGCATGTAGGGATACTGAGTATAAAACATGTCATTCCGCACCATCTTTTTCCTCATTCTGCAGGGACCCTCAGTCATCTCCAACATCCACTTGTCCAGGTGGGAGCCGATGGGGGGCCCCCAGAGCCCTCGCTCTCGCAGTAACTCGTACTCGATTTGGGACCACTCCTCTGTCACGTATTTCAACGCATTCTGCTGACGCTGAACACAAAGGCATTTGTAAATGCACGGAATTTGAAAAATTATTTTAAGAATGAAACCAGACAGGAGGACTTCCTGTCCTTACTTGCACAGGGGAGAGAAGTTCAATGAAGCAAAGTTTGGTGGTTGTTTTGTTTTTTTTTTTTTTTTTTAACAAATTGCTTTAAATGACCTGTTTCTCTCAGAAGTTACTTCTTAAGATTTACAGCACGTAGCTCAGCAACCAGTTTGAATGAAATGTCTTTGGGAATGTTTGGCAGACACCACAGGGTGGAACAATTTCATTCTGGAAGGCACAGACCAGCCACTTTCTAATACTGCATGATACCATAAAATTTTCTTTGTGTTACTATGAAAGTAGCATTTAGACAATGCTTCTCCACATTTCCTCTTAGATTTTCTACAATGCTTTAGAAACACAGTGTATTTCCAATCACTCTCTTTTTGTTCCCTGTTTTAATTTTTTTACACTTATAAGGAATTTAAGCTTCTTAAAAAGAATTCACACTTAACATGTGATATTGCTACAAGAGTTTTCATCTACAACCAGATCAAAATGAGTTTTGCTATTTGTTTATTTGATTTTACCTAAAAACCCCGTAAAAATAACAACTGTACGTAAACATCCAAGCATTTCAAATATGAGAGCCCAGTATTTCACAAGCTTCATACTGAGAAATGGCATTGGTATAACCTAACAGGCCAAAGTATCAGTGTCAGGTAATTAGCACTGCAAGCCATCCGTACCTCCTGGTATTCTTTATACTGCATATCAACCAGGTCCCGAACCACTGCAATGTGAGTAAACATCCACTGGGAAATTTCCTAAGACAAAAACAAGGTGCCAAACAGAGTAAGACTTTATAAACAAGAGTTTGTTTGAATGAAAACCCTAGGAATGCACCAGGTTGCTAAACTTGCTCACAAAGAATAGTTCCTTAAAATAAACATTCAGAACATTCCCAAACAGACGAAGGTTGACACTGAGAAACACTACTTTTCCCTTCTTCCTTTTAAGTAATATTTTGTGGATGGTGCCTAGTTTGCTGGAAGTCCTCAAGACACCCACCCCTCCTCACTTTGCCCCATGGTATCTCTGTTTTCACTTATTGCTTCCTCTCCTGATACAACCAGGAACAGCTCCTGTGAGCTCTGTTTGTTAAGTTCTTCCCTTTCCCCTTCATTATATACCTGCTCACTGGGAAAAGGACTGAGACCACTGAGAATTCATTAATTTCTCAATTCCACTGATTAATTTTCAGCTCAGAAAGAGAACTAGCAACGTATTTTTCCACAAAATTTTCAAACCCCTCTTTCCATCTTGAGGGCAGAATGGAAAAAAACCCTACATCTGTATCACAGCTTCCATTTCGGTGTAGTATTGCAAAGTGAACTTAAGACCCAGACTACCACAGTCATGAACCAGAAGCAGCTGAGCAGTCTCACTGACAATGAAGGGCTGACTCTTAGCTTAATGTTACAGATGGACCTAATAAATTAGACACACAGAAGCAAGATGCCCAGTCTGAATAGTCAAAAAAGGGGAAGAAAACCAAGCACAAGATAATACTTCACACTGTGCAAGTATTATTGGGATATTTACCACAAATCCTGAACACACATTGCTGGATTTTAGACTGCATGTTATTTCTTGACAGAAAATACCTGTGTAGAGAGGTTGTGTTTACTCAGCCCACTCTCCTTGCGATTTCTCCTGGAACCAGTTAGTTTAGAGAGGCCAAATCCACTGCTGACTCTTGAAAGTTTGGACTGTGTGGCTGGGACCAAAGCCTCTCCTCTACTGATGCATTTTTTCTCATGAGCTGAAAGACAAAGTGTTGGGAGCACTTTTTAGAAGTCTTTTTTCCCCCCTCCCCCCATTATACTTGTTTTTTTTAGACGGAATGACCTTTTCTGTTGCTTCAAAAAGGGTGTAGCTGTACTCAAACACTTTCTGCAAATATACTGGCCATCAGGGAGATACTAGAAACCTGAGCAAATATCAGCCAGAAACACATAGAAACACAGACTGCAAAACAAGTATTCCAGGTTTACAAATATGTTTTCTGTACATCCAGGTTAACCTCAATTACTTCAGAACTGTGAAATCATCAAATGAGTCACATCTATGGAATTTTAATTTCTGCTGTCTAAACTCTTGCTAATACAGTCAAGCATCAGTTGATCTTTATTACACAGATGCAGAGCTAATCTGTCCATAACTTGTTGTCCACCAGGATTCCAAGGTCCTGTTCCTGCAGAACTGCTTCCTATGTTGAACATATTTCCTAGCCAAGAATTAGTCATAGCATCACTGCTGCTAGAGAAGGACTGCTCAGCCACCAATTTCCCATCTCATCACCAGACCAAGAGTTTGCAGGCTGCACCCACACATGCTCAAGAGGATCCCCCTCCCTGCCTGGCACATCTAATCCTGGGAATGGTAATAAAGCTCACCACAATCCAAAGGTTCATGAGAAGGAGCTCAATGCCTCTACCATTTTAATCCACAATATGCTATTTGCTGACTCACAGAGGGCCTTATGCACTGGAGTGTAAGAATATCCCTTTTATAGTCCAATTTCTGAAGGATTCATGTTACACAGTGCCAGTTTGTAGAGTATTTACAGCTACAGGAAAAGTTAAGCCTATATTAAAACATCCAGTGCATACAGTTCACTCTGAGGAAATCCAACCTTCAGGACAGACAAATCCTCAGTCAGGACTTACCTAAATGATTTTGCCAACACTTTAAACTTGCTTCCTCAATGAAAGGTCTGGCAACAGTTATATCCACTTGGCCACGATCATTGACAGGTAGTGTCACTTTGAAAACTTCTTCCAAAACCTGTTTTTTACTGTGGATCAGCTCTGTCCACACTCTGTTTATGGCTTTTAAAAGAAGCTGGCGACCTGCATAGGTACAAGATCACAAACAGCAAGCTCTCTTCAGTGTTCGTAGAATTGGTATTTTTACAGTAGTGAAATTAATAATTTCTGTGATTACACTGTAGTTTCTCCCCCCTTGCATGATGTGTGAAATGCCGTTGGCCAGAGCACTTTTTTTTGCCATTATGTATGCTATCAGAAAGTCTAACAATTAATTTTGGCAGGTTTTTCTCTGTGAATTTGAAACACTGGCTCTGATTAGTTGTGACTCATCTCTCACACCCATCTATTAATAAAATGAGTTTGAAAAAACCTTATACGAGTCTGTGTCTATAAATATATATAATTCTATACATACATTATGCTTCAGCATTTCTACATTTAATGTGTGCCTAAGTACCTGCATCAATATTAAATACATACATTTAAGAATCACCGAATACTTTCTTCCATAGCTAGTTCATAAATTTCCTTTGAGTGAAAGATTGTAAGTATGCCACAAAATAGTAACTGTATAGTTTATACCATATATTTCTTATCTTAAAATGAGCCACTTCTATTGTATTTAAAACAGTGCAATAAAACTGTATTTCTAATTCTGGAGCATATCCAGAAAACAACAAAGAGCTCTCACTATTTTAGCAAAACGTTAATTTATCCTCAATGTGTCTATCTTAGTACTTCCAACAGTCTTTTAATCTATTTTTTACGTAATTTTATACACACACAGCCCCGATGCCCCTCCAGAGAGTAACTGGGTAACACACACATGCCCCGAGTCACTGGGGTAAAAGATCAGTGATGACAATACAGAAGAGGCATTACAAGCATCTGTGGCTTTGTCATTCTCCGATTACCTTCACTGACATCTTGACTGTAGACTCCATCTGGCTCTATATCAGAGGGGATCATAATGTGCCATGTTGTCATCCGGGCTTCTGCTTCCAATCCAAACCCATCAACATTGCTACAAACACACAATGGATTAACAACCATCAGAACAAAAAGACACAAAAACCCAAGCCAAGATAAAGCACTTGATTTTGTATCAGATTCACAAAGATTAATACACACTACTACAGCAAAGCATCTTAACTTCTGTCCATTTGAGTTCTGGCAATTTGTGGTCACAAGCTGAACCAAAGGTTTATGAAGAGATGATGTGCCACAGATACTGGTGTCACTAGCAGAAGATGGTGATATTTGAAGAAACACAAAACAGACAAGGCCAGAAAAGGAGAACACTGAGATTTGATGACTGTTACTAAGCATCTTTGGATGAAAGAAAAGTTGTGGATCTTCTTGGAAAGAACAAATGAAAACGCCAGGCTGGCATTTGCAGCAATGCAGGAAAGTAGGTGTCTACATAATTCGTCACAGACACCTGATTTAATGCATGACTGGCCTCACTCAATGCTATACAGAAGAAATACCAAGATATTGAACTCGTATGAAATGATTCAACAGACAGTAAATCCAGTGACAGGACCCTCTGACTATTAATTACCTAGCACCAGGGTTTCTTTCTATCTTTTAAACATTTAGATTTATAAAAGGTTAACAACAAAATAGTTGGATAAACACATTTGTGAGTATTTAAAATACCTCTGCAAAAGGAGGTAAAAATGTTCTCTATTTCCAGGATCTCCAAACCTAATTTTGTCTCAAAATGAATTTCTTAAGGTTGCTTGCAACCCACTGGCTGGAAAATTATAAACAGCCCTCCAAAATTTGCTGACTTATTTGCAAGGTGAGTAAAAAAGGGTCATTTTAGTACTTCCCTGCCCTGGCTGTGGAATGCACTTCTGCCTGAGACATTTACCTTCCCACATGCAGATTAATCAAGCAGTGAGCTAGGCAGCTGATGAACTCCTGATCATGATTTCCAGGTCCCAAAATTAAGTTCCTGTTCACAGTAAGGACCCTCAGGGAATCAAGGAGAGCCACTTGCTGAGGAACAGTTTTGTGCGCTCTTGAGAACTGATACAGGATGGTTCTGTTCAGGCAGTGATAAATGGCATCCAGCGAGAGTCCCTGAGATCTTCTTTTTGACTGATGGGGTAAAAAAAAACATGATCAGAAGCAGCACCAACTCGTTTTACTGGCACACAATCTTCCGTTGAACTGACCCAAGCTCATTTTCCAGAATTAGCATCTTACTGTGTCAATTCCATCAATTTCAAGGTCTAAAATGACATTAATGATTAAGTACTTTGAATTTTAACATCTATAAAGATGCTGCTGATTTCTAACAGTAAGTCTTCCAACAATTTCCAATAAAAGTGTGTGAGGAAGGTTCCCAAAAATGTCAAAGCAAATTCAGGGAACTTCTCAAAATTCATGTGAGGCAAATTTAGTTGTTTATTTTGGGGGTATTTCTAAAAAATAATGTGATCTGAGAGCAGTTCTGACACAACCGCTCTTCACAGAAAGATGTGCTAAGAAAGCTCTGTAAAGAGAGAGCGAGCCTGAGAAAGAAAAGCATATTTCTGTGCTGACCCAAACATATATCACTAGCAGATTGTTTAGTGACATCACTCCATGCATTTCCACATAATCTGCAAAAATGGTTTTTCAGCCAGGTAATACAACAAACAGCCCTGTTACCTGTGCAATGAGCTGGATTATGAAGTCCACAAGAAGCTTGGATTCTTTGTTGAACATGCCCTGCCAAAGCTTATCTACCACACGCTGTGTAAAATAAAACACATTGTTCACCAGCACTTGGTAGCTTCCTCCACTTGTTATAGGCAGAGATGCATCTTCACCTAGGTAATAAAAAACCCCAAAGTTTTCTACATTTATCCAATAGCCCCATCTGCATAGATACATTCACATTAGTTTATGCTTTCTAGACTTCCATAAAAGAGAAAGAAATTCAGTCAATGAAAGCTAAAACCTCATGGCTTCCCTACAATAGAACTTTCCCTTTGATGTAAGCAATCACAGCTCTGGACTTTTATCTTTAAAAAAATTATTCTGAATTTTGAAAACATGATTCTGGATCAATTTTATTAATGCACTGCACCCACAGAAAGACTGTGGGTCTTATTAAATTAAATTTATTAAATTACTGCTGTGGCAAGAAATGGGGAGCCTTACAAGGAAGTTTGAACAGAAATGCATACAGTCTCTCATGAAACCTGGGATGGAGTTAAAGCAGCCCAAGAGCTTCTGGGAAGTCCAGCAAACCACCATGAAACGTGACTGGGTCCCCTAAGCCATGTAGTTTTTGTGAATAACCTATTTTACAGCTTTGGCACAATGAAGGTAGGGAGGGAACATGCAAGCACATCAACACCATTTACATATCAAAGGGGAAAAAATTAAGATGATCAAATTGCAACAAAAGATAACACTAAAAAAGTCACAGAATCAAAACCTGGTGACCAAATCAATAGACTGACTATTAAACTGTGCTATATTACCCAATAAAACATCAGCTGCAAGTAGGTGGTCCATCACTCCATCTAAAACATATGTCTGAAACTCCTTCTGCTGGGTTCGTGTTGATCTTTCAGGAGAAGCCTAAAAGAAGATATTAAAATAATATTAAGATAATTAATTATCTCTGAATAAAAGAGTGGGAGAGAGAGGGTGTTCTACATTATTTCCTTTTCTCTCAGCTCCCATGAACTACTTTTTTTTTTTTTTTCTCTTAACATTCTCTCTCAAGTAAAAAGTTTTGGCTTTATCAAAAATCTAAGCATGCACATCAAGTATATACTGGCTGCATGCAGTCTTGCAGAGCAGGCATTATTCCTTTTTAAATTCAGGAAATTTATCTTCTGTCATTACAGGTACTAGAAAAGAACACATTCTGAAAAGGTACATGAAACTCTCCACTATAAACGTATGTTCAACCTGTGATTTCCTCAGTTGACACAAGTCATCTCCTTCACTAAACAATGAGCAAATGGGACAGATAAAACGTTTAAGTTGCAGACAGAGAAATAACAGTAAGTTTGGCAGTGTGTACCTACCTAACCCTATTTATGCTAATGGGCAAGTAATGCTGACAAGTGATAACAAGTTAAAAGAGCTGTAAAGAACTGCAGCCACTTCAACATGATCTCAAATATGCCTCCCAGTGTCTGTGGATAACTGACATCTTCTGACATTTCATTTCTTTTTGCTTTGTGACAGCAAAGAGGTGCCCAACTGCCCCAGGAAATTTGTTAGAATATATACAAGCATGCAAGTATGGCCCAAAATTCCTGCAGCTTTCAAAAAAAATCAGGGAGACTCAGCAACATGTAAGGTGAGGTAACTAACAGGTAGATCACGGTGAACAAGAAGTGAACATTTGAAGTACTGTCTGAAGGTGTAGGCAGTAAAATAGTAACTCAACTCCTTACCTCCTTGCCTCACCATTAGCAGGACAATGCTTTCTTCAAGTGTCATGAACTTCAGAAGTTGATTTACAGCAAGATAACACAGTTATTTTGTGAGGTTTTATTGTATATGGCCCCATATGTCTTTTTATCTAACTGACACCACCTATGGCACAATTTCTTTTTATCTAATACAAACAGAACAGAAACGCTAATTTCTGCGGGGGTTTTATATTTTCAACAAAGTCAATACAGATCTCATGGTTGGAAAGGTGTTTAACCATTGAATCATACTCCACAAAATAAAACTTGAGGAAAGCTTCTTATGCTGGTTTTCCAAGCCATTAAAGAAAGGTGAACAAGCTACTCTTTATGAAACATTAGTGTTTCTTTTTATTCCCACTCTTACTTCATGACATTTCTACTGAATCTCAGGTCATTCCTAGTCTAACTTTGTAAGGTAATAGAAGAAAAAATACTTTAGGAAAATAAGATGTCATAACTAAACTCAAATAACAAAACCAAACTAAAACACAAACCACAAAGAAATTCTACCTCTAGCAGAAGGTCTACCAGTGGAGTCTGTTTGCTGGCTGGTGTGAGACATAGGTTATCAATGATCATGACACGCATGAAGTCAAACACGAACTTCTTGGCAGGGTGGTTGGTCAGGTAGGTCTTGGTGCCCACATTGCAGTATTCTGATTGGCTCCTGTTCATGCCAGAATCAGCTGCAAAGGCTTTAAACTCTTCAGCTGGGGACCCAACTTCGTCATCGAGATCAGTGACCTGTAAAAACGAGTACGTTAAAACTGTAGAGATTAGGTAATTAATGGCAGTTTCTTCACTTCTCTATTCTTTGCTTGTCTTTCTAAGGGTATTTCACTTCACATTTTGCTTCTTAAGAAGTCTTTTTAGAAAACTATGATGCTCAGAATCAGTTCCCCAGTATGGAAACATCCAGTTTTGGATTCTCAAGGTAAACAATGATCTGGCATGAGTTACATTTCATGCTCCCTGACCAACAGAATTGGATGATTTCTAGATACTTGGCAAAAATAAATGTTCTCATTGAAAAAAAAAAAAAAAAGAAAAAAAGAAAAAAAAAGTTTTGAAAAAGTTATTAACTAAAGCAGTTAAAATAAAATCAAGACAGAAGCCAACTAAAAAAGGTCATCAAGCTTACATAACATAAAACAAAAAAGGAACTGAGCCTTTTTTTTTTTTCTTTTAATACAATACCTTCATCAGAGTGCAGTTATGGGTAAGCCGGTTTCCCAAAAATCTCTAAAAGAAGAAGAAAAAAAAAAAGGGTCTCCACAGCTTTCCCATTTCTGATGAACAGAAACCTTGAAAGGCTAGCTCTTAAAGAGGACTGTAATAAAAGCACAAACAGTAATGAAAGCTGTCAAATCCAGAAGACTGACTCTTTTTATGCAACTCCCTTCCTTAAATGAAAGAGGAGGCAATATGATTTCCCTCAACAGGCTTCTTGCATCGCCAGCTTACATGTCAAGTAACCAAATGTTCTGAACATTTGGTCTGCTTTAACAGGAGAGTATTTTCAAGAAATTAAGAGAAGCTCAAATACATATTCTTGCTATTTTTAATAGCAATCTCAGAAAAGCTGAAAGACCTTTGAAAAAGTTAAGGATCTTCTCTCAAGGCAGAATTTAGATTATAATGTTTTGTTGCAGAAATCTGGCTGTGATTCAGATATTTTACCAGGCACTGATTAGTGCTACACATTTGGGCAGACAGAAACACTGGAGGAATAAACCAATTTGGAGTGAGGAGCACCCTCAAACAGCAAAGAGCTCAAGTTGCCAGGCACTATGCAGAAATTCAAGTAGTTTAAGCCTGCTTAGAAACACAAGGCTCCTCTAAAAACTCTGTACAGGTGAATGCCAAATCAGCATCACCAGTTTGTAAATGGAACTTTTTTTTGAGAGAGCAAGCTCCTAGTATGTACTTTAAAGGCAAGTTTAGCAAAAAAGCAAAAACCCCCATGTCTTTGTGAGAGACTCACCAGCAGGCACTGTTAAAAACTGGTCTCCCACTTTTACTGACAACAAAACAATAGCACACCACAAGTTACTATTTCCTGAAGTTTTTTTATCATACTCTCCATACTTCTAGCATTTGGCAACCTCTAGACAAATTATTCTTCCATGTTCTTAATAAAATTACTTTTAGATGTTGGCTAACAATATCTGTTTTTTTCCTTTCCATTCATATTCTAGAAATAGTATCATTTGCAAATGACACTAGGCTCAAAGAAAACTTCAGCCAGCAATGCAAGCAAAGTTGAATTTACACCCTCTCTTGGCTTGAACTCAGTAGTTTCAGGAAATACAAGAACACTGTTTTGTGGTTAAGCCACAAAAACAGAAATGGGAATGGGAAATGTGAGGAAAAAGAAGTTTTAGGTTTCATCACATCCTCCAGAGCTGAGGACTGACAGCCTCTTTTGCTTGTATAAATCTCAGCTAGCATTTCTCATACGATGGAAAATAATGTCCACTAGAAAACAAACAAACTGTCTATTGCCCCTAAAATGCTGCTTCTGATGTCCTTGCACAACTACCGCCCTGCAGTTTAACACACTCTTCTCTCAGATCCACAAGTACAAAACATCCAGCTCAGCCCTGATGATGACCTCTTGTGCAAGTGAGTAGAGCTTTATCTTGGTATGACTGGTAACTGATAAATCCGCAAAAGTAACACTCGTGTGAAAAACAGAAAAGGCAAGCAGCTGGATTTCCTACCATCTCAGAGTATGGTCGGATGTTGAAAGGAAACACTGTTGCTGCCAGCGCACACAGGAACTCTGGACTCATCCACAGGGAAATGAGGTCAGGTACATTGTGATACAAATACCGAAAGAACTGCATCAGGGTGACTGGATATTCCCGAAGCCAGGAGCCTTCTTCCTCTGACTGCCAGGGCTGAGTGGAGAAACAAACACCAGATTAGCACAGACAGGGCCAATTGAACACTTACTTCAGAAAGGAAGAGCACACTTTCAAGCACGTCTCAAACAGGAGACCAACCACATTTTACAGCACATCATTGACCATAAGCTAAAATGTGTGCCCTATCATGTAATGACTGAGAAATATTGGCAAACATGACTAGACTGAAGCCAACCCAAAATGTGATGGCACAGTTGAACACGCCTGGTGTCAGCACACAAGACACAGCACGTGTCTCTAAGCATGTCTGAAGTGTAGCCAAACAGGTGAGGACCAAACACAATGATCAGTCACCAGCAGAGAGACAGAACATGTGACAACAGGAATGGGTACTGCAGCAGGTACACTTGTCCAGAAGATGCTTCTGGACATGTTACCTTGGGAGAAACATACAAGCAACAGAGCATATCGCATACACATGATGATCCAACAGGTGACAACCAAATAGGTGCTGCTTTTCAAGCACTTCAAGAGGCAATTTTCAGCAGATAACACATTCTGACTTCAAGGAAATACATGATTTTCCCACTGAGAAACCAACTTTCCCTACTCTTGACGTTAGATTCAAAGATGAGAAGATGACACATTTCTCTGGCAGTAAATTAATTTCCTCTGGCATGGGGCTATTCATAGTTGGGGACTTCTCTGCACAGGGAAGGTTCATGAACGAAATCTGCAACTCACATAGCTGTGAGCAGATGGGATACAGAGTCTCAAACATTCTCCCATGATGTTAATCAGGAAAGAAACTGAATTATCTCTGACAAGGACATTGTATCCTTCTGCTTTCTTGTTTTGTTTTAACTGCAGCTAAACAGAAAGCCCAGCCTTTTTGTGGAAAAGCAGTGATAATTTTGTTGCTACTAAAATTTCTATAGATACAGGGAAAAAAGTAACAGAGAAAAACCCAAGAAAATTACATTTTGCACCCAAGTATTATGAGACTAACAGCCAATTTTGTCATGATACTAACAAAACTTCGACCTTTCTAATTTGGCTTTTAACCATGTGGAAAACTTGAACAACACAGTATATACTGAAATACAAGCAACATTTCTGATGCTTACAGAATTCAGCATGCTCCTCAGCATTCCCAGTAACAAGAAGGCAGCTTCTGTGCAAACACTGTGTATTGAGGAGGTAACAGTGCCACAGGAGGCAGGAACTCCAAATATGAAGGTCCAAATGGAGTCTAAATCAAACTGCAAGAGGTGAAAGAGAAGACATGAAATTATTCTTTTCTCCTGGGCAATTGTATACTGCTTTTTATTACAGATACAATATACTCATTTTGCAGTAGATAAAAAATTAATTGTTTTACACCCTCCAAACTTTATCACCAAACATTATATGAAAGTCACATGTCACTGAAGAAAATTTTTTTAACCATGAGCTAATGCAAACTGCAACTCTCATCTTCTCACTTTCTTCTCACTTCTCATAAAGTATGTAAATATTTTGAAACAAAAGAATTGTCAGCACTCATGCCACACAATCAACTTAGTTGACTGACATCTAGCAGTAAAACCCACATGGTATCCCACAGAAAAAAAAATGAACAACACAAACAAATCAAATTGTATTTTCCAGCAAATCTACATAATTACATCAATTAAAAATAAAAAGGAACCAAGTGTCCACCTCTAGCATTAAGAGTGCTACTAAGTAGTTGAATTTAGTTTCAGTGTAATGGTGTCATATTTCAAAGCTGTAGGAGGAGTGAGTTTCATGCCTCTACCTCATGGTAGCAGTGCTGAATGTGCTGTCAAGTATTCCCCTTGAGAAAAAAGGCAGGCACCTTCTGGTTTGAAAGTTTTACTTTTCAGTTCTCACAGATAAATAATGTCAGCACTGCACCCATTCTAAATAAGCACCCTGTCTATCTGGAGTGTCTGTGGCTTTTCTTCCCTGGGGTTTTCTAGGACTGTTGTAGGTCATATAATATCTACTCACTTACTTCAAGAAAGCCCAAAATAACCTGTTCAGAATAAGAACAACCAACATTTTTCAGCAACAACTGAGTTGTCTCCCTATAAAACCACAGTGACTTTCTGAAATAAAAACAACCTTTTGTTGCCTGTAACCTGTGAACTCTCTTTAACAGAGCAACTGCCGACTCCTTAAACAAAAAACCACAAAAAACCCACCTCACAATCAAAGCAAGCAAGTAAAAGATTATGTTCCCTTCAATGCCCACAGCATGCCAGTTTGAACTAGAGATCTACTTCTCATTTGAACCCAAAATGGACCACAGTGACACCAGTGACTGCTAAGCCATAGCAGGCTGGCTTCTACATAGTCCCAACCCAAAGGGCTTAGCACTAAACACCACATCATGACTGTGAGTCAGCTGCAGAGAAGGAGAGGGCCTGGTTAATTCATTATTTTCTTTCATGACAGACAGAATTACATTCACATCTTACTGGATAATTCCTACCTTGGCACCCTGATTACACTGGCTGCTGATGACAGGTGCACTGACCTGCAGGTTTTCAGGCAGTTCAGTGACTGGCTGCTGCAGGAAAAGGGCCATGAGGAGGAAATAGAGTGCAGGCACGTTAGTGTGCTTTGGGAGAAGGGACTGCAGAATGGGGAAGCCTGGGAAGTGACAAGCATCCCGGTTAATCTCTCGCACTGTCGATCTACCACCAGCACTCCGGCCGACATTGAACCCTATGAGAGAAAACAAGACACAAAGCCAACAACGTTAAGAGGGTGACACCTGTGTGTCACCATGATCTTTTCTGAAAAATCCTCTTTGCCCAGGATTCTTCTCCTGGGAAGATGAACAGCCTCAGAGGAAAAGAAAAGCAATATTATCTGATTGCTTCTCCCTGTGTTTTGCTGCTTAGGAATGTGGTCAGCACATTGTTTACCAACAGGTGCATCTTTGATTGGTTCCATGTGAATTGTGTTGACTTAATGACCAATCCCAGCCCAGCTGTGTCAGGACTTTGTTCAGTCACGGGTTTTTATTATTCATTCTTTTCTAGCCTTCTGTCTGTATCTTTTCTGTATAGTTTAGTATAGTTCTAATATATAATTTCTTTTAATATAACATCAAAAATTAAAAAATAAAGGAAATTACTGCTTTCCAGACCACATAGATGACACTCTTCCATACAGAATGCTTAATATAAATGCTTACACACACACATTAATTTTCTAGCTGTAACGTGGGCTTTTAAAACACCCAGGTTTCTGAAAATAGGTATTTTACTGGCTGAGAGTGAAATATCACCTTAATCTCAGTTACAGATTTATATAATGAAGCAGCAACCCATGATCCATTTAAGTCAATGGGCAGCTAATTGTGTCCAGAGAAGTCTCAAAGGCATCTTATTTCAGGTATTTTGCTAATGATTAATCAGCTGGTAGTAAGCATTAAACAGTCTTATTTTATATAAGTGCTGCCAGAACTACCTTTTTTGACCGTGCTCCTACCTATGTATTTCAACATCCTACTTAAAGGAAAAAGAAAATACACCTGGGTGACAGAAGCACTTATTTTCAAGCAAGGAAAGAGGCAGGAAGACAGTTCAGTCTCCACATCAGCACTGCGAGCCATTGGTCTGACACTGCCAGTGGTCAGATGTTTTTTCTGAGGCTCAAACACAGATACACTTTCCACCAGAAAGTGACTTTTTAATCAGAAAATCTCTAGAAGGAATCAGACTAATGAAATCTGTGCTACATAGTTGCAGAAATTCCATCAGCAACCTTCAACAAAAATTCATCATATTTGGTTTAATGAGAAATCTTGGAGCCAGTATGTTATGATTTCTTAAAAAACACAGCATGCAAAAATTAGATAATCTGTCACTATCAGTTTATGAGACTCAAGAAAAATATCTTTTTCACCACAGTTGAGCTTGGATTCATTTAAAGTGATAGTATAATAGGAAAAATAGGGACACTTGAAAAATGCTTTCAAATGTAATTGTAAATCAAAATCTTACTTAAAAAGATTTTGTAACTGAAGAAAATGTTTATGCTATTGGACATTTAAAGTACATACTAAATAAAAATGGTCCATTCCCTAAAATGCTAATGGTTTTCAGGTTTTTAAAGCACAACCAGGCAAGGGAAATGCATGTGCAAAATTGTTTCTTAAATAAAATAGCAGAACCTTAATCAGAATAAACCAAACAACAGATGCTTTTTATTTTAACAATAAAATATTTGCATGTGTTTTACAGCTTCTGAAAAAACATTTTCCTTAATCCTCCTAAATCATGGCAATGCAAAGAATCATTCTATGCTCGTAGCTGAATATCCTGAGGGATATATTGTGGCAAACAGTAAAAAAAGTTTCCTTTAAGCAAAAAAAACCAAGATACTATATTTGAAATTGATCAAAGATACAAAGCAGAAAGAAATATTTTTTATATTTTTGTATTTTTGTTTTAGGAAGAGCCCTCTTCCTGAAGGAAGATCACTTCAACAACACTTCAATTACTTCCTTATAGTAAACCAATTCAGAAAAACTCTTAGTGCAGTAACAGATCATGTACTGCTGCAACGCAGACAGGTGGCTCCTTGAACAGTTATTTGCAACAATGAAGTACTATTGATACCACTGTTCTGATCTAAAGGTTACCGAGGCTTATGAAAGACCCTCATTTAATGTCAATGAGTTTGCACCAGAGCCTGAATAGACTTCATCTGAAAAGCCCTATTTTATTTAGACTGGGAAAAAAAAAACAGGTCAGTGGGAAATTGCCACTACACCTCTCTATAAAGAACTGACAAATGTTATTTCAAACATTTGGATATACATTTCAGACAGCTCAGAGATGCCCAAAATGGATCCTGTAGAACTAAAGCCTTACACACAATTCTAGGTCACAAGGGGTAACTGAGAGGTCTGATAACCTGGCTAACTGAGGATTTAAGAACCTGAAAAAAAAGCCTTTAATAGAAAGTGTGCTTGTGTACACAAAAATGCAGGAGAGGGAAAGGAAAAGGAATGCTGAGATTATACTGTGAACACATAAATTTCCAAGACAGCAAAAATTCAAACTGGTAAATTTGATGGAAACAGCACTCACAAGGCAAAGCAGCCCAGATATAATGCTGCACAATTAACTATTACAAGTAAACAAACAAGCAAATTTTACTGAATCTTTATTAGTTGTGTGCATAAAGTGCTGCTCTATGCTTCCTTTGCACGTAGCTCAGCCAAGCCTGCCCACAGGACACACTTAACCTTACCCTGATGGTAAGACAAAAAAACCAATTAGCTACATATGATGCACCAAAACTGAACTACAACAACATCTTTGTCATGTCAGCTAAGGGCAGCTTTGTAAAACCACTCCCTTTTGCCTAGGAAATCTTAACTCTTGCTTGTAAGAAAAATGAAGTGCAGAAGCATCTGATTGCAGCACAGACAAGAGTAACAGAAAGGCCTCAGCCAGACAGCACCCCCACAATAACCCATAGTTCAACACTGAAGCACAGGTGCTCCCTGCAATCCCTGAGGGGCTGAGATGCCTACCTAACACAGTACCAATCTTATTGGTCAGGACAGAATCCGTCTGATCCAGCCAGCCTCCACCGCTGAGACCCTCCTTAAACTTCATAAGGATGGACTGATTGCTCAACAGGACCACGAGAATTCGCATGGCTGCTGTGACTGTAGTGGAATGAAGATGTTCTTCCATAAACATCATAATCCAATCAAAACCCAGTGTCTTGACCAGTTCTTCACAAGCCCTAAGCGAAGGGGAAAAAAAAGGCACATTTTACAGCATTTAGTTTCCTACTAGACAGCAAAAATCATTGTCCTCCACTGCAGGGCAAACCTTAACAGCAAATTCTTAGTTAAGTTTGCTACAAACAAGTAATATCACTTATCAAGTCTTTATAAGAAACAGGTAATGTGCATTTGTTCGGAAGAAAGGAAGGACTAAATAGAGCTCCTGGGACTAATTCCATTGCATGAGATTTCTCCAGTTGCTGCTTTTGATAACAAATATGGAATTCTGAACTGAAATCATTTTGTTAAACAAGAAGTTTTCACATCTCCTTAATGAACTAGTATTAAAAAATGAAGGAAGATTGTTTCTTTCTTTGTTTTAATTATAGGAAGAGTTACTTGGGAACATCTGAAAGTGTTTTTTGCAATATTAAGGGGCATTCTAGTGTTGATGATCTTAAGGATAATGCCTACTGAAGCCTCTGGATCTCAGCCCAGTGAGAATCTGACTTAAAATCAAAAGTTTTCTCTTTGACAGATTTTTTTTTCTATAACCACACATGAAGTTGAGAGAAAACAACAAATTTAATACTGTATCCCATTTCTACTAATATAGATATATCCCATAATATCTACTAATATATATATCCCATTTATACTAATATGATACCTGAGAGTAATTCAGTGACATCTACATAAATTATTCATCATTTTCTATTAAATGATGCAATTCAACTAGTGATTTGAAGGGAGGCCCTATAATTCTTCCCCTTGAAATAAAATATTATATATTTTCTCTGTCCCAGGGTTTTTTTTGTACTTACTGCAAATTAACAGTTGTCTTTTCTTTAGATGTATACAGAAGTTTCAGAAGGATATCTAAAAGCCTGTTCCGCAATAGAATAAGATTAGCTGAAACAAGTCCTCCAAAATCATCCTCTGCTCCTAAATATTGAATAAAACCAAACAAAAAAAGAGAGGTAAAATCAAGATTTTGGAACTTGGGCGTTTTAAAGGCTATTCATAAATTCCATACATAAGCAAACACAACCTGACCCCCCACTCAGGCTCCAAGGAAGCTGTGCTAAAGCGCAAGCAGCCCGTAATACGGTGCTGAGAAATGTCTGGTGCCTCCTTATCACTGTCCCACAGACTTTGGGCAGCTTGAAGAACAAAAGGAATTCAAAAGGAACACATGAGGCACAGGAAGATAATGATGAATCCCACCGGACTATGGAATTGTTTGGGTTGGAAGGAACCTTGAAGATCATCAAGTTGCTACCCCCCCTGCCATGGGCAGGGACACCTTCCACTGGACTTCCACTGCTCAGAGCCTCATCCAAACTGGCCTTGAACACACCCAGGGATGGGGCATCCATACCTTCTCTGAGCAACCTGTGCCAGTGCCTCACCACCCTCTCACCACCCTCACAGTAAGGAATTTCTTCCATATATCCAATCTCAAACAACTCTCTTTCAGTTTGAAGCCATTCTCCCTCACCCTATCACTACATGCTCTTGTGAAAAGTCCCTCTCCAGAATGTGCAGACTGCCAAACCCTGTTTTTTGTGACACCACATATAACTAACTGTAAAAGAAGAAACATCTCTCTCACTTGTCCCTCTGCACCAGTGTATTCCCAAGAGATGTAGAACCAGAGGTTCTTTGGATAATTCTACTATTTATTTGGCTGACATCCACTGTGGGACTAAAACATTTCTGTTCAGGGAGACTGAGTGAAAATGCAATTGCGCAAGGTAAATAAGCGTATAAATGGTCTCAAATCAGTTCAATGTAAGAATTATTGAAGGATGGTAACATTTCTTTTTTTGCCTAAGAAAAGTTACTAGGTAGTCTTAGCTAATTCTTTCACTTCTTTCACACCTGGAGGGCTGATGCACCTAGCAACCAGTTGTTTGTTTGTTTTTTTTCCTCCTCTTCCCACAAAGAAGCAGAGATACACAGCTGATTGGAAGGAGCAAGTGGAGGAAAGAGAACAAAACCATAGAGTGTTAAATGAAGGAAACAAAAAAAAAGTGCTTTGCTCCGCTTTGCACTCAATACTGAAAATTAAAGCCCCACTAACTAGCAGCCACGTTATAACAATACTGCAACATTGTTAATGACACTATTTATACATTTTTTGTATTCAAGCACAGAAGAGACCATAATGTATTTTATTCTACTGCTTCTAAATACTGTCAACACTTACCACTATCAAGCTTTTCTTCATTATTAATTTCCATGACTACAAATTTCTCACAGACTGCAAACGTAGGTAAAGTGGAAGAGATGAACTGTCCAAACCTTGACGGATACAGAAAAAACATCACTCATTGATATGACAGATGCACTCTCATCTATCAATAATTCACCTTAAATATAAAACCATGACACCAGTGACAGGGAGATACCCAAAAATGTCAGCTTCCTCACATCTGAAGATTAAATGAAGACCATTTTCATCAAAGTTACTAGCCAAAACACAAATTAATTTGTAGTAATTAATAGAATACTTGCAGACAAGTCTGCAGGAAACAGACTCTAAAAATGCTAGGATTCAGGAAAGGGAACTGGGAGACACCTCTGAGTCCTACTAAAAGGAACACCTCAAGTTAAAGGAGGACAAAACATTATTCTCAACCTCTTAGAGCTGAACAATTATTACATCAAAACGGTGGTTACTCAACTCTGGAAGAACATTTATGCCTATAGCTTGAGGTTATGTAACACAGGGTCATGGTTTTCCATGACAAGACGCTGATGTACCACTCCAAGAAAGGAGATGCAATATATTTCTTTCCTCTGCAGCTAATCTGAAATGGCCCCTAGCGAGTGCAACTTTTCCCAAGTTACGCAACATTTTTCATTCTTTATTTCCAGGAAGGAGAACAGGGAACACCGGTCTACAATCTATTCTGTAACCATTTAAGCATAAAATCAATAGTTTTAGTCTTGAATCATTTTTTGTCCTGTACAATTAAAACAAAGAAAAGATGCTTAGGTTGAGGCTTCTGATACCTTTAATTGTGCTTAAAAGTAAGGAGCTGGAAACATGACCACACATATGCAAAGAGCTCCTAAACCCCAAAATATTTTATCCATTTCTATTATAATGAAATAAGAGATGAAAAAAATCTAGTTATCAAGGAGTTAAACTATACTTAAGGCATTTCAAATACTCCTGTACACATGAATTGCAGTAACTAGTGTAATTTTCATCAGTCAAAATTAGTAGCACTATATCTGACAGCCTTAAATACCTTCTTATACAGTGATGATTAAGAAAAAATCTGAAACTAAACTTTGCATTCAAGACAGTAATCAGAATTGCATTTTAACCAGAAATATCTTTTTAGCCCATGTCAAATAATATTCAGTGGGATTCAGGAGGAGTGCTTAGTGCTTTACATGAACAAAAAGGGCTGCTCAGCACCTTCATTTTTCACTGGTAGAACATTAAGCTAGTTTGACCATTAAACCAGTTTGGCCAGATACAAATTGAAAATCATATGCAAATCAAGGTTTCAATATATTCCTAATGCCTAGTTTAATCTAGTTCATAAAGGAAAAAAAAAGTCAGTATGTGAGCATTCCATGTCACACACTCCTCAGCAGTATGACCATGAAGTACTTTTGACCAAGGTAACAGAACCAAGAAAATGATTCAGGTGTGGGCTACCTGAGTAGGTCATAGCTGCTGGGGAAGCCCTGAAGTAGAAAGCTCAGCACATTGCTAATCGCAGCAATAGTGGGCTGGGACAGGGACATGTCTCGAAGAGTCAACAGCAGTCTTGGGATGAGTTGGAATTCCCTCATTAACTTTGCATTCTTTGCTGCTTCACTGGAAGAAGAAAAGAAATTAGATGACCATTTAAAATTGGATGTATTCTCTACATATCACCTAATCCTGCAAATCCCATTACTAGGCTTGCACCAGTTCGTACCTTGACTCAGTGAGGAGCTCAATGAAGTGCTCAAATAATGACAGATGAAGCTCGTAGGGCGCATGAAGCCAGACCTGAAATACAGAAAAAAACAGTATTTTTTTTGTACATAAATTGACTTGTAGGTTAAAAACAAGCATTAATAAATAAAAGGTTATGAAGATATTAAAATCATTCATATACATGACTCTTTACCTGGGCATGAAGAACAACACACCAGTTCAAAAAATATTCTCTGTAAGGGTACCATGCTGAAAACTTATAAAGGGATCTAGACAAAAGGTCACACACCTTTGTCTTTTTGTACAGACTTTAAACAGACAGTGCAATGACTCCAAGGGAGCTATTGGGATTTACAAGGCTGTGTTAAATTTATTTCATTTAGGTGAAGGTTTATGTATTCATAAAATTAACTTACTACCTTCTTCCAAGATTAAACTCAAGGTTTTCCCTGATTTTATTTTTTACCCTGCATTGCCTGCACTTAAATTATTTAGATTCCTTACCAAAACCCCCAAAATATCAATTGTTCAATCAATAGAAGTAATAGAAGACATAAAAGCCAGAAAGCTCAGCTACAGCTGCAAATCTCAAAACTGATTTGCTATTGAATAAAGCACAATTAATATTTGTTCTCTGGTGTATAAAACTGGCTTAAATGAAAAGCTTTCTAATTTTTGCTTTTCTCCTAATCTTATAATTTAAATGATGAGAACAAATCTTTTAGTTTCCCTGTTCTGCATGAGTAAGAACATCTAATTTATCCAAACTAAGTGAAATGTTTGGGTCACTGATTTCTGAAAAAAGTAAGTAATTAAAACAATCAAAAAACTGAAAAAACAATAGCCAAAATCTCAGACTTTCTTTTTAAATAAGGTTTCCAGGAGTGCTTTGAAATACTCAAACAGACATCTAAAAAAAGGAAATGGTTAAGTTTATTAAGTCATTTGTGCAAAACTGACTTCAATATTAAGTCAGCAACTTACAGCTGGCTTAGCAGTGGTAGTAGGGTTTTTACTTACTTACTTTAATGTACATGAATCAGAATTCTGTTAGTCAGTCTATGTCAGGTACAGATAATGCCAAAGGAGCACATCCTAAAGGGTAAGTTCTGGGAATCTTTTATCAGCCTCTACTGCATTAGCATTTCCCTCTGAAATTTGCTACTTTCCTTACTTTAACACAGCATTTAAGTATTTCATAGGTCATGAAAACAGAATTTTAACTCCCTTACTAATAACCTTGCAGGAAATGTATGATAAAGTGATTCCCATGTGCTATGTTGAAAGTTTACCTTCTACTTTTATTTTCAGGGCACTTTTCATGCCTTGATATATGTACTGCAGTAGAACACACAGGTGAAAAGAAATTGAGGAACAGAAAACTACAGAATGTTGAATTCTAAACTAGCAAAAAGCAGAAACACCTGTGGCACCCATCCATTGTTTCTGCAGTGATTCAAGCCATTTCAGCAAGAAAAATTACCAATAATCTTGCTGCTCACCTGCTTTATTGTTCTATATAAGAAATCAGATGTTCTCAGTATAACAGTCTAATTTGCTACTGTTGAATATTTAAGGTACACTATCAGCATCTGACTTAATCGCTATCCACCATTATAATCACTCTTCTGTGCAGCTCTACATACTTCAAAATCACAGAGCAGGTCCTGGAAGGCAGCAGAATTTGGGATAATGGATGTCTCGTGTCCGCTGTCAACAGTTCCCACCAAGGAAAAGGTCAGGTGGAGTATGTGGCTGTTCAGAAGGGACCGCTTCTTCTTTAACAGCATTGCCAGCAGCTTGAACAAGTAAACAGAAAAGGAATTAGTCCTGTGAGCACACAGCAATGTTGTCTAAGCATGCCGGAGAACAGATGAAATGCCTGTGCCCCTTTTGAGAAGGTCTTTAAAGTATGTCTGCTGGTTGATACTCTTGATGAAAGAGTTTGAAAGTTCATTACAGAAGTAGCATATCCAGGACACCCTCTAGCTCATAAAACATCTGTTTACACCACAGATAGGATCTAGGCCCTGAGGATTAGGGACACACACATCGCTCTCAGCTCTCTGGCAGTCAGTCAGTTTAAGACAGCACATCCTCAAGCAGTTGTGCTCCTGAACAGGAAACATGGACATGGCAGACCAATGGAGCAGGCCTAGAGCACTGCATGCCCAAATGAGAGGTATTCTGGCACTGAAAAAAAGTAACTAAAATATGAATAAGCCTTTTTTTTTTTTCTTGCTACGCTTTGTTCTCCTAGGCATGACTGCAGTCCCCACTTCTGCTCTAACTTATAATCTGGGCTGGGAAAGAACCATTTGCCAGATTTACTGCTACAGTCTCTTTTCTTCTGAAGCAAACTTGTTGAAACAGTCAACATCCTGGCCTGTTCAGCTTTACCATCCTCACTGAAACACTAAAGAAACACAAATTTCTGGGAATCTCCCTCAAACCACACTATTTGCTGATGTCAATACAAGTGGAATGTAAGGTCATTTGTGACGCTCCACTACTACTCATGGTACAAGAAGGACACTGTCTAGACTTGTTTGGCCACAGTAAGCCAAGATCTGCACCAGGCTCTTTGGAATGATACATTTTGATGTAAATGCACCAGGCACTAGCATTTCAAGGTTTGCAGCTACACAGCTCAAACCACAGAACTTTCCATTTCAGTAAAGCAGCCTCTGTGAGAAACATAAAGTGCATTGCTCATGTGAAGACCTTTTCGAATCAGTCAATCAATCCTTCTGTATACGTGATTGCCTTTTCCCCATTCCAATGAAGAATTAATGTCTTCAGCTTGAAAGGATACAGCATCACTAACTACAAAATCCATGCAGTCTCCTTAAAAGGATGCTTCTAGGAGTTGACTTGTTTGGGTTTTTTAATGTATCCTTATCCTCTCTGTTGCTGGCATATCAGAGACACCCCTGGGCTTGCAGGGGTGGGATCAAAATCACAAGAAAAGACTCATTTAAGTACGACAGTTGTGCTCTTCTGTGGTGTTACTGAAGGCTCAGTTTCAGCAATGCAGCTAAATGTGCACGAGGGCTGAGCAAAAAACTTTTCACCCTCTCCTTTAAAAGACATCGTAAATAATTCATCTATGCTAACTAACCAAGAGCTCAAGTAACTTCTAAAGAGAAACTTGGGTTACAACACAACAAGAGATTTCCACGGGAACTGTGATGACAAACAGTGAAATTCAATTCAATCAGCCTAGTCTGTTTTAAGACATTTCTTACATACCTGATAACCTTTGATTCTTTCCATCTCTTTGCTGGCCAAAGGGTTGCTCTTTACCACACAGACCAAAGCTTTCACAGCTGCATACAATCCTTCCACATCTGATGCCATGGCTACAAGTCCCAAAATAGCAGCAGCTCCACCAATGTACTGTAGCGTAGTGGCAACAGGTCTGGGGACAAATGTTCTTACTCCTGAGCACAGAGAAAATGAATTAATATATTCAAATCAAATTTTTGCATGAAATAATTGTGAAAATGTGAAAGCAATTTTCATTTTAGTATTACTTGAATTATAAAAGAATGTTACTAGGAGAATTATGACACCTTAGGAGAGGAAGTGAAGGAAATATAGAACAATAGTTTACGACCTAAGGTAAAGTAATTTAATATATTTTCATAATAATGAATCATAAACTGAAACAAGCATCCCATGTGAGCAAAAGAAGATAATAGTATATGCATAAAATATAAAAATGTTCAATAAATACAATGCACCATTAACACTCATCAGTCACATGATTTATCTCCTAGACCTAAGTTCTTACTGACAAGTAATAAATAACTTTAAAGCATAATAATTCTTAAGTGCTCAACTCACCCAAATACCCTATCAAAGCTGCACCAATGGAGCGTGCTGGTCCATTCAAATGTCCTGCTGAGTTATGTAGTAGCTTCACAGGTGTGGCATTTTCATGAGAAGAAATTGCCAGCTAAAGAAAACAAGAAAAAAACCAGCAGGGATTGAAGGGAAGAGGTTATTTTTATGTAAGCCTAAAATTCATAACTTACGAATTTCCCTACTGTGATCAGGAGTAACATACAACAAACCCAGATTAAGCCTTTCCTCTCAGGAGAGATGCTCCATCCCCCTCTGATCATCTTGGTGGTCTTCCCTGGACTCACTCCAACAGGCCCATGTGCTGGGGACCCCAGAGCTGCAGGCGGGGTCTCACCAAGGATGCAGCACTGCAGGTGGGGGTCTCACCAGAGCAGGGGGGCAGAATCCTCTCCCTCACCTGCTGCCTATGGTGCTTTGGATGTAGCCCAGGACATGTCTGGCTTTCTGGGCTGCGAGTGCTCATGGCTGGGTCATGTCCAGCCCCTCTTCCACCAGCACCTCCAAGTTCTTCTCAGCAGGACTGCCCTCAATCTGCTCATCCCCAGCCTGGACTGATACCAGGGATTGCCCTACCCAGGTGCAGCACCTTGTACTTGGTGTTGTTAAACCTCATGAGCTTCCAATTGGCTCACTTCTCAGGGCCCACCTAGCCCTGGAACTCATCTAGATCCCACTGGATGGAATCCTGTCCTTGAAGTGTGTCAATAGCACCACTCAGCTCAGTTTCATCAGTGAATGTGCTGAGGGTGCACTTGATCCCTCTCTGTCATTAATGAAGGTATTAAATAATACTGGTCCCTACATGGACTCCTGAGGGACAGCACTTGTCACCAATTTCCACTGGGACTCTGAGCCATTGACCATTACCCAGTAGATGCAACTGTCCAATCACTTTCTCATGTATCTTAACAGCCCACCCATTGAATCCATCTTTCTCCAGTTTAGAGAGAAAGAGGTATTGGGGGGCTACGACAAAGGCTTTACAGCAGTGCAAATAAATCACATCTGTACCCCTTCCCTTGTCCACTGATGCAGCTACCCCATCACAGAAGGCCCCAAGTTGGCCATCTAGCACCTAGAGAAGCTGTGAGTTCTCAGTTCCTGAAAGCATTCAAGGTCAGGCTGGAATGCACTTTGAGCAACCTGACACAGTGAAAGGTGACCTTGCCCACAAGAGGGGGATCAGACCAGATTGTTCCTGGCTGCATTGAGCAAATTGTCTTGAAGTAAGTTGAAAGAAAGGAAAAAGTCATACACATTTACTGACTGATTTCCCAACATACCTGTTTGGCAATAGCTTTACTATCCAACTTGTTGTAAACTTTCCTTATTTTTGCCACTGTAAATGAAGAAACTGACAGTGCATAGAGACCAAAGGAGACCTTCTCTTCTGGTACCAAAGATATCGGCGATGGATTGATTCCTTCAGACTTCGAATCTTTACCTTAAAGACAAAATAGAAGTTCCCTTCATTAATGGCGTTGTTTTATTTTAATTTGAACAGTAAAACCTTAAGCAACTTATACTGCAGAATAGGTATAAAAAAAAGATTCTGCAAACAGCTGAGATGTGATATTGTCCTGCCTAAAGGCTGTAAATGTCCCTTCCCTTCTGAAGGAAAACAAAGCAATCAAAAGTCAGAGAAGCATTTGGTAAATCTGCATCTTTGCCTGTGACAACTGGCTTTTTACTACAGTTTGATAGGAAAGCTGCCTTGGAATGGTATGAGAGATGCAAGATTCAAAGAGAATATATAATCATATCTTTAAAATTTTGTATCCTTTCTCATTTCACTTTCTACAGGTAAATATCGCATACAGTATGAATAATGACTTTTCTAACTGGTTTAAAACCAAAGCGAGGAATACAAGCACTTCTACTATATCCCAGCACAAGAATTTAGATTCCTATTATCCTCTTAAAGAGCAGCTACTAATCTCATTCCTGTGAAGAGCAAGCTTTTCCTCCCTGTTCCTGCATACTCTCTCACCTCTTCTGCCAGTATGCACATAAAGATTCTAGCACAGCTAGCCCAAGTTACCAGGTGCCACCTGGCCTGTACTTACATGGAATATAAACTGCTTGGAAGCTCCCGACATAGTTGGGTCCCAGCTCATAAATGGTGCTGACCCCTGGGGCAGGCAGCACTTCCTCCAGGAAGTGCGTGGGGCCCAGGCGCCACACCAGGGAGGAGAGCTGGCGCTGTGCAGGTGGCGTGCCGATGTAGGCGTACACTGTGCTGACCACGGGGGGGTTGGCAGAGCCAGAGCCACTGGGGCTGCTGTGGATGTAGTGAAGCTGTGAGGGAGCAAAACGCAGGCAAGTTAGCGAGGGAGCAAGGGTACCGTGACAAGATCAGAAATTTTATCCAAAAATGGTTTTGCAAGCCAGGGGAGGTATCAAATTATTGCTATGTAATGAAGGGTATTCTGACGCTGTACTGAACTACACAGTGAAGAATACTAAAAAGAAAGGAAATGTGAAGACCAGAAGTGGGTATCAGAAGATGAAGGTGTGTATGGAAACACAGGAGAACATGAGAATTCTGTGTCTATAGAAGCTGTATCTTGATTCTAAAGACATGGTGCTCAAAGTAGTGTTGTTTCTCCTTTCCCAGCCTTTGGAAACTACACCATTTCAAGCTCAAGTGCAAATGCGATGAACTAAATTCAGCAAGACTTTTCAAATAATTAAACAAATACACAAGTAAGATCCTGGCCAATATATAAAGAGAAGAACAACCTCACAGGCTTTTTTTCTATTTACATTGTAAAAATTCTGTTAGTAGCTATTAAATGTAGTCATGTATAGCCAGAGAGATGGCCAGACAGACACTTATGTATTACAGCTGTCAGCATAACTGCTGTGGTTCGTTTTGGTGTGGGGGGGCACCCCGGGCTGTCCCCGGAAGGCCCCCTAGGCTGTGAGCTGGCTGGCAGCAGCAGGCAGGCAAGGTGACTCCACATGGCTTCTGAGGGTGCTGATCAGATGAAGGTTTATTTGGGGTCCCATCCCCGGAAACAGCATGATTACTGAGTGGGAAGGGGGAAGGAGGGGGAGCCTAGGGGAGGGAAGGGACAAGAGGCGGGGAAGAGGCTGGGAGAGAGGAAGGCCTAAGAGATCGACCGACTTCACCAGCACAGCTTAAGAGGGAGATTGACGTGGGCACGGAATCAGACTTGGGCCAATGGGATTACAGGTACATGATGGTTCAGGGCAGGACCACAGGCTTAGAATATAACATACATTTTGGGCGGGTGAGACAGGGCATACCATTTCAATAAAATGCAATATGACACATAACAACTTAGGGTAGTCCCCCTCTTGCAAAAGGAATACTGAGAGATAAACTTTGAAAATCAACATGTTGTTTTACCTACAGCAGTACAGTAACATTAGCTAGTATAAAGCCCACACTTGCCAGTTGTCAAATGATGTTTGGATATCTGTTATAGCTTGGGAATACTGTGCTCAGTGGACAGGTCCACAGTGCTCTTCACTGCTCTCTGCAGTTCTTTCCACCTAACAATGAGGTATTGACCTTTGCAAATAAACGTGGTGTTTGCTTGTTGTTTTTTGTTTTGTTGCTTGGGTTGGGGTTTTTTTCTGTTCTGTTGGGGGTGAACACCTTTTAGATGGGGTGGTGGTGGTTGATTTTGCTCTTTTTTATTGTAAGGTTTTTTTATTGCACAGAGAAAAAAATCACTCCAACCAGTAAAAATGAGAATTGAAAGATTTATTTTACCTTAACAGTGTTAACAAGCTGTCCGTCGAGGTAGAGTGCAGCTGTGCTGTTCTTCAGCATGCCTTTACTCATGACCAGAACTAGGTGATGCCACTGGCCTTCCACAATGAGGTCACCGCAGCGGAAACGGGCACAACAGGGAAGAATTTCATAAAATGATGATTCCTCACTGAAGTCATCAACTAAAAGAAAAGCACCAGTTAGTGGGCACCAGCAGAAATGTTACAAGAGCATAAAAATCTCAGGATACATTCAGACTTTTGACAATTGTATTTTACTTCTCACTTTCTCCACTCCCTTCGAAATTTCAGCTGGAATTACTAGTTGGCGCAAGTTTTTACTTTCTCATGCTGCCATGCAAGTCACAGAAAGGTATTTTGTTGTTTTCCTAAAGAAGCTTCTACAGCAGCAGTCACCAAGAACCAATAGATGTGTCCCCAAACCCACAGAGTTATTTTTCACCTTTCTCACACTGTGAAGAGGATGATACCCATGTTCCAGGCTTTTTATTCCCACTTTTGCATCACAAAAATGACCCTTACTCAAAAGCTGTCCCAATAGAAAAAAAAAAAAAAAAAAAAAAAAAAAAAAGATTCCCCAAAACCCAGGGAATGTTTCAACCATGAACTTTTCAGATCTCTCTTCATTTTTTCATACTGAAGGAAAACAAACCATTAATCCTCTTACCACAACAGCTGCCTGCACAGGGAGAACAGTAATTTCTTTAGAAACAGCACAAGGAAAATGTTAAAAGCAGAGTATTTAGAACTAACATTCAGATACAAAAATAATCTCAAGTTATTTTACATAGCCTAACATCTCTAAGCACATTTCTTGCTCTCAATAAGAGTCCTTACATCACCCCATTTACTTTTACAAGAGACAGCCAGCACTTCCATTCCCTGTGTTGTGCACAGCACTTTCAGTCTCAGTTTTTCAGGTCCCTACCTGCTCAGCACTCAACACTACACCACCAGCTATGATTTAGACACAACAGGGTAGCACTTGAGTGAAGCAAAGTGTCCTGGTTGAAGTAAAAAAAAGTCTTTATAGTCAGAAACCTTCAGATCTTCTCTAACAAAGCCTTTTCAAATCCTGTCTCTTTCAGGGAGTTTGATTATAGGTGCTCACTAAACTAAAAACTTATGAACTATAGTTTCAGTGCAGGCTAAAGCAATTAGTGTGAAGATAAATTTGCTTCATTCTCTAAGAATTTGGTCCTCAGAAAAAAAGCACTGTCAGTATCTCTGTAATTTAGGGGGTTTAATTCCTACTTTACACTATGGGTTTTCAGCTCTCAAGTGTCAGGTTTTGAACTTGACTTCTACTAAGAGGGAGTGCTGCAGTTAATGATGTGAATGTCTGCTTACAGATGATTCCTTATTTTCATGGTAACAGTTCTCTTAGTGGTTTGTGGGAGTTTTTTTAAAAAACAACAATTTTATATAATCCTTATTAGTGCTGCTTACTCAAAAAGTAAAGACCAGAAGCAGGAACAGGTTTTTGACAACCATTTGGGCTGGTCTGGTGAAGAGCTAAGCCTGAAACACATGCAGAAGGCTGCCCTGCTCCTCTCAGACTGCTCCTCCACAGACTCAGTGTGTAACAGCCTGTCAAAACCAACCACTTTTGGAGGCTCTGATGGAGGACAAGGCTGGAGACAGGAGACAGTTCATCCTCAAGCCCCTGAGTGCACTGATAGCTCTCTCTAGCAAATTTATTGGTATCACCAGCTTCACTTAGATCTTCAATACATCTCCTGTAACCCCTCCTTTGGTCACAGATACTGAATGGAGATACAAACTGTTTCTGAAAACTGAACACAGCATTAAAACATGAAGTAAATGACTGCTTGCCTTCAAAAATCCCCCCAGTACTGGGACTATCCAGACTGAAAAAGCCTTCAACCTATTAGTTTACTATTTCCAAACTTATTCAAAGCAAAGACAGTTAGAATTTGCACCTCAAGACCTCAAGAGATGATGTCTAAAATGAATGACACAAGATAAATCAAAGTCAAAACCTTTCAAAACCAATTATGTAATCTCTCCCCTGAATACGTATTACCTGGGGTTTTGGTAAAAAAATTTTCTTTTATATATAGACATCGAATCTTCTTTGGAAATTATAAAAGCTCCATAAATTAATGCTTACATTTTGCATTTTTCCATTGTCAAAAAATCAGGAACTGGTGAAGCAGCAAAAGAAGTTCTAGCACATGCAATTCTTCTGGATACTGGGTTTAAAATAAACTTGCCGTTGCATCCCTATAATACTGTCAGCATTAGCTGATGACGTGGCACAACTCTTACCATAATTCTGAAGCAATTCTTCTTTAGTTGAAACAATCAGTGAGCGATCTTTTGCCGACAGGACAATGGCAAGGCAGACGTAATGCTGCTCCGAGGAGTTCGCACGCCGCACTACAGTGAGGAGTCTCACAGGATGGTTATTGGGAGGTGTACTAAAATGTTCAATACAAAACCAAGTTGAGTAGCTTAAACCAGATGGTGGTGGGAAAAACCTTTCACCTAAAAATAAAAAGAAAGCCCATTACAGAGCTGCAGTTCAGATACCTACTTGATCCTGTTCCTTTTTTCATATCAGCTCAGCTAATACTAGCTGTATTTTCTCAGATCCCGAAGAAGCCTCTGTTAAGGGAATATCTCTCTACCACATACATGCGACTCCACTTAATATCCAGGATGCTCCCACTAATTCTATCTTACTGCAGTGAGCCTTCACTTTAGTTTTTAGACTTAGCAACTTGTTAACTAAGTGACCATGTTCAATTAATTCCACAGCTTTTAATTAAGCATTCCAGGTTCCTGTAGGGTGAATAATCCTCAACAACATGTAAAAGTGATGACAAACAATTTAGATGGGGCTTTTGTGATGGTGTGTGCAACTACACCTGTAATAAATGCAGTCAAGGATTCAGCAGAACAAAGTCACAAGTACGGCATTACAATTTGTTCCACATTTCCTATTCTCTACACACTATGACCTCAACTTTTTCTTAATGCATCTGGATTATTACTCGTACACCTTGGTTGATTACAATTTAGCCTTCTACTTTAAGCTTTTCATTTTAAAGCAATCACACATTTTATATTTTATATTGCTTTTCATTCTCTTGGGGGCAACAGAAACACACAAAAAAAAAGACACAAGAAGTTCTTGATTGTGGGTGCACAGTGTCCAACACCATACTATCAGTTCATGGCTAACCAAGAAGGCCAAGAGAACTAAACATCAGATACAAATAACTGTTTGTTACCAGTCATACTGGAGTACTCACCAGTTCCAATTCCGCTCACAACGGCACCATCAACAAGTCCTGTAGTAACAGCATTATTTGTAGGTGCATTGTGGGGAGCCAGACTTGGCAAGAACAGGCAGCTGTTAAACACAAGACCAGTAACACACTGGAGTTTATGAAGTCAGTGTGAGTGGAGTTCAATACAAACAAAACATGGCTTAGAAAAATATAACATAAGCACACATGCTTTGTGACTTTCTGTAGTAATGAAAAATAGGAATTAATTCTCAAGATTGCTCATTGTGAGTCTAAATTATTGCTAGCACAAAGAACTTTGGCAGTGTATGTCTTTGGTGTGAAGGTATGGAATCATGCCCATGTGGCTCCATAACCTAAGATGTTCCCTTGTGGGCACCTGCATCTTGCAGCAGCCGTTGAGTTGTTCTGAACTTTCTAAAGAGACTGGATCAGCTAAATAGTCACAGGATCTGACAACTGCAGACAATGATGTTCTTATCTTAAAAAAGCATGCTCTCACACTAACATCATATTCCACCAACTTAGCTATGTTTGGTCCTTACAAGAGCCACTGATGCTGTGGACACAATGAAAATCAATATAAGGAGAAAAGTTCTTAAATTAAAAAAAAAAAATTATTATAGAAGCCTTCTTAGTTGGCTTGCTGAAATTAAAAGAAGTCACAGCTGCATTATGTGAGTTACTTCTGGACATGTTACCAGCATCCACAAATCTCCTGAAGCAAACACATTGAAAATTCATTTTGCCAGCCTATTTCTAGTTCTTAGGTCCAGACAATTTTTTTTCTTCTCTCTTATGAAGGATGTAGAATACATCTTAGAGTAACATTTGTTTACTAAAAAAATAAGTGTGTTCCTGACTGTACTGGATATTAAGGTTAGATGGAAAATGGAAGCTGCATCCTTGCTTTGCAGAGCTGAAAAGAGAATGTAGACAGCAGCACAGCTCCCAAGTACTCAAGTTTTTCTATTCTGTTTTTATAACCAAAAAAGACCAAACATTTCCCTTAAACAGATGTTGAGAATGGTGTCATGCATTCATCTTCTGAATAGTTAAATCATATTGCATGATCCTCAAAAAGTGTCTCACTCAGCAGGTGTTTAATTAGAGAGAGAAAAACAAGCAAGTGGTGCTAAAAGAAAAAAATTAGCTAAGCATGATATCCAGGCTATTCCTACAGTTAGTAATACTAGGTTTCTTTCAGTTCTTTGAACTCATCATAGTTGCCTTGTCTGCTTCATTTGTATTTCTGATACACTTTCACATTTTCATGTTTTTCAGCAATTTTAAGTGGCTCAGAATACCTGTGCCATCCAAATGTCATACATAAATCTCAGCAACTCTTCAAGGGTATGTTGGCATCACTTTGTTGTAAAAGGGATGTGAAACCCAGAACTGAGAGAGTCCCACCAATGATACATACTTCTTTTTTTCCACTTTCACACATGGCAAGCAAGCATTTTTTATCAAGATATTAATGAGTGAGAAAGTGGAAATATATGTGATTCAAAGCATTCCTTTCTCCTCTTTAAAGAGTTCATTTGTTCCTTACTTGCAAACAGTCTATTAAATTTTACAAGCATTCCTTTATGAAAACAGGAAGTAAGCAAGCACTGCACTGTCCCATGCTACTCGAGAGCATGGCAGGACCTTACCCAAAACCTTCCAGAGATGTGTCAAACTCGATGAACGCTGGCGTCACCGATGAGCCGTGAAGCCTGATATCATGTGGGGTTGTCATGGAGACCAAACACTTGACTCTGGTCAGGGGCACTGTGCTCCCTTCTGCTGGCTTGAGCAGGCTCCTGCTGATCCGATAGTGGCTGTCCTCGTGCGCACCGAAGACGCTGTCAGGACCCAGACCTTCCATGGAGGTGACCATGCTATCTACAGGAGAAGCCAAGAAACAACAGAGTGTTGCAATGCAGGACTGCAAAAGGGAGGCATTTTCAAGCTGTTTATTTGGACCTTTCAAGTCTGGTGGAATAGCTGAATTGTCACACATTGTCAGCTAGTTTAGCCTCTCATCAGATGATGAGCTGGGAAGCATTGCTTTGATTATAAAAATGCTCTAAGGCAGGAAGATGAGCATGTTGCACAACACGCCAAGGAAAGTCTGTGGTAAAGGGAAGAGGCCTTCCCATTGCCTCATGTCAGCACGGTGTTCTTTTTGCAGAGGCTCTGCTTTGGATGCATTCCTGCTACCTAATTTAACAAGCAGGGAAAGTTCTGCTTTGTGCTTTTCAGATGCAGTCTCAGAGCTCTTAGAGAGTATAAAGTAAACTTAGCTTAGGTAGTTTAACATAACTTGTGGTATTCAGAAGGTAGCTTTGCATTCTCTTTCCTAGGCTAAAAACTTTCTAGTCTCACATTTTCATAATTTTCCTTTTTTATTTTTCCGAGTGATAATACCCTTATGCAAATATATATATAAAAATAAATAGAGCACTGGCCAAGAGATAAATTAAATCTCTTCTTCTCCCTTCTTTTAAAATTTACTGAACTTGATAATAAAACATGAATTCAGTTAATTTATTTTTCTTATTTATTTAATAATTTAATGCTTAATCAGTATCATCTAAGATACTTTCTAAATTCTTTTAAATATTTCAAAAATTTCAACTAAGGTATTTTTAATGATATGTTACAGCCAGTCATACAATGAGCAAGCTGACACATAGAAATAAGTATCTTGTCCTTTGGAAGCTTTTCAACAAATTCTTTGTCTTATAATTTACTGAGACTGTCCTATACTACATGAATAGCCATTCCTAAGCTCTGCAACTCATAGATAATAATAGGAGATTGAGCAGTTATTTTATCTGATACCTTACTGAATCCATGGGAGATACTACACAGATGTAATGATTTGTTGAGTGCACATGAAAGTAGCTGAGAAAAAAATATTGTTAAATAACTACAAATGTAGGACCTACTCAAGACTTAAAAACAAACTACTACCATATTTAACAGTTACTTCCTAAAATAAAATCCTATAATAATCTTTGCTGGATATATATTCAATAAAAGTACTACACTCCCTCTGGTTTTGGAACTTTTCCAGTCCGATGGTTCTGATGATTTCACATTCATACAAAGCTGGGGTAAAGTTGGGTTTTATGAATGCCTATCTAAAAATTTTAAATAGGTATGCAATTGGGGGTCATGAGTGAAACATTATTTACACACATTTTTAGCAATTCAGCACCTACTTCTCATTTCTGGTTCAAAACTCAGTGAGCTGGGTTTGTGCACTCGGTACTGTTTCAACAACTTTTTGTCCCAGGCTCCGCAATTCAAAGGATTTCCCAAGCGTAAAAATTCCCTAAGAAAGAGAATAGAAAAATTTGGAAGTCATTTTCTCTATTTATTTGCCTATAGTGGCACCAAATTTAATAGCTCTTTAAAAAAAAGACAATAATTGCTTGCAATAAACATAACTTTTAACTAAGAAAATAATCCAATGCATAATCATGATCCACAACATATCTGATCCATTCAAAACAATTTAATTTTGGAATGCATGCTCTCAAAAGTGTACACTATTTTAAAGAATCAAGCCATTTTGATAAAGTAATTTATCATAAAATAAAGCAATTTTGATAATTCCGTTCTCTTCATTTGAAAACTTGGCAGGAGGCTGCTGCATTCTGTTCTGTCCTGAGAACATCAGGACATTGGATGATTTATGTCCAGCAAGTTGAACTCTTCTGGAGAGGCAGATCATAGGCTGAAGTAAGCAACCTCAGCTTTGTTTTACCAGTGTATCCTATTTGGCTGGGGGAATCATTTCACAGCTATCAACATCTGTATCTCTAGATAACTACCTCACTACAGAGCTACCCAGGCTACCAGTGTCTATGCTTAGGGAAGCATAAGTCCCTGTAAATGTGACTATGAGCTAGAGGGCTCCTTACAGAACCCGTTCTGACACAGCAACCTGCCACTAAAGGGAACGGAGCAGCTGTCCTGGCTACAGGTCAGCCAGCCAGTGATCCATAGGAGATAATAAAATTAAATTCCCTCTTACAGCTGAGATCACAGAACCCCAGGACAGTTTGGGTTGGAAAGGACCTTTAAGGATCATTTGGTCTAAGCCCTCTGCTGTGGGCTGGTACTGCTTTCACTTACACTAGATTGTTCAAAACCCTGTCTAACCTGACCTTGAACATCTCCAGTGATGGGACATCCACAACTTTTCTGGACAACCTCTTCCAGTGTCTCACCTCCTTCACCATAAAAAATGTCTTCCTCATGTATAATTTAAATCCAGTCTCTTGCACTTCAAAACCTGTGGCACTGGTCCTGTCACTACAGGCTCTGGTAAAAAGTTTCTCTATGTCAAGACACAACCTATTTGATGAGAAAAAATGGGATATTGTGCTATCTCTCCCACATCAGGTCACTAAGGCTCTCTACCACTGCCAGCTATTTACAGTGAGCCAGGAACAGTGCAGGCTGCAGGCCTAGTCCAACTGAACTTCAGGGCTATCCTTCTGACCTCAACACCATGGGCTGCAGAGCCTGGGAGGCCAGCCTTTCAAACATCCTTTGGAGTGGTGGATGCAAGGAGTGGTCCTCATCTGCCAGAGCAGCGCTGCATCTTTGCAGAAGTCGTGCGTGGAGCCCAGCTTCACACATGACTTGCTGGTTTCTCTCTGTATGCACCAGAGATTGCAGGATGTTGGCCACTGCCAGCTGGAGATCCAGCGCATGCTGAAAAAGAGAATAGCACAGGGTTTGAGAAAGTGCAAACTGAGAAGGAAAACAGAAGAAAGGCTTTATACATAATAATAGAAAAGAAACTAACATTAGCAATAAATACAGAAAATTAACTGTACTTAAACACACATGAATGCACTTGTGTGTTTTCACACATGTCTGTGTGAAGAAACACTCTGTACTAAAAGAGTAATTAGTTATACAAAGGACCAGAACTATGGTCAAGAAACATAATTCAGGTAAGAATGGTCAAACTAACCTCTACTTTTCACCAGCAAAAAGAACCAGCTCAGAGAGAACTAGAAACTTTTATTTTTGTGACTATTAAGCTATTCCTAGTAACTTAACTTGGAAACATAATCATTTAGGTTAGACCTTTAAGATCATTGAGTTGAACTCTTAACCCAGCATGGCCTAGCCCACCACTAAACCATGCTCCCAAGTGCCACATCTACATGTCTTCTAAACACTTCCATGCCTGGTGACTCAAACAGTGCCCTAGGCAGCCCATTCAAGTGCTTAACAATCCTTTCGGTGAATAAGTTTTTCCTAATATCCAACCTAAACTTCCCCTGGCACAACTTGATGCCACTTCCTCTCAGCCTATCACTTGTTTGACTTGTTGAGACTGCCCCTCCCCTCGCTACAACCTCCTTTCAGGTAGTTTTAGAGAGAGGTAAGGAACCTCCTTGAGCTTCCTTTTCTCCAGGCTAAAACACTCCCAGCTCCCTCAGTTACTCCTCCCACGACTTGTGCTCCAGACCCTTCCTCAGCTCCTCTGCCTTTCTCTGGACACAGTCCAGCACCTCAATGTCTTTCTTGTAGTGAGGGGTCCAGAACTGGACACAGGATTTGGGGTGCAGGCTCAGCAGTATCAAGTACAGTTATACAACTCAACCTGTGAAATATATTAGTTTTTCAGCACAAAATGAGAGGACATCACCAGCTTTCCTATTTCCCACAGCCATCCTTTTCCCCAGCAACTCCCAAAGCTTCAGACCATACTTTTTTCCCCTTACCTCTGGGTGTGTAGCTGATCCAACAGAGGCCAGAAGATCCAGCATTGCAAGCATAGCACCAGGGTGAATAATGACTGCATCAAAGCTTTGTATGGACGTGGGTCCTGTTTGGAGTTTCACATCAGCTATGTTTTTCTGAGGGCAAACAGGAGGTGTTGAAACAGAATGATATGCATGCCTGCAGGACAGAAAACAGCCCATGGTTACAAGACCCAGCTGCATTTTTCAAACAGCTGTAAAACTGTACTGGCCTATAGATGTTACTCCCTTTTCCTTTCTCTTCCCTCAGTTAGACAGAACAAGTGTTCCTCTTCTCAAACTTGTTGGGCATGTTTCTCTAAAGACAGCCTAGAGAGGTTTCATTCTTGAATTTGGAAGTGTCTTTCCCAGATGCAACATTGTTTCAAGAACTTGACAGACTGTTTTTATTGCCTCCCTCTTTTTATTCTAGTTGCAGCAGCAGCGCACAACTGCAGTGAGCAACCTACCACTGCTGTTCTCTGGATGTGTGTCTCCCTGCTTGCTTTTCATTAACAACTGATTATGAAATGTACTATCACAAAACTCTCAGCAATCTCTAATCAGCCTAGGGGAATAGAAGGGTGGTCTCTGTGGTTACTCATGCCAGCAATCTGTATGTTCTCAGTCCTTCCATGACTGCTACGGCCATTTGGTTTTACATGAAGATGCTTTAGTCTGACCCAGGGAAAAGATGATTTGACACACTGACTTAGAAGCAACCACTGGTCCTGAGAAATGCAGACACGTTCATCATTGAAACTCTTGGAGATATCAGCTTGATGCCACTCTTCTTTCAGCAAGGGTTTCAACACACAAACAGCACGAGCAGCTTACTAAAGCAGCTTACTGTGTTTCAAGATGGTGCTTTAGAAGCAAAAGCAAAATCAAGACTCATGCTCACCACAAAAAAAAAAAAAAAAAAACACAAAAAAAAAAACCAAAACCCAAAACACACAAGAAACCCCCAAAAGAAAAAAAACCCACAAACCCAGAAAAGCCCCAATCAAAATCACCCACAGCCACAGTATTTATCATATGCTTATTTGTAAGAAGAAATAGAACAAACTCTGTGTGAGAATTTTTTTTGATGATCACATGTTGTCCTTTGTTTTACAACTGAATATAGCAAAACAAGAAGGGTTTCTTCTTATCAAATCAGTTGAAAGAAGTACTTCCTCTCTTCTGTTCTCAGTGACAGAAATTTACCCAAACCCTGACCCTAACACAAGTTAGACTTTGAGACTGGCTGTTCTTCCCCCTTTAGACACTTCCAACAAGGCTATCTTTCTCTTGGGAAAAACAGGACATAGATGGGAGATGAGGAAGGCTGCAAGCAAAGATCTGCCCTGAACACAGCCACCAAGCCCAATCCCTCAGCAAGAAACACATCTATGGGGGAAGGGTGAGACATCGGATTATTCAGCTTAAGATAGGACAACAGGAAGCACAGCACAATCTTCTTGTGCTGGCTGAAAAACTTGTTCAATAAATAATGTTCCAATAAAAAGGTTCCTACTGAAAAGCTTTATGGCAGATCAGTAAAAACTTGGCACCTGAACAACCCAAGAGTACTGTTCAAAAGAGAGTTTTTAAGAAAAATTAAATTACCGATGCTTTACTCATTTAGCTAATGCTTACAGGAAACAGAAAATAATATGGCAATTCTACTGAAACCAACTGCTAAGAAAAAGATCTCCCTAAATGAGTTTTTTTCTAGTATTTTTTACAAACCCCTAAGCCATTAATTTTCTAAACTTCTCTGTCAGCCCCACCACTTATGGAAACATCTAGCAGGTAAGAAAGGCTTCACTGTGGCTTTTAAAATGAATTAAGAACAGTGTAACAACTGGTAATACTATCACAAAGAGATGTAATCTCAAGCCTCTGCCCGGACTTACTGCAGAAATTGGAACACAGGCAATTATTTCCCATGCATCCTAAAAGCACTGCTCTTCTGAATGAGAAAACTGAAGCCTCTTTCCAATGTCACCTTGAGCATCTCAATGCAAGTTTTACAGGTTGCAGTTAAAAAAACCTAAATATCCATTTATATTTACAAATTCCCATTAGTCTAGTGAAATTCCATTCTTTAAGACATTCTGTCCACTTTTAAGTACAAATTTTACTTTTAAGCACACTGATCTGCACTATCACATTCACCTTGTTAGACAAATTATGAGGTTAAAACATGGTAGTACACAGACAGCATAACAAAAACATTGTTCACTGTGAGTCACAAACACAAATATGATCCTGGTCTCAAACCACCTGGACTGCAGCATTCCACATAACTGAAAAGGCAATACAGTCCAGACTAGGCTTCCTGTTAGCAGTCTAAGGAAAAATTATCTTTTTAAGCCATATATTATTGAAAGTTTTTCATATAACTTTAAAATATCTTCTATTTTTAGTTTTTCCATATAAGGAAAACTTGTATCAATTCAACAGGGAAAAAAAACAGTTTGTAAAGATATCTCTACATAGAATAAAGAAAACAGATCTTACAAAATCCTTCCAAAATATTAGTTAAATGTTATTGTTCTATGGCTCAGGGTAGAACTTGCAATAAATTAACTTAGCCATACTTCCACATTTTTATACGCCTCCTTTAAGGAAGGAGAAAGAAGAAGCAGCAGATAATGGAAAAAGGCAGTGTGCACAAGATGACATGTATCTGTATGTCTAATCTTTCTAATTTAATAAAATATATAATTGAAGAGAAATTAAATAATTAATACAACTTTAATTATATAATTAGCTACAAGTATTGATGAAAATTACAACAGCATTTTGATTTGGAAAGAAATAAGATTTACTGTAGATAAACCCTCTGCATATCGTACCCCAAGAGCAATCACTATGCAAACTTTTTAAAACTAATGGCTAAAAAGTCAAAGCTACATTCTATTCTCTACTTTACCCTGTTAGGACCAAAATATCCTAAAAAAAAAAAAAAGAGAGAACGACAGGAGTGGAAGAACAATGCATTCCAGGTAACAGGGAGGACAGCCACATACTGCCATTCCAACACGTGCTGCAGGAGTCCCACCTACTCTGCTTCCATAAAGGAGAACACTTGGAGGGCAGCACTCCACTGGGAAATACAGCTTTGAGACATGTCTGAGAGAGAATATTAGCATATCGGTGCATCTAAAACTATTCTAGACTATGTGTGAAACCAGAACTGTGCTATTTTTGTTTATAAGAATTATCTGTGTGCACAGTGTCTGCTTGCTCTTTTAGCCAAACAACAGAGGGCTCTCCCTCAGGCATCTGTCTTACAAGGTAAAAGGCAGAAAACCAGGCCACAACAAGGGAGATCCCAGGGATGCAAAGCAAAGGAGACAGAAAACAATAAGAGAAGAGCAAACACCTCTCTGGGAAGAGTCAACTTTGACAAAACTCGACCATATCTGACATTTAGGAAGAGAAAAACATAATATTGGACTACAAACCCCAAGCTGCTTATTTCTGAAAGCAGAAAGATCACAGCCACTGGCACTGAATTCACTAGGAATGAAAAACATGATGCTGTGAGAAAGCAGACAGCTGTTCAAACATACTTTTTGGAAAGCCTAGTTCTCTTTTTTTACTTAAAACATGCTTTTCAGAAAGGATCTGAAAGTCACCCAAGCAAGCATGATCATTCTTTCTGTCCACATTTACTTTGAGTCTTACACAATTTGTTACAACCCAAAGGCTTTTTTTGTTTGTGAAAATCCATTTCAAAAGCACTTAACCCCAGCAAGTACCTCCATTACTGTACTGGAGCTTACCTGAATTGCTGAAAGCACCCCACAGGGATAATGACTCTTCAAACTACCCAATCTTTACCTCAGGTTTTCAAGCAACTGCTTGCATTTTCAGTACCACAAAAAAAAAAAAAACAAACAACCCAAGGGAAGCCTAACGTATCTATTCATATATAGCTATATTTATATTTTAATTTCCAGGCTGTGTCAGCCACCCATCTGGCAGTCTTGCTCATCACACCCTGGAATCAGCTCCTGTTTGGCAGGCACTGCTTGTGTTCTGCTGCCAGCCTTTGCATAACTGTATGTTTGAGTAATTCAGTGAAACTGAGCAGCCCTGCCACCTACACCTGGGAGAACAGCAAAACGTAGCAAAGGGATGGGCAATCTGCAACACTAGAGGTTAATGCAGGGCTGAAGCTGTAAAGAGCCTCCATAGGACACACTGTTTTCTTACATGTTTCTTCAGAGTAAATGACAGGGAAAAGACTTTGGCAGCTAAGGTTTTTCTCTGTAAACTATAATGTTTGTTCTTAAATGCCTCAGTGTTAGAAAAGAAAGCAAATGACAATCTAAGTGGTTCTGGGTTACTAGGAAGGTGCCTTTCTCCAAGCCACTCCCTGTAGAACACCCAGGTATGACTTGGGTAACATTACCCAGTAAAGAAAAAAGGTTCTCTTTATTAAACTTCTTTAGTATAAACATTCCTTTCGAATCAGTTCCAAAAGCATCTTTGGTTGTTTTCCTTTGCAGAATATTTTACATTCCAACCATGAAGCCTGAATGCCTATATTATGCAGTATACCACTCAATAATGATCGCATTTTCTACACATGGCACCTGCATCTCAGATAACCCTGTGTCTTTCAATTGCCTTTTTAGCTTTCAAAAGCAAATCTCTGTCTGACTTGCATCTGTAGATAGTGAAGGGCTGCTCCCTTCCCTGGGGACTCCAGGAAAAAATTGGTTTGCATTTGCACAAACCTCTAAGTAACACTGGTCAGACAGTAACCTTTATTTTTAAAAAATGTTAAAGTCTACCAGACACATTAAGATGCATAAGAAAAGACTGTAGCTTGGGAGTGAAAGCGGGTGCTTGGATTTCTGAATTGGGCCATGTGTGCTTTCTTTCCAAACATTTTAATTCAGCAAGTCTCTACATCATTTGGTAGTCAAGACAGGTTCATTCTTTACTTTTTATTCTCTGCAATTACTAACAAATGAACACCTTTACAAGCCATCCACCTTCCACCAAAAGTAAGCTTCCTTGAAAAATTAGTCAGGAAAAAAGAAATCCTGATGTATTTATTGATCTACTAGCACAGTAGATGCCTTTGAATTGCTCCTGAGAACATCATATATACCTCTCTTAGATAATTTCTCATACTAGGCTTTATTTGGTTTTGAAACACAAGCCTAACTTTAAGTGCTATGGGAATCTGGAGACATCTCTAATCTCATCACTGCCTAGGATTCAACATGAAACATGCCTTTACATTTTTTTCATCTAGTAAACACACAAATGGAAATGCACTCCTCAGAATAGCAATTTAAGAGAAACATCCCTCCTCCCAAAACTAAGAAACACAACAGCAAGAGAGAAAAATTGGAAAGGAGATCAGCTTCTCTTTGAAAGGTCGGTACCTTTTCCTGGACAAAGCTGGCGTACCCCAAGGAGAGGGGAGAGAAGTCTCATTTGTCAGGCAAGGAGGGATCTGTTCTGCACGACTACAGACAAAACAGACAGGGGTAGGACAGAGAGGTTAGAGAAGAAACCAGAGGCCATAAGCTTGTTAGTTTTACAAAAGCACCAATAAAAGTGTTACTTGGATCCACCCTTCAGAAACAACATGGATGACAAAGGACAAATTGAATGACAGCCTCAGGTGAACACACAGACATGCAAAGTGTGCACAGGTCTTGTGGTGTGACTCTGCACTGCTTGTTCATTGCTCTGCTGAGAGCTACTGATACCAGCAAAGCAGAACAACTTGCAATGTTCAACAGAAGAAACTTAGAGGAGAAAGTAAAGCTTCAGTAAATTAGATATAACCAACAGGAGTAAGAAATAAAGTCAATGTAAATTCAATAATGAATGATGAACAGGAAATGTAAAGAAGAAAAAAATCACTGAAAATAACAGCCAAAAAAAAAAGGAACTTAGTACGGTATCTTATGCAACATCACCATGTGATTTACTTACCCCATTGTTTCCTCATTCACTATTAGCCAGTGTCAACTTCTACAGTACGAGCAACACACTCTTAATACAAATTGTCCTCCTGCTACCTGAATGCTTTAATAATGCTTCAAAATGAGACAAAATAAACTGATTTCTGAAGTTGGCTTTTTGGTGAGTGCGTCAGAGCATGAGTGTGTGTTAGGGTGGGTTTTTTTGTTGGCTTGTTAGTTGCTAAAATTTTCTTTGAAGAAGAGAAAAGCATTAAGATCTCCCACTTGGGGGGAAAGATGACCCATCTTATTAGAACAGGGTCACATACATTCAAAGGCCGGGGTATAAATAGCTTAAAGGTCCCAGATACAAAGCTTAGGTCTGTGTTTCATGTTTTGTACCTTAAGTTGTGGCAATAACTACTTTAAGACAAGCTAATCTTCAATACATATTTCACAAAGTTTTGTTGTCATTTTCAACCTTTAAAACACATTTCTGTTCATTTTGAGTCTCATAATTTAAATTCAAGTTGTTTCACTCTGGGAGTGTCTCCCAGTTAAATTTAAAAAACCAGTAACTTACAGACTATCTAGAACTTTAAAGAACAACCAAATCCATGTAAAACAAGATGTACATCTTATGTGCTAGCAAGGAGAAAAAGAGGCACAGGGAAGGCCTTATCAGTCTCTAATACTACTTGAGAGATCGTCATAGCAGTAGTGTCCATCTCTTTGAAATAACTAACCAAAAGGCAAGAGGAAATGGCCTCAAATTGAACCAGGGGAAGTTTAGATTTCATATTTGGAAAAAAAATTTCACCAAAAGGGTTATCAAGCATTGGAACAGGCTGCCCTCGGATGAAGTTGAATCATCATCCCTAGGGGTCTTTAAAAGATGTGTAGATGTGGCACTGAAGGACAAGGTTTAGTGGTTGATTTGGTAGTGCCAAATTTACAGTTAGACCTGATCTTAAGAGTATTTTCCAACCTAAACGATTCTATACTTCTAAATTAATCATGGTATTATTTAATCATTTACTTTAAAACTCCACATCAAATGAAACAATGAAGTTAAGGTACGACATTCAACAACCAAATTTTCATTTACTTAATAAAACCAAAAAAATATAGTATTTCTAATGATGATAATGCAACCTGTCAGCCTATCAACCAACAGGTTGCTTCAACACATCAAATATAACCATGAACTGATACCTCTATATTAACTGCTGCTACAATAAAAACACCCAACATCAGAGAGAATGCTGTGCACCCTGGAGAACACCAGCAAGCAAAGTCATTATTTGGTCAGATGTTGACACCTTATCCTCCTCTCAGTGGAGTGAAGGAAGAAAAAAGTAGATTAACACGGAAATACAAAAGCAATGAAGGTATCTGAAGAGAACACTGGCGTGGGACAGGCAGAGAAGATGAAAGAAAAGGAGGGAAAAAACCCCCAAAAAACAAAGGTCATACCTGTCAAAAGAATCTGTTGCTACCTTGTAGAGGTAAATAAAAAGTTTGCTGCAGTGTCTTAGAGTAGGTGACACAGAATCCAGGGATATTAGGTCATCATCCAAAAGCCTTTGAAACAGCTGTGTATTTGAAGGGAAGACATTCAAGGGACTTATTTTCCTCAAGTCTGAGAAGCAGCCAAGTAATCGAACAGCATCTGCCAGTTTTTCATACTGGATCTCTGTCTTGAAGAAGTGAGAGTTGGCTGGCTCGTAGCGCATTGCTGCAGTCAATGTGCAGAACACAGTGTGAAGCAGTTCAAACACTTGGTTCTGGTTTACTTTTTCCCAGCCATTCTTAGGTGGTGAGCACAAAGATCTTTCCATGGCAACAAGTAAAGATGTGACGTACACAAATCCACCAACTTTCCTAAAAACAGTTCTTGTGCGGTGACTCTCTCTCAGCACCAAGAGTAGAGCCTGTGGACAAAACAAGCAATCAAAACAGGGAAACAACAGCAACAACAAGCAGCAGCATTACAAACAGCCTGAAAAAAGCTTGGAACATTTTTGTTCACAAAACAGTGTTGTGTTAGCAAAATCCTTGTGTCATTTGTCAGAACTTGGTAATCCCTGAAGTCAAAAATGTAGTAAAAGTTGTAGTAAAAGTTCAACAACTTTTCAGCAGATCAACTTTTCAAAAGATCAACTTTTACTATAAAAAATTCTCATACTCAAAAGTTTACAGAATAAAGAAAAAGATTAGGGGGGAAAGTAGAACATTGCTCCTTATTTAGAAATAAGAAATTACCTTCCAACAGAAAAGACCTGACCAAGCCCAGAATGGAACCCAAAATTGCCAAGTAATTCTCTTAGTGACAAGGTGGAGAATATCTCTGTTAGAAAGGAATCTTCTCTGTCATCACACTTCACAAACAATTTCAAACAAGAGCAGGCAAATGACTTCTTGCAGCAATGAGAAATCTAAACCTTGGAGCATCCTAACAGTCTCCTAGAAATCAACAATGCAGAAGCACCTGGCAGCTATGAAGCCACAATGGCACTCAAATGTAACACCTAGTTAGCAAGTTCAGGCAGCAAAAATTAGCCAAATATACCCACTTATTTTTAGCTTTCCTCTATAAATCTCTGAATTGAGACTGAGACTATATTTTAAGAGTTTATTCTCAAAAGTAAGCCATAGAGAGAAAGAAAAGTGGATAAAACCTTACTTGCTGAACAAATAAATGCAAAGCCATGGTATAAACAGCAGAAAATACATGAACTTAGGTACTAGAGAACAACACCCATTATCTGTGAAATCAGGGGGTGGAGAAGCACCTCCACACAGCCAAAAACAAATGAAAAGGATACCTGTCATGGGAAGTTTGACCCACGTGTGAATATAGAAGAAAAAATCTCCCTACAGAAAGCATCATAAATAACAGAAAAATGTTACTGATACAGAAAAATAGACCAGGGGGAATTTCCCATGACCAGAAGTCTACTTCTTCAGAATCAAGTTGCTTTTTTAAGCACTCAGAAGATGGGTAGTGAAACAGAAGACTGTCATTCCTCTGAAGGCACTATCTCCTTTCTTGACGAACTTGAACAAAGAGTAAGAGACACATCACTGCACTGTTCTGGGCTGTCAGTTCCATAACCAAAACTTCTGAGAACAGCACCAATGGAGGACAAGTACAACAGGTTAAGGGAAAGACAGAAATCTTGATTTTCTGTTAAATCCTCTGGGGAACTCCAGTATCTTTTCTTTCCCCGTAAGTATGGTGAAAAACACATGGTCAAAAATTGCTGAAGACCTTCACAGACATTACACAGTAAATGAATAGTTTTATTACTAGCTTTCCTTTCTGTGTTTTGTAATAATATGAAGGTGCTCATCTGCCAGAGAAATACAGCTCCTTTGAACAGAAATGAACCTAGATGTCTGAGTTCTCTTCATTAAGACTCATTTACTTTCTGCTATTTGCCTCAGCTTTTCTACCCTAAAATAAATCAGTATTTTGTCAATTTTAAAAATAACATTAGCTACTCTGAAGAGAAATTGTGGGTCTAGATTAGCAAATAAAACACCTAATACAACAGGAAACAGACAAGAGTTTTCTTGCTTCTTCCTCCACTCCCAGCCTTACTTTCTTACTATTCCACTATTTTGCTTAAGCAAGCAAGTTCTTCAGTTTTATCTTCTACTGTGATCATTACAATTTGCATTTATATTAATTATTTCAGCATTCCTAGATACAAATTAGTAAAATAAAATGCCACAGAAAATGCAATCCAGAGCTGAAAATAAACGTACGTTACTTGCTTGCTTTTTTTTCCATACGTATTCCCATCATTTTTGACTAAATAAGACCCCACCAGGGAAAATTATCATAACTGCAGAACCTCATTTTCTATCCACAAACGTGATGATGCCAAAAACATATTCACTAGCCTACACCTCCAGTTCTGAAGGCTACCATGGATAGATGGTAGGAACTAAAAAAAAAAAACAACAACAACCATGGAGCAAATAGCAAATATAAGTATTTCAACTCCAGAGACAATCTACATACTACCTGAACACCACCCAACCAATCCAGCTCAATCCAAAGCCCTTCTCAGTGTTTTCTCTCTTTGAACCACACCTTAGGAGAAAGAGTGCTGAAGAAGAAGCCTTCACCTACCCTTAGGATGTCGGTTTTGAGCTGCAGTTCCGTAGGTGGGGCCGAGTGCATCAGCCCCAGCAGGGTGCCCATGTCGTCCTCTCCGCTGGGTGACAACACCAGCTGCTGGATGATCATCAGGGCGTGCTGGCGGCACTGCGGATACTTCACGATGTTGTGCACGCACCTGGCACCACCAAACTCCCTGAAAATGCCTGCTCGGAAAGAGGGTGGCAGGGTAAGCACTTTAAGAGTAAGCAAAATATAACCAGTGGCAAATAATGACAACAAAACAACACCAAAGGTGTTAATTTTCATTTCTACAGAATGAAGGGCAGAGTTTTAGCTCTTTGGGTGTGTAATGATTTACTACTAATTTTCCTCCCCTAACACAAATAAAAATAGAACTTTAATGTCTTCTGATAAAAATTTTCACTAAAGGCATTGTGTACAAGGATGGAGGTCAGCTCTAAGAATTTCTTCAATAATTCTGTTACTCCAACAGAAGTTACTCTTTACATGCTAGAGGTCAAAGGGTCTCAGGATGAAATAAAAAATCTACCAAAACCTCCATGTTTTGTGAAGACTATGCACTGTTCTGGTTTAGGGTAGTGTTTTTCTTACATTTAGTAATGACCTAAATGCAATATGAACTGAAAATATGACTGGGATGTTTCTGGAGATGAGCACTGGTTGATAAGTGGCTCAGTCTACCCACATAATTTGTAAGATTCTGCAGAAGATTTTTTGTGGCAAGACCTATCTCTGTAGAGATTAAGCTTAAGTCAAACAATGTTTTTCAAGTTTCCTGGCTACTGTGATAACTGAAAATTATATGAAAATTGATTCTGAAAGCATCACAAACACCAAAGTAGAATATACATGGCATACATAATGTGTGTTTAGTAGTGTCAGCACCTGGACTATTGCTCTATGTTAATTACTGAAGATGAAAACTGACTGGAGAAATGGATCAATGCTGCATTACTGCATCAAAAGGGATAATTTTCCACATGACTATAAACTCAAAGAGCAGTTTAAATGACCAAGTTCAGGATTAACAAGTTGATTCTCTCTAACATATATATATATATACATATATATACAGACATGAATCCCACCATCCATTTCCTGCCTCCTGCTTTCTCTGATGTCCTTTGGCTCAGAGATGGATTCAGTGCAAAAGGAGAGACCTCAGACCTTGAGACAGGTGAGTTTGTTGCACCCTTCCACAAGTAAACGCATCTCCTTTGTGGTCAGGTTTACATAGACTGGGATAACATTTTATGTTTCTCCCACTCTCAGTGTAGGTTCTCTTCTCAACTACCCGGTGAACCTGTTCCTGTTGAAATGTAGTTAGCAGTTCTGCAATACTCTGGAAAGCTTATCAGAGAGACTGGTTTAAGATCAGAAACCAAGCACCGAATGTGGTATGAATCACTGCAAGGCTGCATCTACTTATGCTTCTGTGATGACCTACAACCTCTGCTGGCCTCTGGATACAGCGCTCACATCCCAGTACAGACAGGAGCCAAACTTTCTGAGAAATAATTTCTCAGCTCCTCCTGTATGCTCTGTCCTACTCCTGAACTGGGAGAGCTACTGATGAAATGAGGCCCTTGAACGCTCCAAGATTCCTCAGAAACATCATCTGCGGCATCATCCCAAAGTGCCAATGTCTTTTACATTCCTGCTGTTGTTTCTCCAGTGGATATTCCGAGATTAAATCAGTCCTGAGAAGCAGCAAGTATCAAATTTGCTCAGTGTCCCCGAGCGGGAAGAATGATGCATCTGACTCCCTGATATCAGAAGGTTAATTAATTATTTTATTATACTATATTATTCTGTACTATATTACACTATATTACATTACATCTAAACTGAAACTCACAAGCACTCAACTCTACTGAGCTGAATCTCGTGACTGTCTCCTGACGGACAGTCTGGACACACACTTGGCCCTGACAGGCCAAGGCAACAAAACACCATCACTCTGGGCAAACAATCTCCATATTGCATTCTACTTTGGCACAACACAGGAGCAGCGAATGAGGTAAGAATTGTTTTGATCATTGTTTTCTCTGCTTCTCTCACTGCTTCTCTCGGGTTCAGAGAATGTGAATCCCACAGCAAGGAGGCCTTGATGGCTGATTGATGCTTCCTAGGTGAAGTCAGGAATGCCATCTAACAGCAGCCAAGGGTTTGTCGCAAGGCAGGTGGATGCTGCCACGGTCTCAAAATCACTAAGTCTTGGTTAATGAAGCATAATACAAAACTGCCTGATTTACAAAAGGACAATTGTAACAGAGCTCTGTCTGTACATACTGACTGGGAATAACTCTTTAATGAAAATGAAAAAACATCTTTAACTAAAGATACAGGCATTACATTAAGTAGACACGACACTGTGAACACTGAACTAAATTTCTAATTATGTGCTTAAATTTTTGAATATCCAAACAGTCTTACAAGCACTACCATGAATTATTATAAAACTGCTGAAGAGTGATGGGGTCTGGTGTTTGCCTTCAAGTAAACAATACCAAAGAAATTTAAGTTAAACACTATCTTGTTATCCTTATTTTATGGATATGGCTATGCTGTCTGTTTTCTTTGCTGGGAAAACTTGGCCAGAGAGAAAGTATATTTCAGCGTATTTGAATACTGGCCTAAAGATAGAAAGTCAAGACATGATTTTCTTTATACATATCTTGACAAGAATCTCTTCACTCACCTGCATTTGTGTTTGATCCTTGTAGTAGTACTGTCAGGGTCTCCATAACCAATAAAGCCAGCTGCTTTTGGTCCTCAAATGAACTGTTTCTTGAATCCACTACAAAAAAATTTCAGAAGCTAAAGTCATAGAAAATACCAGTCTTTTCAAAGATGCTTCTTAATACTTTCCACCAACACTTTTCTTTTCTTTGCTTCCCTAGAAAGCATGCAGCCCCACCATTTTCCAAAGCAAGCTGAGAGTCTACACATGCATTCCTGGGAAAGCTTAACTATGAATCACATGAAAAGTTAATTTTATAAAGACAAGAATTTAAACTGAGGTTTTAGAGCACTGTGAGCTGCACTGTGAGTGCCTGACATGAAAGTTATTGTTTCTTTGAGCCACAAAACTACACCAGTTGAAGATTAACTACATCTGCTCTTGTTCAGTTTTCAGTACCTGAAGAGAGAAATTCCGTACAAAACCCACAAAACTCCACTCACATAATTACAGCAAACGTGCTTATTGCTTAACAGGTGTGGCAGACCAACGCTGCAATTGGCACAGTACACACAGAGAAACACTCCAGGAAAAACAGTGGGGTTTTGGTTATTTTAAATTACTCTAATAAAAAGTAAACCCCACCACAAGGACATGTGCACCCAGGTAGCACCCTGATTAGATGACAGTTTCATTCATTTGTTTACAGGAACATAAGAACTGATGTGTTTTCCAATGGAGTTGAGGGGGAAAAGGCTTTCTAACTAACCTACAGTTACCACTCACTAATGAAGCTTCATACAATTAAACCCAGGTGAAACATCCAGCAATTATGATTAAAAATTAAGTGTCACTGATGCACACAAGCTTGACTGCAGTTTGAATGAAGAATGTAAAAATAAATGTCTGTGTGCATGTAGGCTCCTATGGCATGAGGCAGAGCCTGCTTTGGAGGCCTAGCAGCTGTGCAGCTTACCTGAGATGCTCCAGTCTGGAGACAACTGATCTTAATTTATTTTTTTTAATGCTTAGAAAAATGTATACCCAGCTCATAAAAAAGTCTCCTATTAAAAGCTCAGATATGCATGCTATAGTATTTTTTCAAATCTGGGGCTAAACACAAAGTTACAAAGCACCTTTTGTTAGGAAGAACATTGATGCTATACATTGCCCCTACACTTTTTTTCACATTAAATAACAAATATTGAACCAGTACATCAAAAAAAAAAAATTTAGAAAGGAAAATATGAGCTCGTACTACTTTACATTCATAGAGCATCATTCATTAAAGTTAGCCTCAAGCTTCTCTCAAGAAACTGAGAGAAGCAAATCCAATGAGCTTTTAAGATGGCACAGCAATCCTTAGCAGAATTCAGGCCCTGAGGTACATGTTCAGACTCTCTCATTTCTCCTAAATGCAAGACTCCACTATTTCCAGCCAAAAAAGACAAGTATTAGAAAAATGGAAATGGACACACTACCTTGATCATTCAGTGCCTGAGTGGGATCTTTCAAAAGGGCTGCATATTTATGAAGAAGATTTACCATCACCTCCAGAAGCCCCACTTCCCTGAAGACATCCTTAAAGATGTAATCATGACGAGTGAACTTCAAGAGCGTCCTCATGGCAATGATGCTACACTGAAAAGAAGTGCTGGATTTTAAAAGGATGCTCACACTGATCAGTTCTTTACAGGGTATGTAATTCAAGCTGAAGACAACCAATTCCAGCATCTCAAAGTATTTGGTCTGCACTTCTGGAAGTTTAGGAATTTTCTCTGCAAACTGAGACAATGTATGCTGCGATTCCAAAATGAAGTAGTTGGCATTGTCCGCCATATAAATATTCGTGATGGCGTCAAGGATGATTTGTGCTAGATAGTTGGTTTTTGCTCTCAAAAATGCATTCTGAAGGACAGAAAATGCTTGAATATTCCTCACACTATGACCTAAATCAGAAAATAAAGTGGGATGGGAGGAAAAAGGAAAGAGAAAGTTCTTAATCACCATAAACAATGAATACACTTATTAATAATGATCCACGCATTTTAATAAATAGGAATAAAATAACAATGTACGATGTCACTTTTCATTAAAAAGTCATTAAAAAAAGCCTCTGCACATCCACTTACACTGCAAATTCCACAACCTACTATTCTTTAAGATGGCATCTTAATCTTTGGTAGTAAGAGTTTACGTAAGCACCTAAAGATGCTGATCAAAGATAATTTCTTTAAAATAGATAAGTATACTGATTTAGTATTAAAATGTACATAGGATACAGTCCTAGAGACAAAACAAAGCCGGCCCATCACATATCCATGCCATAAGAGAACTCATTATAGCAACAGTGATACATTCTGTGTTCCGTAATGCAGAACACAGCCCTTGCAGCTGGGAATAAAAAAGCTTTGGCAGCGTTCAGTACTATTAACAATTAAGGAATTAAAACACAGGGAAAAAGTTGTAAAGCATAAAGTAGCTATAATATCAGCACACAAACATCTCACAGCTTTAAAGCTCAGTCACATTTCTTCTTGTAAGTACCTTCAAGTTGATTGATATCTCATCCACTTAGCTAAGAAATGCATCATTTATGAGGATGCTCCAAAATTTTCTATGGGCAGATATTATTCTTATTCTACTCAAAAGATGCCTTAAATTCAACTTTTTAAACTTCTGTAGGAATAGTACAAGACACAGTGGACAGATACCATGATACAGAAAACAACTAACAGTAAAAAATAACTAAAAAAATACACAATCAAGAGTGAGAACTTTAAAGACAATCTAAACAAAGCATTTAGGATGTTTTAACAGTAACATCTTATTTTATTTTTTTTCAAATAAAAGTATATGCAAACTGTCAACCTGATTTGAAAACCCTTTCATAAAGAAAAAATTCTTATTTATGATATATTCTCTATGGCACACTACTCTCTTCATTCTTGTAAACTAAGTTGTCCAACTGAACAGTACATTCAATTATCTTCATGCCTAGCCTCCACACCTTCCATTTCAGTATTTCTCCAGAAGGCAAGAGAAAACTCCCTTGTAAATGAGCATTGGAACAATTCAACATCTGGAAGAGCATTTATTACATTATAACACAGTTGTTCCTAAAAAGACTTCTTTACATGCTTTTTTTACTATGAAAAATGTTCAAATTAGGGGACTTAGAGCTTATTAAATATGACAGGAACATAACAGTGTCAGATACAACTATTAATATTCTTAGAATCAACAGTTGTTCCAGGCAATCAAGTAGATTAATAAATTGTTTTTGATTATTAGGAGGACCCCTGAAAAAAAAACAAATTCTAACCAGCTTTTCAGAGTTCAAGAACTAAAATGATTTAAATGGAAATAACTGAGATATCAGTAAATTGAGAAAACAAAGTTTTCATAAAAATACAATTTGCCAACATTATGAAAAGCAGGTAAAAGGAACAGAGATGTCCTGACAAATATCACAAAGTTGCAGAACTCTTTTGCAGATTGCAACAGACCATGGTTCTCTCATAACATTGTATCAGAAAAGCTGATTAATCAAAAAAAATTAATATTATTATCAAAACATGGAAAAATTGAACTCTGAGTGTTCACCTTCTTTCTCTATTTAGTGCAAAAGGAAAACAATTCCTAAGAACAATGAACTCTCTCCATACCAGAGAAAGGAAGTCACTGTCCAAGGAACCTAGGATGTATATTCATTAGTCTATAAATTTACAAATGCAATCCTGGAATAAACTTTTCTTGTGCCACTGCACACATTGTAGATCTCATAAAAGTTTGACAAAGTAGCTCCACAGTCACTATTAAATTCCAAACTCCTTAGTAACATACAAGACTAAACTGAATTTTAAGTTTATGCACAGGATATGAAACTTAAGTTTATTTTTATACAACACTTCTCCCCCAAGACTTCCTCAACCTTATCTCCAATTCACTGTGGTTTCAACCACACCACAGATTTTATCACTCTGATCACACTGGTGATGAAATAACAGATTTCAGCTCACAAGTTACATTTCCCTGAGCTGACAAAAGGTAACAGAAAGAAAAGCGGAGTAGGGGAAGGATTTAAAAAAATTAAAAAAAAAAAAATCAAGCCAGCACATCAGCCTTTCATATCAATTTAGTAAGACAGCAGCTTAAAACACTATAAATAAAATCAGTTAATCTCTCCAATAAGACAATCTCTTCACATTTCCATGTAGAAAACTGTCAGCTCTGCAGTGAAGAGGCTGGACCTGTCCTCAAAGACAAAAGCCCTAAACTTTCTTCTTTGGGTACCAATCCCAAAATAAAATATTTGAGACCAAAATAACTGAGTATTTGATAATCTTAGATAAAGAACCTAGACTTAGTTGGAAAGGGTTTGTGCAATACACAGCTGCTCTGTATCTTGTCATGGGCACTTAGAACAACAAAAAAGCAAACAGAGAGAGAAAGAAAGCAGACTCACCTTTGCCGGCAGGCTGTGGGACTGCAAATCCAGGTAGCAGGAAAGGTACTCCAGTAGTAACACCAGCTGGCTTTAATTCATTGACACCGTATGTTGTTAAAGAAGTTATCAAATTAACTAAGTCCTTCAAAGCATCCTTAGATTCAGCTTCTTTTGCCTGCTCTAATCTAAAGAAAATACAACAGGATCAAGTTAGCAGCACTAGTTTATCTGAACTCAAATCACTTTAGTAAGATCTCTTCTATTCTATCAGTTTAGAGATTAATTTTACTGCCTGATTCCTGCAGTGTTTTCAATGTCCATATTTCATACCATTAAGTTAGTCAAACACTGGACTTAAAAGAGCAAACAGTTATTTGCCATAGGAATTTACCTCATAAATCTCTCCTTGAACTCAACAGTCAGCAGAAAGACATGAAAAATTACATTAAAAATCCTCTCACAGACATGAAGATACTGTATAGGAAAGTACATGGAGAGTCTGTAATTAAATAGATATCTGTAATTAACTTGCTAGACTACATCTGCCACTTTGAGAGTGAATGTTTCATGCTAATGAAATGGTATCTTGGTAAAGGCGTAGCACTCACAAGCATGTGATGAAGCACGCTCACTGGAACTACAAACACCATCTCTGAACACAAGAGAACGGAAATGTTAACATCCCATTCCAACCACTGTACTGACAGGAACGCACCATCCGACCAAACCCTAAAAACTGACTCTGAATCATAACACCATCCTCATTTTCCTGCTACTTCACCACAAATAAAAGCATGTTTAATTATTTATTAACTGTAGATCTCAGCAGTAAACTGGGGACCACATTCTTCAATAGACTCAGGCAGTGCAAGCTCTGTTTTGCTTCTTGCTGACAAACGACTGTTGGAGCCTTTTACAAGCAGCTCATTCTGCATCCTCCATCTTCTTAGTCAGACGTGGCTGAGGAAGGAATCTCCTTCAAACAAGAACCTCCTGCAAACAGTCACTACAGAAGCACAGAGCTCACCTATTACCATTCTACCAACTCTCCACATGCCCTGCCCTTTCACATCATCCAAATGAAACTAAAGAAGAGCTCCTCTTGCCCTCACAGATCTTCTGCAATTTCTTACTGAGCCACCTTCTTCACATCCTTCTACTTTTCCAGCTCCAAAGCCTTTCCTCTTTGCAGCTTGAGACCCAGTGTCCAGATTTCACACCCTCACATGACACTTATCATCATAAAAGTGCCCCAGAGCTGAACAAGTCTCTGTGGGTAGGTTTGAACAAAACAGGGAGAACACATCACTGTGGTCCATCACTGACTGATGCATGGGCTCATTCAAGATCACTGTTTTTTGAAAGGAACTACTTTCTTCTAGAAAACCCCCTCAGGAAGAAATGAGGATAACATATTCCTACGCTATTAACCTTTACTGATGTCACCTGATGATCCCAGGTGTCCTCCTTTTTCAATGAGACATGTAAATCCCCAGTCTTCCTATACATTTGGCAGGGATCCCCCATTCTTTGACTTAAGGATGAGCAAGCCCAGGGGAAAATTTGTTTAAAACACTTCATCTACAGAGAATCACCTTTGTATCTCAACATGTAACATGACAGCATGTTCCCCTTATATCTCCCCTAAACTCTGGCTGACAGTTTCTGGAAAACAACTGAATTTGAATTACACTACTTTGAATTAATGCATTAGTGAATATAACATATTCCAAAACTCATAGAACAAGAAAAATAACAATTCCTTAACAGGTGCTTTAGCTTTTGTGGCACCAAAGGTAACTTATGAGTGATTTTAAGTGTGATTAAAAATGTCAAATGCCATGTCTATGTCTGGTATTCATTTAAAACAAACAAAAATCCCCCTCAGAAGTATACAATGTAGTGGAAAATTTAGTTCAAATATTTGAGTACCAAACCTCAGCATACTAACACCAAAAAATATGGAAATAACAATATTAGTATTTTTCAGTGATAATGTCTCAAGCATCTTTGACCCAAATGCACTTTGTAAGGTGCAGACTTATAGTTACCCAGTATGTACCTTGGATTCCTAAAATATATATATATTTTACAACAGCAACAGCTGAGCATTCTTCTTCAGAACTTCATGTTCAAATAAAGCAACACAGACTGCCCAGAGATTTTACACAAATAAAGCAACAGACACTCTTTTCTTTCTCAGTCAGAAAATTAAAGAAGTTTCCTTCATGGAAAGAAAAAGGAGATCGTGGATAGATCATGTACCAAAGGTTTTTTGGGCAGGCATTTTCATGACCGTATTTTTTAATGCACTAGCAGCTTAGAAGTATTTTTAATTAGGGAAAAAAACCCCTATTCCCTCATTGCATTCACCACATTTACATATGGGATTTTTCATTATGATAGCATGATAAGACAATAATTATAGAATTATTTAGGTTGGAAAATGTCGGAACCCATGACATCTCTCTGGATGCCCTGGATGTCTCAAAGCCCTGGCAGGGGATGGAAGACCCTGGCAGGAAGCCAAGGACACCTGGGAATTCGATCTCAACTCATGGAGCAAATTACCAACGTTATATGAAGAATTACAAGTCACAAAAGTTTACGTAGCATAGTAGTAGCAATCACAGGGTGAAGGGAAATTTTGGAGCATGGTACAGGGGGGTTTGGAATTCTGTACATAGGGGTCAGGGGTTCCAAGATGGAGGGATTTGGGCGTGCCTTGTCCTTCTTTCTTCTCCCTGGCGTCCATGTTCAGGATGATGTTGGCATTCACAGATTGGTTTAGAGTAGAAAGTCACTGTCTAACATAGGTGATAGGTATTGGAACATAATTGCAAACACAGTATACGTAGTTTTTAGTATAAAAGATAGCACCAGCCCGAGAAGTGGGGTGTGTGCCTCGGACCGACCTGCAGAACACACATTGGCGGGCCAGGCAGAAAATGTTTTAGATAAAGAAACAATAAACAACTTTGAGAACATGAACTGAAGACTTCTCGACTTGTTCTTCGGCTGCTGGGTTGGGGAAAAGAGACTTTTTAACAGAGACACACCTCGGGATCTTCCCAGCCAGACCAGACCAGAGGAGATCCTGAGAGGAAAAGACCTTCAAGATCATTGAGTCCAGCTGTTAACCCAGCACAGCCAAGTCCACCACTAAACGATCTTCTTAGACAAAACAAAACAAACTCCAACCACTCAAAAATCACTAGTTGCAGCTTAAATTTTATGTTCTGGATTCTCTCTAAATATTTAGTACCAGTTTTTTTAAGCAACTGCTGTCTTTCCAAAGCAAGAAACATTTAGTAATAAACCAGTACTAAAGAACAAAAAGTTCAACAAAGTAGTTTAATAAATGGAGAGAAACACAGAATTCAATGTTTTGGTCCTAATATCTTCATTCCATAATGATCTATAATCACTTATTTGTTTAAGCTTATTAATCTACTCTTTATTAAGAAAACGTTTTTTGAAAAATGCCCAGTGATCTGTCTGCATTTCTTCAAGCACTTTCGCCTACCTGAGGAGGAGGTCACAGAGGAAGTTGTATCCTTGCCATATCCTAAAATCATCCAACAATGTTTGGGATACATCACTGGAGTCTTTGAGAAAACAAGAAAGTCCAGCAAACATCTCAACTATTTCTAGGGGAGAAAGGTCATCAGACTGCTGCATGTTCTGGACACATGTGGACAAACATTCCTTTTCTGAAAAGAATTGCAGTGGAGAAATTTAGGATTTTACTGACATTAATGACAGCAAGAGGCATAATCAACATACAAAACACAGCAATAAGAGAACTTATTCAAGTATCTCTTGTCACAGAACACTTAATACTACTTGAGGATGAGAAGGATTCTCAAGTGGCTTTGGATCAAAACCCTAACCTCTTTTTGCCAGCCTCTTCCTTCCTTTTACAACCTTTACTCTTGTAAGGGAGAAACTGTGTAGATAATTACCATTTTTTAACCTAAAAAGTCTGACCAGATAACTCAACAGAATAAAAAGACAAATACGGCAAAGAGGGATAGCTTGTCTTGCCCTGCATAATTCTCATATTCCACCAGTTCAGTTTAGGTCAGTAACAAAGTTTTCTCAAATCTATAGTGAGAATTTAACTCTGTTTTAAAGATGCTCCCTTCAATTATTTGCTATTTTAACTTTGCAGCATGCACAACACAAGCACAAATCTTTCTAGCTAGACTGGTAGCAAAATTTTCCAGAGGTTAAATCAGAGCATGAGAGTGTGAAAGGTGCTCCTTTGCATATGATGAAATATCTTAAATTTTTCCTGCACATAAGTTGAGCCTTGTGACAGACGTTATTTCTTAAGTCAGGTTCACTTTTTTAATCAAAAAGAAAGAGGCAATGCTGATTGGTTTTCTTTTTAAGACTCCATTTCACTTTTTAAAGAATCTAGAGTATCTTTTCACATGCCAACTTCCCTCCTCTATGGATCAAGCCCATAGAGAAGCCATAATGGTAGCAACTGTAACATGCCAAATGACAGTCAAAACTCCAGTTATTTTCTTTGTCACACTTAATAACAGCTTCACACGCATACATACACTTTCTACACTCACCAAAAGCTCACCAGAAGCCTATCACCTTGTAAGTCCTATCTAAAAACACTCAACTGGTGACTGTGCTGTGCTTTGAGGGATATTGAACATTCACATCTTTTTGACTGGAATTAGAAACACACTGCTAGCACAGAAAAAACCGACTGAAACTTTCTGTGAAATATGTGGGAGCAGGGTGATGTATTCAATAAACCATCAATATGGAGCCTTGTAGCTACTTGTTTCTCAGGGTGTGAGCAACCCAAAATTGTGGGTTTCTTCTTTTCCAGTAGGTGTACACTGCTAAAATGTGTAAGGATGCTAGTTCACTCCAACAGTCAGTCCAATTTAAAAACTACAATTGCATCCTATGTTACCCGTCAATCTAAAGGCCTTAAATATAACATTAGAAACATATTTTATCAGATTTCTTACCTCAAGTCCTGCATACCTAAACACCCATATGGTTTTCAATTAATGCAAAAAGAATGATTTGTATTCAAACCTGCTTCCAGGCAGCTAATATCCTCTCCAACACTGGTTTTCATCTACAAGTTGTTGTGAACCAGCTTGGCACCTCCCTCTTTACCAGCTCCTTGCAAAGATAGATGATGACTAAAGTACTACTTTCATTAGCTACCAAATCTGTAACCAGCTACACATATGTCCCTGTACAGCTTCCATGCCAGCAACAGCCAGGATCTACTTGTCTTTAAAATGGACAGGAGACAAACTGGAATGATTCTGGATGCTTCCTTCATTTGGTGACTTGCAGGTTGGATTAAGCCCATGAGATAACTTTAACTTGGCCTTCAGCATGCACAAAATCTTCCATCTGTAATCTGCAAGGCAAGGTGGGGAAGACGAGGGCCTAGCAGAAGAAATGCAGGCAGGCTGAAGTGTCAGCAATCCAATCAGTGAGAGACCTGGGAAAACATAAGGGCTCCAAACCTGTCCAGCACAGGTACAGTTCTCAGCCAAGCAAAGAGCCTCCATGGGCCAGGCCCTAAAAACAACATCCTTGGGTTGGGAAAGCTGGGCTGGACCACAGCAGAGGAAGTCAGCTGCCTGCTAAGAATTAATCCATCTTCACAGCAAATATTTTTCAATACAGGCAGTTACTGAAGTTACTGAAAGCCTTTCCTTTTGCTTATGGTGAACTCTACACCAAAACATGAGATGAAACTATCCTTCTAGAATAAATCGACATGTGAATGAGACAGACTCAGCTGAAATCACCTCCCTCACTACACAATGGCTTAGAAATGTTACCTTTATGTAAATAAGCACATGTTCAAACCAAAAGCCTAGCAGCTTCCCTATTATTTTCATGCCTATTTCCCAAATAAGAAAACTATGAAAGAAGAGCAGGAAAAATCGCAATAAATAATGCAAAAGAAAGACACATACCATGGATGTATTTCACTACATTGACACTAAGGCCATGACGAGATATGGTCATTAGTACTTCTCCTGCACTCTTCCTCCAAGGCAGGTTATAGGGAGGGCACCATGAGGTTATTGCACTGAATAGAAGCTGGAGATCATCCTTCTGAGCCAGTTCTTCTGCCGGGGACACAAAACTGCACAATTTTACTAGGATCTGAAACAGGAAGTTATTAAACAACTAGCATTAATACCTTTATCACTGAAAATTTTGCCTAGACTTAGTAAAAGGTGAAACATTCTTCCACTAAAGAAACACATTAAAGAAGGTAATGTGCTGGTTTCCCTTTGTGTGTTTCCGTACTTTGAACATAAGACAAGGTTATTTTACACATGGTTATTTCAAGTCCCAGTTCAGTTTAAATTGCTTATCAGAAGACTGGAAGCAGAATTTAAATCTCTTAGGCTGACACAGCATATTTGCAAGGATACCAGAATATTCCATTCTTGAAGATTCTGCCAGTTGCCTAATTTGCAGGTTTAAATTCTGCACTGGGAGAGAAGCTCTGTGAGGCAAACTGCTGTATTCCTTCCCAATGCAGGAAGAAGGTTATTGATGGGTTGTTGGCAGAGCAGCAACCATAACATCTTGGTCAAATTAAGTTTGTCAGGAAAGGCTACAGCAGACCTACCTGAATAATTGGCACCTGGTCTGAATTTCCTAATTACCAAAACCAAGACAAAATGCAGCCATACAAGTGAAGCTACTACGTCATGCTCACTTTTCTGCATGTTTTGAGATGTCTGATTTTTTGCATCTTGTGGAGGGAAAACTCAGGCTCCATCTCAGAAAACTGGAGAGAGGCTGTCTGCAGCTCTCTCAGGGGAGGGAGGGGGAGGTCTGAAACCTCACTCATTCCAGTCAGTTCATTTGAGAGCATCACTTTATTATCAATACTAATGTTTTTTTACTACATCTATTTCAATCAGTAACAGCCAAAGATAATAAGTATTAGGACCAGCTAAATGAAATCAGAATAGTAGTCCACATGTTGCTCCTTTTCAATATCTATGCAGAAGAGCTGCACAGATTTCTGTGCAGGAGGTATTTCTCAAAGACAAAAACAAGAGGAGTGGGAATTCAACCTTAACTGAGCTTGTAGGAAAATCCACCTCCCTCTTAGCTATCAGTTTTTTAAGAATCAAGGAGAGTAAAACCTGGCTCAAGTGAAAAGTTTCTAGACTTTGCTCACATGAAGTATTTACATTCCTCTTGCGAATTCCCTGACCTATTTTACCTTTCTTACCTGTACAAAGACTTTCTGTAGTAGCGCTCGGCGCTCTGCGAGAGGTAGTTCATTCTGTGCTCCTCCAACTACCTCAGGCACGTGTGGAAGGTCAAAAAACAGATATAGACATTTAACAAGTGTGGAAGGCACTGACATTGTAGTCATGCAGTCCACAGTTTTCTGAGGAAGAAAAAAACACAGCAAAAAAATACCAATTCAGCATATTATGTATTCCAAACATCAATAATAAGGCAGTTGATTGAAATGCCGGTTTTTCTTTCTCACGCCTTTGGTGAGGTGTTGACACAGCAGTACAGATTCACCATCTATTCCTGAGTGCCTATCCAAACAGTCATTTTAAAAATAGGATGATTTAGTTACAGCACCTCACAGCCACAGTTCAGAGCAGTCAATGCACAGGACAGAAACAAAACCTGTCAGTCTCAGCCAACAGAAGTTAATTACAAGACCTTCAGCCAAGCCTTTATCAGCTATCAATTCTTTGTAGTAGGAGAAATGGGAGTGGGAGGAGGACATTTCAATTTATGCTCTCACTTGGCAAGAAGGTGTAACGAGCTTTAAGAAGCAAGGTAGAAGAAAATATGAAAGCATCAGTGGGAAGAAAAGACAAATTGATGTGGAGGCTGGTGACATACTAAAACAGAGATGATATGCTGAATTACAAAGGCAGATTAGAGCAGAAATAACAAACCACACAGCTGCCCAGTATACTGCCACAGACAGCTCTCTGATGGAGAGCAGCAGTAAAAGCAGAGGCAGGAATGATTCACTACCACCCCCATTCATCATTGCTGCTGGCCTTGCTTTTTGCAACTGCTGTGGCCTTCCTCCAATGAGGTGCGCAAAGTTCAAGGTCTGAACTATTTAGGTGCTCTATGTGTCATGCATCTCATGGGGCACTAAGCAGCAGTGCAAGAGAAGCCTTTGGGCAGCAATAAAAGTTGCATGCATTATTCAGAAGAACATTATAAATTAAAGTCTCAAAATGACTCTTTTTTCAGGCAACTGAAACCACAAGGAGCTAAAGCATAAGTCCTGTGGCAATATAAGAGAAAGAGGATCTTATCACAGAAAAGCAGAATATAGTTACATCTTTTGGAGAGTGTTCATGCAGTTCATTTTATTATTGCTTTTGTCTCTTCCATTCCATAATTTATTTTTAGCTTTGCTGTTTCAGACTAACCTGTCCTGATGAAGCTAGTAAATTGATTGTGGTGAGCAGCATCCAACCTCTACTTGCTTCTTCACTTTGATTGACCTCCAGAAACTGGACTATGGCACGACTTGCAGCCTCTGTAGGAGGCAGTAAAAATTTAAAAAAACACAGTAAGAATTCAGTTAGTCTGCAGAAGGGAACACATCCTCTCAGCAGCCCCAAGCACTGAGCATAAATTCACCTTTACAGCACTACTTAAAAAAGGACTAGGCTTAGGCCTATGCCTTCCAGACACATTCCAGTCTTACACACACACTTGGCTTTGACACTGGCAAGGTGGCAAAAAGTACATTCTTTGGTCACATATCATCCTTTGACCAGCAGACAGACTTCAGTAACCTGCAGTGACATCTGTTTGAGTAGTTTTGCTTTATCAATATACAATACACTTTTCCCAAAGACATGAAGTCACCATCAGTTAGTGACCTCTGTGGAAATAGCTGAAATTTCTGAAAAAAAACCACTGCACTGAAACAACAGTATGGAAGATAATGGGGATTTTAGGGAAGGAGAAGTGCTGAAAGACAAAAGGGAAAAAAAATAGGAAAAAAAGTAACATTAAGAGTATGATCAGCAATTACCACATCCCCATCCTACATTTTTTGAGAATGAAAACAGTAACAGCTTACGGATAATTCTTATGATTGAGAATCACTTCTGGATACTACTTTGTATCAGTCAGAGCCAAAGACAAACACTCAGCCTAGTAAACAAGTTATCAGCCTCAATAAATGAATCAAGAGAAAATGCAACCCTATACCACTGCTGCATGAATACACACTTATATAAGAAGTCTATAACGCCAGTTGTGATGTCTACCATTACCTTCAAGAGACATCTAAAAACATGTTTCATTAATAACTGTGTATCAATCATGTCCTGTGCTTTTAGTGTCAACTGGGACAGAAAAGGAAGGTGAATAATATCACATAAAAAAGAAATGACGAAGGAATTACTAATGGAGGAATAAACCTGCAACTGAAGAAAAATCCTATTTAAATATTGGGTTGTTTGCTTCAGCTGCTATTAAGATTCCCCAGCATATTCTTGGGAAGTTTATTTGAAAGGCAGCACATTTCATATGGCAAAATACTTATCAAACTTGTGTATCAATTACAGTGAGAAGATCACTTTCTGAAGCATCATACTGTAAGCTGTGCAGATTTGGTTCATTTGTTCAATGGCTCCTCTCTCATGTTTTTGTCTGTCAGACTTTTTCCCATAACAGACTTTTGTACAAACCACTGGCTTTTCCAGTTCTGGTGCTAAAGTAAGGAGAGGTCCCTACGACTTCCCTCCATGAGACTGAGATAAAGTTTGAGATACCAAGGTGAAAATAAGACAATTTATAAAACTCACACAAACAAGGACAAGTAGGAATTTCCCAGCATGCTGACCTGAAACTATCAGTGCAAAGCACTGGTCAGGTGGTTGGGTATATGAACAGGCCAACTTAGAAAGCACAACAGCTATGACACAGTTGCATTTCCTACACTAAAGGCACAGGCAAAATGCCAGAATTCCTGACAAAAGCCGTTTTTCCTCAGTTCTGAGAGCCAAGCATGTCTAAAGCATGCACTGCTGCTACAAGGACAGTGCCCCACCAGCACAGCATAAGGTTTGATTTTTTAGGTCTATTGTCTTTTTATCCCACCACAGACAGAACTGGGCAATCAGTCTCTGCCTCCAAGAGACTGTCTGTGCACACCAAACAGGGTGTGCACAGCCTCCTTTGGGCACAGTCTCCAAAGCCACCTAGGGAAAAAGGGCTCATTCAGTCATCTTAGAAAGCAAGACTTAGGGGTTAAGGCCATGCTTCTGAAAAAGCTGTCATGCTGCAGGCATCCTGGCATAGCAGTTGGACACTATAAATAGCAGTTTCAAAACTGTCACTCTTAATTAAACACTACCTAAAACACAGACAACATTTTAAGTGCTGGAACACTTGTCATCTGCTCTGAGCAAATTTGATAGCACTATCATTTAAGATGAACTTATATCATCAGCACTAGTCTTAATTTATTCCTTGTACCTTTCCCCTGTTTTTGAAGTGCCCAAGTCATCATTTAATAGAACATCTTCTGTGTGCCCCACCCAGATGTCCTTAGCACTTCAACTTCTGCTGAAGAAGAAAGCCAATTCAGTAAAACTAAAACTACTAAAACTAAGTAGTAAAACCAGCAAAAAGGCAACGAGAAAAACCTGTAAAATAATATGTAAATATACCTATTGTGACAATGGTGCAAGCATGTACATGTGAGTATGACCATGATTATGTGGTTACATGGTTAATACACAGGAGTCAGATTTTCCAGCATGGATTCAGTATATATGGAATAGAGGCTTGGTAGAATCAAACAACAAAATTTGTTTCATGTGTAAGAGGTGCACTGCATCCTGGACTTCAGAAAACCAAAAAGACAGCAAGCAGTGGGATTAAAGTAATTCAGACGCGTAGCAAAAATCAGTGCTACAAGCACTGCAAGCAATGTTGTTGCCTATAGCAATAGTACTAAGGGCAAATTTAGTACAAGAAGCTTTTAGTTAGATGATCTAGAACCATAAACATAAACCTAAACCATATAACAGCATAATCAGATTCTGTACAGCTTATTCTGGAGGGGAATATTAGTGAAAAAGAGTATCTGTGCATGTGCCAAGGGTGGGAGGTGCAGTCAAAGGTATGGATGGGTGTGTCAGGGAGTGGTGAAGGTGAAGATGAAGGTGAAGTCAGGGATCCCTTCTCTAACGGAGCCTTCTAGAAGTCTCTGTTTCTTCTTTTGGGAAATGCCTGAAGACACAGTTAGGTACCTAAAGTTACAGAATACAAATAATTCCAACTACCTAGATAGTAAGAGAGAAGTAGCAACCCAAATAAAAATGTGATGGCACAAAGTCTGCCATCCATCATCAGGAGCAGAGTTGGGCTGTCATCACACGTGGCAGATATGAAGTGGCTGATGCCTTTGCAGAAATGGAGGGCTGCTCATCCAAAGATAAAACAACTCAACTGTGCCAGCTTTTAGCCTCACTAATGCAGATGATAAAAGAACACGCTTTCTAGGATCTCTTGGAAAGACTCTATATTGTACCATACTTGCCTTGCAAAAGATGTGGTAGAAAGTACCACAAGCAAACAGAAAGTTGACCAAAAGTAATAAGATATAGGAGCTGTTGATCAGAACTGGCATTTAATGAATAGTAGCTGACAGGACACTTCTTTTTCCCTACCAGAGCAATTTCTATAAACACAAACCAGAATCACCTTGTAAAGAAAAGTCCCCCACAGAACAGGAAAAACATTTATATGCAATGAAAAAAACCAAAATGTGCAGTCCCAGCACAGCATGTGAAGTCATTTCCAACAGTCTATTCTCAGCAGAAGAAAAATTAGCATACCTAAAAAAGGCTGAAAGCAGCCCCTAAGTGCATTTATTTTATTGATAAAGATTCTCCCTATCAGGAAAACTTCAGACTTCATTAGGGGAGGAGCCTGAAATGCACCTTAGTAGCACAAGAAGATCCCTTCAATTATTATCTGTAATTCACCCAAATGCAAGATGCACTTAAATTATACTAACTTCTGTGGATTGAGGATAAACATAAAATTAGTTCTACTGATGTGAGAGAGATTAACTGCAAAAAAAAAACCAAAACCAAAAAAACCCACCAGAGTTTGCAGATTAATGTATCTTTAAGAAGAATAAGGGTAGGCATTCTCAGAGGCCAAATACCAACCACTGATGTGGTTTTCTGCAATGATGATGAATGTTTATCAACTTGATCTCCCAAAATGGTTTGATGATGAAATAATGACAGTCTTTCAGCAGATCTGCTAGAAAAATGCCGGAGGACGTTAAAAGTATTTTCAGTGATGAAACAGTTGGAGTCAATCTGTGAAATTAACAGGAAAAGAAAGAACACCTCCCCCAGAAACAAACTAAAAAAAACAAAACAAACAAAACAAAACAAAAAAAACCCCAAAACCAAAAAAAAACCCCAAAACCAAACAAACAAAGAAAAAAACTCCCTAAAAACTAAAAAGAAGGGTGAAAAAAAAATCCAAACTGAAAAAAAACCAACCCACCCCTCCTTCCCCCCCAAAATTAACCCTTTACAAAAGACAAAAACCACGACAATGGTCAGAGGGTATAAACAACAACTGAAAGTGCTGGAGGTAGGAAGGATTAGCTGAACAGCCTAGCAGAACTGTAAAAATAAATTTAGCATTCAACAGTAAACAAACACAAACAGGACATGTTGTAAATATGAAATGAAAAACTGACTGAAATTATTAGAGACACAACTTAACTGAACTTAGAAGGTGCACAAAGCAGTGATGTACAATAGCTAGCCAAATAAAATCACCAAAAAACCAAACAAACTTTTGAAACTGTCTTTGAAAGGAGGCTAAAAAGTTCCAGACCTGTGATGTACCACTTTGCTTTCTCATTGTTCAGTTTTCTACCCTTCTTCAGTTTCACCCGTCCTCATAATGACTTATTCAAATTCTGTCTACAGTATGGCTTTCCAGGTAGCAGGGAATCATCGCTTAGGGAATCATTCTGAATCTCCCTGGGATAAATGTTAATGCATTAAATAATGGACCCTGACTGGATTCATTTCGTGTGCTCGAGATGCAGACAATCGAGAGGACTGAGTTAGAAATCCCTTTTTGTAAAAATGGAGTAATCACTACCACAAATAATAACCAATAACCACCAAATCATAGGTTTGCACATCCTCAACTGATGAAATATGCAAAACTGTTTAGAGTGAAAGAGAGATGTTGGTTAGAGCCTGGTGCCAATAACACCAGGTTATGGGTACAGGTTGTGGGTACAGTTCACATAGGGACCACAGACCTAAGAGTTGGACTCGATGATCCTTGTGGCTCCCTTCCAACACAGAATATTCTCCAACTCCTTCCCTAGCAACTTTAGTTTAAAGACATGCTATTGGAATATCTGCAAACTCACAGAACCACCAACTTCACCAAGAGTGTCTTCAGAAATACACAATAAATCAGAGTGTGCTTCCTCTCCAACCAAACTAGCCATTAGTAGCTAGAACATTGGTTCTAGCAAGTTTCAGCTGCGCCTGTCCCTTTTCTCAGAAGTCTTTTTCAGCTCTGAGCCAGATGCACTTGCTCCCAAAAGAAAAGTTCATCTCAGAACTGAGACTATACTAGAAAGAGATGTTTGAACATATATTTTATATAGTACTACCACAACTTTTTCATCAATTCAGACACAAAGTTTGACTTATTTGTGACAAATAATGCTAATAATGCTAAAAATCTCAAGTATACAGAGCTATCTCACCCATGACCCCCACCATCTTCTAAACAAATAGACAGTCCATGGCAAGGGAAACTATTCACTAATACTCAGTTACTGCTGTCATCAGAAAATCATCCCTGTTGTACAGCAAAGACTGAAACCTGCAAGATAATTTAATTCAGATGTAACTGCTTAATTTTTCTTACTATCCCTACCAGAGAAATAAGGCAGTTGAAATGTAGCTGAACACACAACTACAATGCCAATGTTCAGAGACCACTTAAGGCAGGGTGCTGGCACAGTTACTACTGAATCACAAAACACTGTTCTGAGAAAACTACTATAGTCTGCCAAGAATAACTGAGATATGCCTCCACCATTGCAGGCATTACTCACATAGCTATTAGCATAAATATTCAAAGGCCTGATGAAAATAATTGCCCTGTGTTCCATTATCAGATGGAGTAGGAAAAAAAAAAAAGCAAAGAAAAAAAACAAAAACCCCACAAACAAACAAACAAACAAACACACACACACAATACCAAAAAACCCCCAAAACCCCAAACAACCACAACATACTGACAAGCAAGATTTAACCATACCACATTCCCCACTGTAAAATCCTGCCAACACATTTATAGAGGTCAAGTTCTTGCAAAATTTCTTACCCGGCATTAACTATCAAAAGTTGACTTTTGATTGTATGGAAAGGTTGTCTCTAACACAGGCTCAGCTATTTTGTTGACTTACATGAAGCACTTCACACCATGAGAATTTGCACTTGTATGTTACCAGAGACATTTCCTGCATGTTGTTGTTATTGAAGTTTTTTACTTTTAAAAACATGCTAGGAGATATAATTACCTGTCAGCAACTATTAAGACCTGTTATATCGCTTTGTTTGAGACATAAAAAGAATGGAAGTTCTAAAAAAAATTATGCAAGAGTCTTCACAATCCACAGACACAGTATGAGGTCTTTAACATAAAACATTCTAAAAAGCCAATAATTTCTATTTTTTTTTTAATCAGCATCACAGGAAGTGTGTATCTAGCTCTAATCATTTTAACACAGAAGTCTACAAACTGAGTTTTAACAGTGTGTTAATTGGTAATTTCTGGAGAGGAAACTGCAACCCACTAGTCCCACTGAGAGAGTCACAATGCAACTGCACAACATGTACCCATCAGACTTTCTTGAGGTCTAAAAAAGGTTTGCTGATCAGAGTAACAGCAATCCTGATAACAGAGGAAAAATGACTGCTTCCTATTTTAACAGAAACATTGGTATTCATTACATTAAAGCTTAGAAGAGCACCAAACTGTCTTTTTAGTCATTGTGATCAAGTTTCCAATTGGGGTTATTATCTTGGAGCAATAAGCAGAGCTATAGCTGAAGTAACATACAAAAATGGTTATTCCCTGCAGAATCCAACTGACTAGCAGGCATAACAGATGTTCCCTGGGAAAAAAGGTCAAGCAAACACCTCTGTTCTGCTAGCACGGCTGTTGGACACTTATTTCCCCCTAATACTCAAAGAAAAGACATTTTGTGCCTGTTTACCCATAGAGAACAGGTTTTGTCTATGATATCTGTTTAGCCATCTGGAATGTTTCACTGCTTCACTGTTAGTCACTCTACTTTAAATGGAAATATATTGTAATTGGCACAGTGTGTGACTCCTGACTTCCTGCACAATAATTTTCAGAGCCTTTTCCAGTCCTCATTTACCACCAAATCCAAACTGAGAACACGGCACAGATCTTAAAATTATCTGGTAGGCAAAGACTTGATACTTCTTGGAAGCATTCCTCTTCAGAAAAGGAAGTCTAAGAGGAAAGCTAAAGAAACCGCCCTTTTGGTGCACTGTCCTCAGTTATGCAACTGCCAATACTACATCATCTGATACATTCAGGGGTCAACAGAACCAAATCTCACCCTGACTGATTTAATAATCAGAGAAGAAGAGGAGTCCACTGACATTTTTCTAGGACTGGCATTGTTGGTCTGAATGTGGGACTTGCTGTACTTTTACATGTTATTAAGCTTCCTGGCCAGCAGCTAATTTAAAATGCATAGTTTTGGAATGTTAACATATCCAAGTGACACAACACACCACCAACAGGCACCTCAGGCAAGATACAGCAGCTGTTCACATGCATGTTCTTGGCCTCCTCCTCCTAGTAGGTCATGCAACTCAGTTCACACTTCTCTCTCTCATCTGCTGAAATCTTGTGGAACTCAGCTTTCTCTGTAACCCAGGGAGGAAACCTCTAACCTCTTCCTCCTCCTCTCTCTCTCAGTCCAAAGGAACAAAAGACAACACATTTTCATTGCTAAAAATTCAGTTTCTGAGCCTGCACAGTTGCTGTGAATGGCAGTTCTCAGTATTCTGACTGACCTGAAAATCATGACGCACAGATGTGGAAAAGGTCACCCTTGTGCCCCATGCAATACCTGTGGACTTATTTGATGCTCTCCGTCGAATTTCAGTCACCATCAATCGTGACACTTGAGTAGTAAACTGCAGGAGGTCAGAAAATTTCTCTGTCATTGTACTTGGAGGAGCATTTCCAAACACCTAAACCAAGAGAAAAATGTATGCGTTAAAATAACTCCGTTTACAAGGATCACTGCAAACTACCACGTTCCTTTGTGAAGAAGCATTCCTATGGAGATTACAAATTTATCTTTACACAGTGCATGCTCTAAGATATGTTCATGGTTGGAATTCAGACCTCGTTCAGGGAGGTAAAATCTGATAAATGGAGGGGAAAACAGAGTTGTAAGTTTTCTTGCAAGATGAAAACCCTGCAGAGCCCCAAAAGACTGAGATTGCACTTAATGGGGTAAAGAACAGGTACCAGACCAAATTCTCCAACAGGCCTTCCGTTTTTAAAATCAACTCCTTTACTATTTACTAAATATAATTACATGTGTAAAGTCTTTTAAAAGGACTAAGAATTAGAACTGCCCTGTTATGTCCTTCCTCAATAAACTGACAATACCAGGAAGTCTCCAATTTTGCTGATATCCCAAGGACTTACTCTCCTCTTCTGAGATCCTCCTGAACACAACAGCAGGCTTTTTTTTTTTTACAAATTGTCACATAATTCTAGTAACTTATTCTTCATGATTAAGCATTGATTTTGTTATTAAATAATGTATTAGATCACATATAACAGGGAAAAATGTGTTAACTCTGTGGTATTACACTAAGCTGTGGAACACAATCTCAAAACGGATTAGCTAGTTGCTGCAGTAATTTACTCTTCATACAAGACTGCACAAAAATGTGCAGTCTTTATCCACATTTCCAATGTAAAACTTGCACTAAAATGATTACAATAAACCCATGATATTCATTATCAAACACAGCATGCAATCCCAATTATGGTATCATCACTTGTGTAAGTGCTGAAGAAACAGAATAGCCTGCTTGGCACCTGAACTGTCTCTGCTTGTTTAAATTTTTCTCCCTTATAGGTATCTACATAACCTTCAGTAGTGTCCCTAATGAGCATAAACGATGACAGTATTTTTCTAGCAAAACCTATGTTCAACAGGTTATGCTGGCCTCCCAGAAGGAGGATGTGTTCTACAACAGTACAGTTGATTTGGACTCAACAGCTGCTTCACCTCTGTCTCCTTTCTCTGGGTGACCCAGTTATCCTATTACAGCTGAACTGCTGACATACTTGGCTGAGATCATTCTCCAGTGAAATCCATGTGAACATCCAGTGAAATCCATGACTACAGTCAACAGGGATGCAAGGTAATTGTGGTGCCAGCTAACCTTGGAACCCCTAAGTCACTGAAGAAGACTTAAAAGGCAGAAGGAAAGAGTAACTTCTCTCAAAGTTTGACTTCTTACCTCCCTTAGTATCAGTTGCTCTGGCACATCACAAAACAGCCAAAAATATTTCTCCTGTCTACTTGCACTACAAAGTCATGATGAAATGTAGCCAGAAATACAACACTGAAATGGAATACTCAGTTTCCTCAAAATAAAAGTAATTTTCACCAAAGGCATAAGTATTTCTCATACTGGAAAGATCAACCACCATTATTATTAAAGCAAGCTACATTACAGCAGACAACTGTTTTCTGCAGACCAAGAAAAACACCCCTCATTTGAATTACAGACTGCACAACATGCCTAGTACAGACAATCAAAGTTTCCCTAAATATTTCACAAGACCTCCTTTTGCAGTTGTCTGCATCAGCTCCCAATTCATCCAAGAGCCCCTAACTTCCACAAAGCTGTAAGGAGGGAAGAGGGCCTTGAGGTTTGCATGTTCACATAACATAAGCAAGATTATCTAGATCAGAATGCACATTAGCATCTTGCTGTCACGAATTGTTTAGTGTTCTTTCACCCAGACCAAGGAAAGAGGAAAAACTATTGGCCCTGTTACCTGTCCTGAACTTGCTCAGATTTGTCAGCAGTTACCAGGAAACACAGAGAATTCGAAGTTCAGATAAAAGATTATCTGAGGTCAAGTGGATTTTAATTAGTTGCCCCATAACCAAGTTTGCACTATGTAGAATAAGCATCTCCATTGGATATTTATACACCCTTAAGACTAAAAGTGATAGTAAAAAACAGGAAGAGGATGTTACCCATTTTAGTAGTAAATAATATTTTTAATGCGGAAAAGCAAGGTTCTTTCAAGATAATGTAACAACGTACCACTTATTCAAAACCAGCCTCTTCATCATTCCATCTACTTTTCTCACATACTGCACAAGCACTACCACGTTGGTAGAGCAGTGCTTCCACAAACTCACTCAGCTCTGAAAGGAGCCTTTTGAGTACTCTTCCACGGGGTCAATCTTTTGTTAATCATGCACCAATTTAGCTTTTCATTACTATGTGATTCATCATTTCATAAGCCTCCCTGAACAATGAAGAAAAACAAATGGTCTGTAAACCCACTTCTTACTAGAACTAGCAAGATCATTTTATCCACAGCAGGTTTGTGACATGCTCTATCTATAAACCAAACTTAAGAATGCTTTAGCTCTACTGAATTTACTGATTAATAATCCTCAAAATAAAAAAATAAAAAGGAAACAAAACTGCGTTTCCCACAAAACTTAAGTTACCTCTCATGAAAGGAAAAAATTCAACCCCGTGGCTAAGCAAGAAAGCCTCAAGAGCTCCTGGATACCCTGGTTATTTAACTGGCTGCCAGCTACTGGCCACTTGGATGCCTCTGGGAAGCAGAGTTACCTTCTTCACTCTAGATCTCTGCATGCAGCAAAATCAATGCTTCTCCCAGGACTCCCTACTGCATTTTGTGGGCACACACACACACAGATTCCAGCCACACACATGCAGCTCCCACTTCCAACAACTCACCACTCTGGTATAGGAGACATTCTGGGCTACATGTAAAGGGATGGCACAGAAGCCAATTGTGTTCTGAGCTTCACAATTTGTTTGAGTTTCTCCTCCTAACACAAACATCCCACTACATGTAAAGGGATGGCACAGAAGTTTTGTTCTGAGCTTCACAATTTGTTTGAGTTTCTCCTCCTAACACAAACATCCCAATCTTGTAACAGAAAATGCTTTTATAATATACCATCATAATCTTTGTTTAAGGCAGTAACAGAAAAAGTACTCTATCACACTTCAAAATCTTCAACAGAATAACGATAAGCATGGAAAGTAACTGATGGATGGATTTAGAGTCTGAATTTGCACAAAGTTATCACTTAAAACTTCTGCACTGAAGGATTATGTTTGAGAAACAAGAAAAATTTTAGAAAGGAACTTCCAATAATGTTTTAGTGTTTTCTGACAGCAAAAGTGTCCCTTCTCAGAGACAAGCTGTGTCAGAATTTTAGAGTGAACCAAGATTTACCATATCTGCCATTGAAAATCTCTTCCAAGACTCTTAAGAAAATGAGATTTTTTTCTTGCAGTATTTTTAATTCCAATCAGCGCTTGTCTCGCTGTGACCTGCAGCGTTACTAAACTAGCAGGATTGTGCCAAAACAAGCTGTATCAAGAGTTGACACTCCAGAAGACATAAAACTAGATAAGCTGAGGAAGCCATAGCAGACTCTGTATATGAACATTAAAAGAAGAAGGTGGCATTAAGGAATCTAAAGAGGTAAACTGCAAAAGTAGAAATAGATGGCATCACAACTGCTCAGCCTCTTGAATAGAGGAAAACAAGAATGCCTTTATATGAAATGCAATGGAAAAAATCCCCCTATAGCAGAGACAGGATGAGACCTGACTGATCAGGAAAGATGAGTTTCGTTTGGGTTACACTATCCCAGTTAATCAATAACTGATAATAGTTATCAAGGTCTGCAAGAAAGGAAGTCAAAGAGCAGAAACAATACCTGCTTTCCTCAATATGCCAAGCTATGATCCAGATTTTAGAGACTGAAAATTGAAGTGACAACATCTGGCAAGAGCCTGTATTTGTGGCATGAAGGATAGCTCCAAGAAGCTCACAAGCTCCAAGCAGGTAGAGCTTGAGGACAGTGATGTTAAAACTAAACAAGGAAACTGGCGGGGGGGGGGGGCGGAATGAGGAAAGAGGAAGAAAACAGCCAGAAGTAGGACTGAAAAACAAAACATCTGGCAAACAAATAAGAATGTGCCTTTAGCACCAAGTTCACTTCAGTAAAGAAGGGTACAAAAGAGTCTCTAAGACTCAGAGAAAAGAGACCATAAACAAAACTAGATGGATTCTGCAAAGAATCGAAAAGAGACATGGGGAAGGAAAAGTTACTCCAAAAAAGGGGAAAACTGAGGAAAAGAGTAGACAAGATGCATTCATACAAATAAAAATCACAGAAACCATCAATCTGTTCAAGAATATAAATGGTACCTGAGATTATTTAGACGAGAGGTGATTTTCAAGAACTAAAAAGAAAACTTGGGACCACTGATTTGGTTTTCAGAATGCTTCAGCACGAGTTGAATGAAGGACAGTTAGAACATATGGTGCAAAGACATGAAGTAACTTCAACTGGGCTTCAGCAGAGTGCAGAGGAGGAGCTGAGAATTAGGACAAAGTCAGCAAGTGGTGTAAAGGGACGGGGGTGGGGGGGGGGATGTGTATTAAGAAAAAAAAACAAAAAAGAGAAAATGCAGAAACAATGGAGAAATTAAAACTCAGATTTTTTTTTTCACCTCAGAAGTCTAATCAAAGTCTTTCCTTAAGACTGCTATACATGCATTGCTACACTAGTTTTACTTAAACCCAATAATATCACCACTACAATTTTTATAGATATAACGCTTCTGCCAGTAGTTACCACAAAGGCTAAGAAAAAATTCTTCTCCACCTGCACATCAGAGTTAAGTGCTGAAGAAGCTCAAGTGGGGGCATTCTATTTTCCAGAAGCATCAGCCTCCTGCAACCACCAGAGGGAGATTTCTAAGTGTAACTGCATCAAAATAACCTTCATGGGCTCAAGGCAAGATTAGGATTCTACTGTGTTAATTTGTAAAAACAAATCAAGAAAGTCCATAACTAAAAGGCATATAATCTAAGAATAATAATATCATAAGAAGATAAATTAAAGAGGAGGCATATGAACTGAGCTTACTTCTCCCAAACTCACAGAACAGGTTACCCGTAGAAATAAGACCTAGGGCAACAAAATGGCATTCAAGTGATCCATACACTAAAGCATGCTACCTACTAGACTGAAAATCCTAGTAATACCATGTCTTGACTAGGATTAATTTTTCTACACAGCATTGCTATGGTTTAACCTCAACTTGCACCACACCAGCCCACTGCTCTCTGGTGGAATAGCGCAGAGAAACAGCAAGGTAAAAGGTAGAAAACTCATGAGTTGAGAAAAAGACAGTTTAACAGGGAAAGCAAAAGCCAAGCAAACAAGCAAAGCAAAACAAGGAATTCAGTCTGCTTTCCATGGGCAAGCATGCCCAGCCTTCTCCCGGACAGCAGGGCCCCATCATGGCTAACAGTGACTTAGGAAAACAAATCACTTTGAACATCCCCTCCACCTCCCTCTCCTTCTTGCCCCTGTTTTATAAGCTGAGCCTGCCATCATATATGGGGGATATCCACTGGGTCAGCTGGGGTCACTGAGTCTCCTCCCAGCTCCATCTGCACTCCCAGCTTCTTCACTGGTGGAGAGGGGTGAAGAGCAGAAAGGCCTTCCTTCTGAGTAAGCACTGTTCCACAATAACTAAATCATCCTCGTATTGTCAGCATTATTTCCAGCACAAACCCAAAACACAGCCCACACTAGCTACTATAAAGAAAATTAACTCTATCCCAGCAAAACCAGCACAAGCATGCAAGCAGCTCAGTGTCTAGCACCTTCATAAGCCATACTTTCAACAAAACATCCTTCTAGTTTTATAATTATTCCAGTTCTCTGAGGCAGCATATACAAGCACAAATCTATCACCCAAGAAGTAAAGAGTAAGAGCACACAGTAGGAAAAAAACCAGAAAGCTAGATGTGTACCTACTGGTCCTTCATGACCCTAGAACTACCATCAAAATTATTATTTACAATAACCTGCAGGGTAGCTGACTGATATAAAGACATCAGGAGGACTTAACTCCTATTAATTCCAGTGACAGTTGCCATAGTTCTGCCTCAAAACAAAATCTCAGTGCCTAAATACAAGGGAATAGTGCAATATGAATGCCACAGTAGAAGTGGCTATTATACATTCCCTACAGATTGCTTGTTCAAAATCTCCCGTGTCCATGAAGGAAGATTCAGACCCAATACACAGAAAAAGGCCTACAAGGGTGATAAGAACATAGAGAATGTATCACATGAGAAATTAAAATTGTTCACGTAGCCTAGGAAAACCAAGTTGACAGGACATATTGTGACTGTTATCTTTAAGTATGCATCAGTACAATAAATGCAAAGAAGGGAGAAGAGCTATTTAGACTCAAGAACAGTGCTGTCACACAAAAATGGTGGGTATAAACTTGCTTGCAAAGTTTAGGTTGGAAATCAGATGACTATAACAGCAGTGAGCACTGCAGAAAAGCTGTCAGTCTACATGCATCTGTGGATTACACTTGAGAAAAAGTGATAAGAAAAGGAAATCTCCAAAGGTAAGTTTATCCCCTAACACAAAACTGTGTGAGGATAAGGGGAAAATTGAAAGGATGTCATTGGGAGAAAACCTGCTGGGCTAGAACCAAAAGGTCTTGGGAATCGAAAATATGAGCAAACAATTCCAATAAAGAAAACACTTCTTGCAAATTGCCCGGCTTACCCTGTTGAACACAGGTAACATCATGTAAAGTTTTTCTTCCTGCTCTTTCTGGGTCATGTGCCGTGGAGGATGACAGAGCTCTGTGAAGAGGCGCCGCAGATGCATCAGGCCCAGCGCGTTGTCCTGGGGGCTGCACTCCTCCTGCCGGGGCCGGCCCATGATCCTCTTCACCATATTCATCTTGGCTGACTTTGGGAAGCTCCCTTGTATCCTGCTCAGAAAGGAAAAGGAACATGCTGAGTACAAGAGACTAAGGCATTACTTCACCAAAGCCTTCAAATACATAGCACCCTCTCTCACAGTAAGTATCACACTGGAGTTAAGAGCATTAGCTAATTTTACATGCCAGGCATTGATTAGGAGAATTTAAAGCCAACAACTTGAAAGAGCAAAACATCTGATATTGTCCAGCAGAAAGCATGGCTGGCCAGGCTTTGAACACTGCAAAATACTTTGGTACTTTTTATTGGATGAGTTTTATGATCCTTTGGTGCACATCCCACGGCATTTACAACAGTGTTATCTCCATCATGCAAAATATTCTCAAATTCATTCTAGAATAAAAACCGTACTTTAAAATCAAGACCTTCCAACTCTCAGACATCGGCTTTATCATACAGAGACAAGCGTAAAATTTTTTTTCCTGTGGAAGAGAGACAAAGCTGTCCAGTGGAGCTATTGTTCATCTCACCCCTCAGCTACTGGCTCTGCAGAATAGCACCTCAGTCCTCAAAACAACATGGACCAAGTCTTCCAACTCTGCAACTAAGCCCATCAGGCAGGACCTTGCACAAGAGGTGTGAGGGTCAGAACAGGTAAATCCCTAAACAGATGTAACCAATCGGACATTGCAGCAAAAGGGACTAACCTCACAACCAAGTTCACGTTAGGGAAGGAGTAAGGGGAATACATGGAAAACAGTTTCTGCTCCATACATAAAGACCACCAACAATTAAATACTCCACAGAATTGCAATGCCTATATCTCACTGCTGAAATGGAGCCAAAAAACCAAAGGTCAGTAAAAGCTGTAAAAATTATTCAAGAGTAGAAAATGCCTTGCAACAAGAAACTTAAAGAGCTTAATTATTTAAATTATCAAAAAGAGAGGTTACCACGAAGGGTCGATTAATAATAGGAGAAGTGATGATTCCAAAGGTGCTGTAATTGGAGTAACAAAGGGAAAGTAGATGTTACTGAAGAACTCCAACCCAAAGCTTAAGTTGTGATAAAAGACTGTAGCTGGATGCTAAAGCCAGGAAAATAACATCAGTAACAAACTAGAGCTATGCTTGTAAAAGTGAAGGAAATTAACTACAAGAAAGAAACATTAACGAAAGAAAAATATTCTCTCTCTAACCCAAGAAAGAGATACCTTTCTGGAACATGTTCGGAAAATGTATTCAAAAGTATTTTATTAACACATAGTAAAACATTGGGAACTAAAGCTAATGAACATTTTAGTACCATTATTTTCATAATTCATGAAGTGAGAAAATGAGACGTCATCGAAAGAGCTAAGCTAAGTTACAAGCCAGCAACTGTAAGTCCATGCTGGAAATGTGCACTGGCTTTTCACAACTGAGGAAAAATTAGATAGAACTGAGTCCTGTCTTTTAGCATATCATCCCTAAGAAATAACATAGGTAAGACTTCGAATCAGCATTAACCACGCAGCTGAAAATAAAACACAGTTTCCTCCAGAAACCCATAGCTTTTCAAAAACTCCTCAGTTTGAGCATGCTTCTCTTGCTGTAACAGGTAAACTAACAGAATACCACATCTGAGCTCAAAGACCCAAACCTTCATTGCCTAAGCAGCAGGAAAAAAGTCTGCATCTTCTTTTTAATAAACCTTTTAAAGACAATATTTTAAATTTCTTTTTATGATTCACAAAATACTGAGAACTTATATACCCACCCATAATTCATATTGTCATCAAATCCATGACTGCTGTGGACTTTTGCTCACGTGGCCAATTCTTCTTTTAAATTCTATTGCTTTATTCAGCCTAAGCACACACCTAAACCAGAAGCCTACACTGGTTCAGCCACACACTTGTAATTATAGATCTGACAAGTTCTGTATAGTCAGAGAAGTCCAAAGAAATGTTACACAAATGTAAAGAAGCCTACTGGAATGGCATTTCGCAGCTCTGATCTATTTAACTCCACCGGAGCAGTTAACCCCAAGGGAGACAAATGCAGAGAACCATTACAATAGTCCTCACTTCCTCAACACAGTCATGGTCCCTCCTGCCTACTCCTCACCACAAGAAGAGGAGAGGGGAGGGGAGGGGAGGGGATGTAATCACGATTAATTACTTTTTTTTTCTTCAGAAGTAACCAAATTCCAAAGTAGATACTACTTCTGGAATTATTCCAGAGTTGTCTCCTACTGTGTATTCTCTCTTATTAGAAAAAAGGCTAGTGTGGGCTCCAGGCAATGTCATCTGAAATATATTGTACATAAAAACTGAAAGAATTTCTGTGATTTATTTTTGCCTGCCCAAATCCAGTGATATCTTCTCTGATTATCACAGCACAGATTATCTATGGGAAGAGAGCTGTCAGCTCTGGGACCTCCAGCATTAGGCCCAAATCTTAGCTATGTGAAAGTGAACAGTGAAAGAACAGTGTTGTATTGCTACTTTGTCCTGTACGAATATTTTGACTGATCTTTTCTTCGTTTAGAATTAGGCTTGCAGAGAGAATTAGGCTTGCAGTACACCTAAACCTTTCACTATAAATAAAAAGAATCTAGAAAAAAGGGTGTTCCTATTCTAAGTGACAGCATCTGCACAATTAATCTTCAGTCAGTTGCAACCATCACATGTGACTTGAATTCAGCACTAAGACCTGGCAGATCCCTTAATGTCAAAAATGAAAAGATTCCAGTATTTTCAGTAACAGCCACTTCACCTGCTCACAACTGCTTGTTTACATCACATGACAGTAATTAAGACAAGCAAACCCAAAAGCTAGGGAACACCAGTATTGTAAACGATTGTAGAGCTTGAATTTGGCCTGGCTCTGCACATGCATTGCAGTAGTCCTAAACTGCACACTCACTTCCCCAGAGAGTCTCCTGCCTATCTCAGCAGATGCTTCCTGAGCAGCTGGTTGGTATTTTGTTACTTCATCCCTCTGAGCATGATGCTAAACCTTGGCTCCTACAACCTGGACTGAAAGGCTGCTCTGCACACCCAGTTGTGCATTTCCTCAGGGATCAGAATGCATCACAACTAATAAACCAACTTCCTTTCACAGATATGCCCCACAGCACAGGCGTTGCAACAGTCTCAATATCCACACAATGAACACACATCCTTCCCTCATGCTAAAATTGATGATGTCTAATAATATGGTATCTATTTGAAGATGCTTTGGAGAGCAGCTAATCCTTCAATGCTTGAATCTTTCTGCTTGCTTGCATTGTGTCCCTTAGAGAGCAGCTGATGTCCTTCTCCTCTGAGCTTGTGATCTCAGAGTAAACACCCAGTACACCCAGATGCAATTAGAGGGCAGCTCCAAAAACCTCAAGAAGAGTTTTGTGGAAGTGGCAAGGACAGAAACCTGTTCCCAGCACAGGAGTCTTCCCTGCCTCGCATTCCCTCTTCTATATCCCACTGCTACCCCACATTCTTTACTACACAGCCCTGATTAGTTTCTTCCCACAGCAGGCCCAAGCAGGCACACTCTTCATAGCGAACCTGTGAGTTGGACATTCCAGCTGTTGGGTGTTTGGCTTTTTTAAACTGAGGGAGAAGTTATAAGTTATTCTGAGAAAGCAAACTAAGCACGTGGAAGTTCTATGACGCAGACCCACTGTGACAGGCACATAGTTTATCAGGAGGGTTGAAGCATTTCAGCCTATTGTACCCACCTTCTGCTACTAGAGCTAAAAATGCGAATTAATGGCAGTTGCAGAGCATCATGTTCTGTATGGACCAAGACTAAAATAAGACACTTGATGAGTAGATTACAAACATGCACAATAAAACCACCGCTCTTGTAACAAAAATCACAGTTTTCTCTTAGTGGTAGAAGCAGAAGAATCTCCATGTGAGGAGAAATGAAGCAAGCAGTGAAAGCACAGCATAAGCATCCTCACTTTAAAAACTGCCCTTTGTTTTTTTACACAGGCTGTCAGATGGCTGCACATTTCCCCATGAGCATAAGCGGGGTTGACCCATTTGAACAGCTTTGATATAAAGCCATTCACCAAGGTTCCTCACTTTTCTGTTAAATTTGTATGGGAATCCCACAAGATGAACCCATAAGATTCTCCAGAGGTTTCACAGGAGTTAGTGTAAGAGCTAATTTCTACCCTTCAAAATATTTTAAAGTTTTTTCTGCTGTTAGTGGAAGCTGTTGGAAAAATGATCATAAGTTATGTTACAGAAAATACCAACAGCTTACAAAGCTCAAAGGCAGACTCTACAGGAAAAACACAACATACACACAATCATTAACACAAGTTAGGGTATGATAATGTATGGGTAATACTACTACAGCTATCAAAACATTTGTGAAGAAAAAAAAGTAGACAGAAACTGCATGAGACACACTCATTTTCACAACAGGTATTATAAATCCGAGCTCTGTATCTAGTTCCAAAAGGATGTTATTTAAATAAGCAGCTAGGTAATTAACTGCTTAGTAATTACAGTCACAAGTGCCTGTTTCTGCAGGCACTATATTGTTATTACATCAGCAGCTTAGCAGTGAAACAGGAATCAACTTCTCTCTGCAGCTTATAATGGGACACCAGTACACACCTCCACCCAAACTATCTCAGGAAAATTAAATGTAAGTCTTCTTGATATAATCAATCACAGAAGTCCATTAGGATCAGTAAATTCCACACCTGCTAGTTCCCTCCCCATTAGGTCTGTTACTTCTTTCCTGAATTTCAGGTTCCCTACCCATGTAGTGAATACTAACACTCTGAAGATGATCATCAGTATGCACTATTCAAAAGGACATTGTTTGGCCTTCAAAGGAAACAATAAAGAGCTGTTACTGGCTAGATAGACATCCATTTTTGCTTAGAACTGAGCAGGAATAAAAAATTCTCTTTGTAGACAAAAACATCAGTAGGAGGGGAAGCGAGGAACGCAACTACTTCCTCCCATTCCCTTTCCCCCCACCAGTCCTGCCACCAAACACAAAACAACTACTCACACACAAAGAAAATCATGCACAAGCAA